AGCGCGCGGGCACGGAACAATAAAAATGTAGCGGCAGCGGGAAAATAAATCCATTACATCCAGAAATGACACGCATAAAGTACCCATTTCGGCGACCTCTGCCATGTCTTCCAATTACCTGATTAAATCTCCCCCACGCGCAATTTATGCTGTCGTCTCTCCAGCTAATCTGTGCCAATCATATCAGATTTCGCTCCTGCATCGGAAGACAGAGCGTCGGCTGTGGATTTAGAACCACAAATGTGTCGCTCGTTGTGTTTTAATCAGATTCCCAAGACTCTTCCTGCTCATTCTGGCCTCTCTCCGCACACACACACTTTTTCGCCCGGCGCGCAATTGTCCTTTTCGCAGGAGGGAAAGCGCTGCGAAATGGATGAGTAGGATTGAAGGGAGTGAGAATTCGTGACAAGAGCGAACGCAGAAACCATTTGCACCAAGATTTTCACGACAAAGAGTAAAGAACATAGAAAGAAATCCACACTTTTGGGAGGAAAATCAGGCTTTGGACAAGAAATCATATCAAATTGGATAAAATGAAGGATTTTAAGCAAAGTAAAACCTCTGAAACAATATAGAGAAAACTAAATTTTTGGATTCCTGCTAAAAATTCATGTCTAAAATTTAAAAAAAAGAGATTTTAGAAATATTTTAAACATATACAAAATATTAATAAGGCAAATAGGAAATTATTGAACAAAACATCCTTTAAAATGGCTTTAATTTACAAATTTCATGAAACCACTGCACAATTCCCATTTTCTTTAAGGACCCTTTTGATATTTTACCCTCATCAAGTATACTGAAGAGTGCAAAATTCCGTGTTTATCCTTCCAAATCTCAGTTCACGCTATGCGGATGTGCGTCCGCGTTTTTTCCTCTGGCAGCCTCACAAGAAGACTCAAAATTTCACCCCGTTCAATTGCCCTGGCGAGGCTTCTTCTGTTTGCTATTTGTGGGGTGGAGTGACGGTTTTTTAAGCGCTCGCCTGATTGCGGGTGCGTGTGGTCTCGGAAACAATGGCACGTGAGTGACATCCATCTTCAGGAAGCTGCATTTGCCAGTGCATTGACGAAGGCATGCGCGACTTTGGCATCGAAATTTGATCCTCTCACTTGAGCGTGCTTCATCTTATTTTCGCCACTCAATAGCGAAGCCCATTTCACAGTGATTTGCAGCGCCATTCGCAATCATTTGCTGTGTATTCACCGCTGCCGGAACCTTAATCTCCATTTGACGGAAAAATATGGATGGCAAAGCGGGGGGAGAACGTCAGGATATCAGCAATGGTGAGCGGGATACAGCCAGAGAGAGAATGGTTGGGCTTAAAAAACACACACACAGCCACATAAATTTTGGCCACAGTTATAAAAATTCACTATTTATTGCCCGCCGATAACGTGAGAATTTATTAGTTTTAAGCACTTTCAAAAATTAGTTTATATCGTTGCTGCAACTGGAAAGTCATGGCTTAAAGTTTGTCCCCCGCCAGCGAGATTTATGAGCGCTTTCACAAAGAAATCCTGCAAATTTCGCAAAGAGATTAATCTCGCGGGATATTCCTCAACATTTAGATGTGAAGTGCGCAAAAGTTTATTGACGTTTCCAGAACCGAAAAGCATCGCAATATAGAACACATTCCGAAGAGGCGTGTACATATTTTGCAGCATAAACTCCCTTCAATTTTCATACAGTTTCACAAGCATAAAGCATCTTGTTAATCGCCTCAAAAGTTCACCGTGGTCGCTCTTCGATAATTCCAATTTTAGAGTGAACAAGCCACATTACCTTTTGATCACTCTTCTCATCTGCAGAAGCGCATTATCGTGCCGAGAGGAGAGAGAGAGATTCCTTCCTTCAATTTTGCATGGCAGAGTGCTCTTGAGCTATATATTCAATCATTTATTCCCTTTAAGAAAGCCCCCAACTTTTAGCTCTTTTTTCCATGCTCAATGCTGGGTGAATTATAGGGACCTAATCTGCGTGGAGAATCTCTCCGTGGCCCGAAAGCACTCCCCTTCGGATGATGGAGAATAAGCTGAACAACACACAAAATAGAGAAGGTGGTAATTATCACCTGATATGAAGGTGTAACATTTAGAAGACTCACACTCCACTTTTCGGCTTGTTTTACCACTGCAATCTGTGAATTTTCTGCCCCTGTGCGGAGCCTTTTTCCCGCTCTCCAAGCGTCCCGAAACTTTTCAATATTGCATTTGGCAGAGACAGACTTTGAGTGTGGAATCTGTGCGGTTTTGCGTCTCCTTCGCGCTCTCCGCGAGAGCCTCGAATTTTTTGATGATGTACTTAGCGAGTGGCACAAACTGGATACTCGCCACGGAGCACCACAAGGAGGAGTTAACTGGGAATACTTCGATCGATATCAGGGCGAAAAGTATATGTTATAAATTTTAATGATAGCCATTAAAGTGGAGAAAGAGACGATATGGTTCAGAATCATTGCCCAGCTTCAACTCAGCGTGAGTTGATTTGCACAAAAGCCAAGTAGGATGAGCGGGACAGAGAGTGATTTTCTCAATATGAATCCGCGCGCACACATTGCAGCTCCACTGTTGAGAAATGAGCGGAAAATTCACTTGCACCGCCGAGTGGGATAATTGCAATCCAGTAATTGTACTGTAACCAAACATGCTTTATGTCTTGTGCACTTATTAAAGCTAATTCACTGCAGATGCACGAAATTGTGCGCCTGTAAATCACATTAGAAATAATAAAAAATGGGAGAAATGCTCGATATGCAGAAGTGAATTATCGGGAAATGATATTTCGAGAAGGCCAGATATCACTCTAGCGCATTCACATTGTGTCTGATTTACCATGCAAAACACTAATGCGCCGATACAGAAGTTAATGTCAGGCGATGCATTGAAATTTCCAATGTTTCGTGGAGTCAATCAATGTGAACAGTTGAATTCGGCGATAATTCACTTTAATATTTAATGCAAAACACGAAATATTACAGTTTCTAAGGGACTTATGAATTATAATTTGAGGGAATTTGCTTATTTCCTCAAGATAGAAGGCAAAAACAGAGCAAAATTCTGATTTATTGACAATTAGCGAAAGAAAAACTGCTAATCTTTGAGAAACTAATTGAATTTTGTGCTCTCTTAAGACTTTGAAGCCTATTCTAAGGAGTTCTAAGGAGAATTTTCAGCTGCTCCGAATTTTCCAGCGTCTGCTGGCAACGTTACTTTCCGAGAATATCTTATTGACAATTTTTACAGTCTTCCCAATGTTTCACGAAACGGTCTTTTCGCTGGCGAACAGTAGCCCTAAGTCTGAAGGATCGCCTCGTGGGGCACAATCGCCGGAGAATCTCCCCGAGTGGGTGTAATTCAGTGACACAAAGTCGACCACCAGAGGAGGCTGCGCGAGGACCTTCCTGGAATCGCGCAGTGACGCTGCGGATCTCGCGGGGAGGCGATCTGACACGGCTCACGAGTGCCCATCGCGCCTCGCATGCATTTGCCCTGGTCCCGAATCGTGTGTAATGTGTTTTGTCTTGAGATATTTCGATTGATCACGCCCCCAGCCCCAAGTCAATCGTTAGCCAATAATATATTGCTGGGGAACACATTTCGCTCAATTTCATTTTCATACACCGAGAGCAGGAGAGCGAGGCCACTTTGCACCTTCGCCTCTCGCTCGCGCGCGTTTGGTCCTCGTTGAGCCGTGCGCAGCATCATAATGAAAAATAATAATCATAATCACGGCGAATATAGTATTAATACGATAAAAAAGGGGGTTGTTTCGCATGATTCTTTCGCCTTGCTCTTATTAATCCCACCAAACGATGCGGAGATGCAGAGGCGCGCGAGAAAAAAGCGCGCACATTGTCTTGGCCAGTGTGTGAGAAGATTGTGAGAAAATCATAGCATTAACTGGGCGCGATAACCTCCTCGCGATCGCCACAGACTCTCCTCATCCGTCCTGCATTCGCGATGCGTCCAATTCGCGCGCAGAGGCCTTTGATTAAGTGCTTTCGTGTCTGACCACAAATGCACATATTGTCGGTGGAGGTTGTATGTAAATAGTAATGAAAGAGAAATACAGATGAGAAATTGCAACAACTGGCTGTGAAGTCTCACACTCACCTGCCGCCGCCCAATGGTGTGTGGGGGCGGGCGGACTCCTCAAATGCGAGCGCGTCGCTAAACACAATGCCCCGCACATTGCAATATTGTGTGATTTAGTGCTCAAACAAATTTCGCTGATGGCACCGATTGCGATGGATTGAGCCACAGCCTCGCCAGCTTGCAATTCCCGTGATTCTCGGCGCGCCCAGGTCCACGGCGTGCAATAGCTGCGAGATGTTGCGGCGAAAGTCCCCGTCTATTTGCGGAAAACTCCCTCCCTTTCCCTGTTCTTGCCCAATTTACAGCGCACGCCGCAATTAAGCGATCTGGACCACCCAGAGATGCATTCCCGCGCAGCTAATTGAGCGACGATTAGATGATTTGCCGCACTTTTCTCGGGAACTCATTAGACAGGCAATTCAAGGGAGTGTGAGCCTATTTTTAGGTTCCTCCCAATTGATTGGGCGCAACTCTGATTTCAGCGATAACACACAGTGATAGAAGTGAATCTGGCAGTGATATTGATAAAGAACATGATTTACTGGAAGGAATTCAGTGAAGAGTCGTTATTACGAAAAGGAAGTGATAAAAAGGGCGGGGCTTTCGAGTGGGCGGAGTGTTTCTCATCGCAATCATGTAAAGAAATACGCCAGACATTTTCATCTATAAATTAACTTGTGAATTTACACTTTTGCACTGCAATTGTTCCATAAATCAATTAAAATTCTTTCCTAAGCCACAGAGAAGAAAAAACAGACAAAAATTCTTTTTATTTCAATAAAAATTATAATTCAATTTATTAAATAAGCTTATTAGCTTCTCAAACGTAAAATAATTATTTTGTAGTTTCTACTCATTATTTTATTCTTCTTGTCTTACTCGGCGTTTTTTTCTCAGTGTAATTTGTTCTTCCACAGATGGCGCACGCGTCCTCGTGAATCTTTGCTACATCCCGGACACGCTCTCAACTCTCTCTGACTGTCGAAGAGCCATAAAGAAAATCCATAATCAGCTGTCATTTAGCATGCCAGTCAAGGGAAAAATCCCATATTTTTTCGTTTCGCCCTTCGTTCTCAATTTTTTACCATTTTCCGGCAAAATAAGCCAAATATGGGCATTCTGTGCGTGTAGATCGTGTCTCGAGTGCACAATTGAGTGAATTTGGAGTGTTGCAGTCGCGCCTTGAGAGGCGGTTTTTGGGACTTTTCACTTTCAAAATTCCACTTTTCTGGCCACAGAGAGCAGTGAAAATTGGGAAAACCCCCCGTTTGCTGGCCAAGGAAGTCTGGGTTGTGCTGTGAGAGTGGCGGTCGTGCTTCTGGGGGCGCTAAAAATAGATATTGCGTCGCAACCGTGAGCGGAAGTCGCGGACAATGTCGCAGGCTGTCCAGATGATTCCCAGCGGGATGTTCACGCTGAGGGCGCTCATGACGCACTTCGACGCGAAGCTGTCCGCCGCGACGGACTGCAGCGGCTTCCCGCGCCAGATCCTCGCCCTGGTGGATCGCAGCAACGAGATCCTGTTCCGCTTCGCGCGCACGCCCAAGGATGAGCGCGACGTGGTGCTGAAGCTCCTCACGTGGTTCAATGAGAAGGGCAAGGAGGTGCAGGATATCTGCTTCGACGTGACCGGGAAGTGGCTCCTCGTGCTATGTAAGATTGCGGGGCTTTTTGCGCGTCCGAGAGTGACTGGGAAAGTGTGTGTTTCCTTGCAGGCGACGACAATACTCTTCACGTGATCCCGGCGCTGGCCATCGTGAACAACAACCAGATCTCCTCGTCCATCTACAGCAACGAGCAGATTACGTCGTACATCATCCCGTTCGTGGGGCCGCACGAGTGCCCCAATCCCAGGACGTGTCCCAACAACTTCTATCGCCCGCCGTCGCTCGAGCTGGAGTCTTCGCTGCGCCGCATCGGCTCGGACGCTGAGGGCGAGAAGCTGACGCTGGACGAGCTGTACTCCAAGCAGCGCATCGACAAGCTGCTCTCCACCTACTCCGCCTCCAGCACGTACACTGAGGACTCCCCGGAGGGCGATTCGGAGGCGAGGCCGCAGCCGGCGGCGGAAGCCTCCTCGCCCTGTCCGTTCCCCACGGCCGTCGTGTGGTGGCAGACGAGCAAGTGCAAGAACAGGGCCATCATCGGCTACTCGGACGGATCGATATTCATCGTGTGTAAGTCACTCTCTGGAATATTCCGGACGCGCGCCACTCACTGCCTTATCTCTTCACAGCACTCACGCCGAACTGCCCTCTTATCGCCTACACAGCTGTGAGTGGCTGCAGCATCGAGAAACTGCGCATCTGCCACGACTCTTGCGGCGAGACCACGACTCTGCTGGTGAGTTCTGAGGCTCCTCTGGCGCAGCAATGAGACGCATTTCCACCCACTTTCCTCCCTTTGCAGATCCACACGACGAAGAAGTCGCAGTGGAAGCTTCTGCTGGAGCACAAGAAGATCAACTTCACGTATCCCGGCGATCCACCGAGCCCGGAGGCTGATGGGAAGGTGCAGGAGAGCGAAGAGGCTGTGGAATCCGCGCCCGAGGGCAATTCGATTGACAGTGACTGGCAAATTGTGATAACAAAGACTGACGATCTGGCGATTTCTCCACCGGGCGTGCCATCGATCAGTGTCGACGCGGCGGACGAGGGTCAGCTGGAGGAGGCGCCGAAGACCGGAGGCGCTGACATGGCAATTCCGAAGCTCTTCCCGTCCGCCATGGCGAAGTTGACGTCGCTGAAGAATATGGGCGCGAAGAAGATCGGCGCGCTGAAGCAGATCCTGTGCGAGGCGAAGATGCGGAGCGCCGAGGCGGCCGGCAGGCCCAAAGAGGAGGCGCTGTCCTTCGAGATCATCGAGCCGCCGTGCATCTCGCCGGAGATCCTGACCATGGAGACGGGGCCGCTGTACATCGTGCAGGTTGTGGAGAAAGTGCCATACTTGACTGCGCTGCATCACGAGGTGAAGACGCTTTCCGTGCACACGATGGACATCAATCTGCGACCAATTCACATCTACGATGTCCCTGAGCACACGGAGAACATCCTCCTGACCAGGAATTTGGTGTTTGCCGTGCACAAAATGACACCAGAGGCGGCGGAAGATGCGAAAGAGGGAAGCGAGGCGAGCGAGATGATTCATGCTTGTTCTGTTCTCAGTCGAGTGCACTCTGAAACGAATCTCGAGGTGGACTCTGTGAGTATGAATTTTGAGGAGGAAACGGAGAAACTACTTGGTTTTGATAAGGGAAAGTGTTGATAAACGCTTTGGTGTACTTGCAGAGATACAGAGAGAAGTCCCTGGTTGTGCGCTTCCCGTTCACGTCTGAGAAGATCCTCAATATTCATCGCATCGCGACGCTCGAGGGCACAGTTCTGTGCTCTCCGCTGCGCGATCACACGCCGCCGCGGGATGAGCAGCTGAATGGCATCAATGTGATGAACTACGTTAAAGTGCGCAGTCAGTATGACAACAGCAATGAGATGGACGACGCCAAGATGCTGCAGGCGGTCTTCCCGGCCGTGCACTACGAGAAGTGTCTCGTGGTGACGGACAAGAATGTGTACTGGATTGAACTGGCGGACAAGCCGGAGAATATCTTCCTGGCGTTCGCCAGTCAGGCGATGTGGTCGCAGTGCGAATTCTTCTGTGATATGTTCAATATTTCGTACACTCAGTGCATCGAGTTCGTGGGCGATGAGTTGCTGAAGCAGAAGAAGGTCACACAGGCGCTGATCACGTACAACATGGCCAGAGTGAGTTGTGTGTGCTTGTGGGGGATTTGCGGAGTCTGAAGGACTCTAATGCATGACGCTTCCTTCGCAGATTCCGCCGATAAAGACGGCCATGAAGCTGGCCATGTGCGGAGAGAGTTACGCGCTTCTTCACCTGTGCGCCATGGCTCTGAAGTCTGTCCATCTGCTGAAGAGTCAGTATCCGACCGGGCCTCACATGGCGGCGATTCTGAAGGATGCGGAGCTTCGGAATGTTCCACACAAGGTGACCTCTTCGGTACTAAATCCTTGAGATTTCATTTGCAAGCCCTTTTTTCTTTTTCTACCACTCCTCGAATGCACGGCGGTTTAAGTGTTAAGTAGGCTAAAGTGTGACGTTTTTTGTGTCCTTTTTGCAGGCGCCAAAGAGCAGCGGAACCAAAGATCTCAATTCGGGCGTGAGTTGCAGTGATTTCAGCTACCAGAACGACGAGGTGTCGACGGAATTGCAGATGCCAATGACTTCGCAGTTCCATCTATCCAATCTCATGTTCCTCACGCTGTGCGAGAAGACGCTGACGGACAAGAACTTCATGCCACTGTGGAATTTCATTGGCAGCAACACGAAGTTTCACATTCAGCTCTCCAGTGCCATTCTGGCTCAGAGTGGCCTCTACTCTTCTGCCATTCTCCTGGCGAAGACGCGAGGCTCTGTGCTGGAAGTGTACAACAATCTCGTGGCGGCGATTGCCCAGGAATTCGGCACGGACATCAATTATTTGCTGTACAACTTGTCTGACGAGATGTTCATGGAGTGCATCACCTACTTACCCTCAATCTCCATTGACTACTTCGCCTCTGTCAAGCGCTCAGTTCAGCGATTCAGCGTGTATGTGCTGGAGAAGTTGGCCATTCAGCTGAATCCATTCTCGCACGTCTTCCGGCCGATTGTGTCGAATCCCTCGATCAGGGACAGAGACATCGCCTGCGTGATGCCCAACAACATGGACAGCGTCTACGGGGGCTTCTATCGGGGCCTCGTGGAGGCGTACATTGCCGTGCTGATAAGACTGCACGAAGTGAAGGGATCGACGGATCACATCACAAATGCACTCAGCAATTTCTTCATCAATCACGAGGAGACGCAATTTGGCGTGCGCAAGGACGAAACAGTGACACTCTCGGCGGGCTTCGCTCACAATGTCAGTGTGATTGATGGAGCGGCGTACATTTGGGGCTCACCAGCAATTCCCTATGCCATCGACATGGCTTTCAGTACAAACGGTGAGACTGAAATCTTCACTCCAAGAACCATCAACTCACATTTTCCCTCTCTTCGCAGATGTGCACTCTCTGAAGAACTCACCGAGAACCATTTCCTTCCTGTCTGATCTCCAGATTCGCGTTTATTCGGCACAGTGTGGCCGCACGCACACGCTTCTCTACACAAATAATGGGGTAATGATGGCGCAATTGAGGTAATGAAGTGATTCTGCAATGTCTCTCTCTCTTTTGCAGCTGTACGCGATGGGAGCCAATCATTTGGGACAGCTGGGCGTCGGAGCGCACATGAGTCAGGCTCTGCATCCGATGCTCGTGCGCGCCTTCGAGGGGAAGGTCATCACGAAGCTGGTCGCTGGACAGTATCACAACGCCGCTCTGGCCGACGGGCGTCTGTACACGTGGGGATGGGGCGTTTACGGGCAGTTGGGCCACGGCTCGATTGCCGACGAACCGATTCCCAGGGTTGTGGACTTCTTCAACGGGAAGGTGAGTGGACAAAGCGAAAGATTACGTGGGATAAATGTTCTCAATCATCATTTGCTTCCTTATATCCCCAGAAAGTAGAGCAAATATCGCTCGGACACGCTCACACGCTCGTGCTTTGCCGTAGTGAGGATGAATCGGAAAATGTTCTCTACGTGTTCGGATCCAATTACTTCGGGCAATTGGGAGTGGGTCACGATGTGACTGTACCGCGGCGGGCGTGCTCCACGGAGAAGAGCAGCTTCACGAAATCCCTGGTGCCGATTGAGTTGAGATTGGGTGAAAAGATAAGACTGATTCACACAAAGTATTTCTGCAGTGTGAGTATTCATGAGCAATTTGATGATTGACCACAGAGTTTGCAATGTTTGTGCTTCTGTTTGCAGTTCGCAGTCACGGAGGAGGACAGGCTGTACACTTGGGGATCATCGCCGCAGGCGCTGCGGCTGATCAATCAGGCGCGGAAGCGCGCCAAGGCGTCGCAGCGGGCGGAGATGATGAAGACCACCGAGGAGGAGAAGCCGAGCGAGGAGAAGGTGGAGGAGGAGAAGAAGGGAGTGCCGATCAAGAGGCAGAACAGTGCGCCCAACATCTCGTCGATGGTCAGCGAGCCGTCGATTGCGGTGAAGAGAGCGACTTATCCGAGGCAGAAGAATGCGCTGCTCGAGTCGCTGAACATCCAGACGGACCGGCAGGAGCGCAAGGCGGAAGAGGAGGCGGCGAAGGAGGCGGCCAAGGAGGTGGAGGCCGGCCTAGAGGAGTGGACGGAGCATCTGGTGCCGTCCGAAGTGGACGTGAGCCTGGTGAATGGGCGCATTGATCAGATATCCAGCGGTTTGTACCACTTTGCGTTGCGCGTCGGCGGCGTCTTGTACACGTGGGGCAAGAATCTGGAGAAGCAGCTGGGCAACGAGGGCAGTCGCGCGGACGTGCTGATTCCCACGGAAGTGGAGACGGTGCAGAGTGTGGTGAGTGTGGAGTGCGGAGCGGATTACACGCTCGTGCTCACTGTCAATGGCAGGGTGATGGCGTTTGGGAACAACAACCAGGGACAGTGCGGCAAAGACACCGAGCGCAGCGCTATTCAGCCCAAGTGGGTGCGCCTGAAGATCTCCAAGCGGCACATTCGTTTGCCGGACGGCAGTCTGTGTGTGGACACGCCGTTCGAGGTGGCGCTGCCGCGGCCGAAGATCTGCATGGACGAGGCGGACGCGATGGTGCGCCTGAAGAATCTGCCCGCCTTCCATCCCAAGTTCCTCAAGCGCAGTCCGGTGGTGCATCGCTTGATTGCCAACATGAAGTCTGGCGTCACGACGGTGGACTCGAACTTGAATGACTTCTGCACGACGGAGTCGAGTCTGGACGCCGCCTTCGGGCGTGCGTCCGTGTGGAGCGACGGCGGGAATAGTGTGGAGAACTTCATGGGAACCACGCCGACGGAGGCGTCCTCTGAGGAGTTTGTCTATTCGCCGTCGGCGAGTGAGTGCGACTTCGTGCCGGACGCCGCAAACAGTGACTTCATTCACTACTGCTTGTTCATGTTCCACGGAATTTACGATGGCGAGAGCATTGCACAATTGTGCGCGCACAAGCAATTCATTGTGCGCCTGAAGATGCTGAGCTACAAGTATGTGGAGGCCTTCCGCATGTGTCTGGGCGAGTGTGGCGATGCCCAGAAGGCGATACTGCTGTTTGAGCACTTCACCAAAGATGAAAATCTCATTCCCATTCACATGGAGGACATCAAGGTGTTCGTGCAGGAGATCTTCGTGCGCTTCATTGTGGCGAAGTGGGACGTGAAGCAGCTGGAGGAGTACTTCTTGGCCGATCTTGACTTCTACATCATTCAGCTGGCCTACGTTCTCTTCTTCTGCAACAACAACACCGAACTGGAGCGAAGCGCCCTCAGCAAATACAAGTTCTTCTTTGGCAATCTCAAGACCAGCGATTGTGAGAAGGTGGAGAAATCCGAGTTGATCTTTGAGAATGTCTCGTCGGGCTTTAACATAATGGTTTGCCAAAGATTGATTGAACTCTACGATAAGATTGAGCAGAGTCACTAAACTTATCAAATTTTACCATTTTTTGTTCCCTGTACAAATAGCAATGATTTTTATTAGTTGATTTTAAATGAATTAGACGTGATTGACAGTGTTTGGAGGTGACCAGAAATGATTTTATGAAACTGTACTTACTCGTGCAGAGACTTTTGAGTTGTTTTTTATTTAATTCTGTTGCGTTTCTTGCACACTTGAAGTGTCTCAACTTTTTTCCTTGGATTTGATACCTTTGATATAATGGCGTATTTTTCTTCAGCAATATTTGAGGATTAAGAGAGAGAAAGAGAGGAAAATTTTACTATAACGTATATCTTTTGCATATTGGAATGAAGACAAGAACAAGAACTGTTTTTTGATAAGCTATACCAAAATATACTCTACTATGGAATTTAATATACTCCCCAAAAATTGATAAACGAACTAAATGTAATGGAATTATCACATTGATGAGAAAATGAGAGCAAATTTACAATAATTATACTCATTAAAGAGGAAAAAAATTGATACTTATCAATTCATTAGCATGGAAAAAAATATCGGAAAAAAGACATTCAATATCAGAAAAAATCTACAGTGAGTCATTTATAAATCTTTTCAAACATTGAATGCAATAAATACATACCTTTTGGTGTAATTCACTTGGAGTTGATTTCGAAAGTCGCGAGCGCCATTCAATTGTGCGTCAGCACATTTAGTTTTTCTATAATTCTTGTTTCTCCGCCAGTAAAGGATTGTTTTATTTTGCGCAGCATCACAAATAAAATCATAACGCAATATATTACTAGACTTGTTTTATTAGTTCTTACTTTTTTACACTATGGATTTTTCTCTTTGTATTGTCATCTCTTAATTTCAAGTTGCTTTTTACACATCTCTTACTTTTGTCACATGAGTTTGATTTACACAGTTCGGGGGATAAAGAGTGCCTTAGTTTTTTCGATTAGGTGACTTTGTGCTCGAGAAGTGCTTGAGTGAGTGAAGTGATGAAGAGCTTGAAGGTGTGAATGACAGTGGCGTAGTTTGTAACTCACTTCTTGCATTTCTTGGTGTTGGAAATGGGGCAGCGCTGTTTTATGGAATTATCACATATATTTTCACATGAATCGAAGAGAAAAGTCGTGAAAATAGTCATTTCAAAGTGATTTTCCGAGGATTGAATAGTTTCATCGTATAAAGTAAACATCAAAGTGAAGATTTTTTGCACAATTCAATAATTCTACGATGCAGTGCCCCACAGTGGGGCAGTGTTGTGATATTTACAGCCTATTTTCATCTTTTTCTAAGGAAAAAACCATGAGATTTCATGCCTAATATAAGACAATTTCAATTTATTCATCTGATTTTTCAGGAAAAAACCCTAAATTTAACCACCATTTGTGAAACAATAGTGCCCCAATTCCCCCTAAATGAATGCTGCTCTTTTCCAGTGAATTTCCTCGCTACGCCACTGCGTGTGAATCAAAATTTGCAGAGTATCAACTCAAAATCACAAGCAAATTCTGTCGTGCGCTGTTTGCTTGCCGTGAAAAGGTGTGAAAGGGTTAACAAATTACATTAACTCGATTTACACGAATTGCATTTCTTGTCTTTTTCGCTATTTACAAAGTTCCCTTTCAAGGGGGGAAGGTGAAGAAGAGCTTTCGGAAGGGTGAAGAGAAGTGCGCAGTTGGTTCTTACTAATATGGACACTGGGTAGCATGATATTGCGTGGTGAGTGGCTCAAGAGAGATACGAGGATGTGTGGTGACTTATAAGTTACTTGGGGGTCCCCGTGAACGATGACCTGGCGCACCGGAGTGTCGAGATCCGGGACGAGAGTGCACAATAGCATAGTGATCGGAGTCAATTGGTAACGACCTTCAACAAGGATATTAAACTTCTGTTAATGCCTCTTCTACAGGTGTCGCATTCATGCAATTATTTGGTACAAATACAGCAACGCTCAAGGAATAAATTACTACACGCAATTGTTAGGCGGAGGAGACGATTTGAGGTGTGTTGCGGGATTAGTTGATTGGCTTTCTTGCTATATAGAGACTTTACTGGTCAGACCTCAAGACAGCGCGCCACATTCAATCCGAGAGTTGTTAGTGAGCCAGAGAGTGAGAGATGATTTTAGCAGTGTTTCTTGTTAGACTTTCGGATGGATTTCATGCACCAATGAGCCGTGAGAGGGAGAGAAAGAGGAGAGATTCATGTCTTTGTCTTGACTCTAATAGCGATCAGACCTATTCGAGTGGATTGTGGAGCCGCCACTCGTGTAGCCCTTGTTGTGGCCGACGTCTCTGCCGTGGAGTGAGTATCTGGATCCGTACTGGCTCCCGTGCCAGCTCCTGTACGGATCGTACTCCTCGATGATGGACGGCTCCTTCTCGATTATCTGCAAGGACACAGAGAGAGAGGACTTCAGCATCGCGCCCAGGCAATGTCACAGGGGAATCTCACCTCAGTTCGCGCGCAGCTGCAACTCATGGCCGTGCACAGGAAGATGTTCATGAGCAGCATGATGAGGAACAGGACGCCCAGAGCTATCGTGAGCCACAGAAGCCAAGCCGGTCGAACGCCTCCTTCTTCGCAGATTGGCGAAACCACTGCAAGAAGCACACACAAATCCTATAACTTTACGATTGCTCGCAAAACCAGAATACCAGCCGCGCATAAAAAAAATGTAATTAAATTCAGAGTTCGACATTGAATTGGAATTAGCATCATGTGAATTGCAAATGGTTTTCCCGATTCGAATAAATATCGCATCACGTAGAGAGGAAGAGAGTGGCATTTCTGCGCCCTAACTTTCAATTTTAATTGTAAGGACAATATACTCAGCCGAGCATTAAGCTAATCTGAGTGGTGAAGCACTATAAAAACAGCCGTAACATTATGCAAATGGTGCATCATAAATTTTCGTGTCGAAGTGCATTTCAGCCATTTCAGCTCATTTCTTCAAACTGAGACTTTTACACACTCACACAAAAAGTCCACAAGAAAATGAGAAGACAAGAGCGATTGGAAAATCTCAATTAATTCTGCAGCTTAATTGGCTCTGCATTAAGGAAAGAATTCACTGAGTTAGAAACACGTGAAATATTCGCTCCGACAGAGGAGAATTAATCGCGGTGTAAATTGACGGAGAGCAAACAGAACTGGATGCTCAGAACTCTTCTTTCCCGCTTCTCTCCAATCTGCGAGGCTTCTTAACGCATTGTAGGAATCTAAGTGCAAAAATTATCATTACACAGAATGTGTGTGCCTCATAATTTGTCTCAGAGATGAAGCACAATTAAGGTGAATTACCAGAGGAACTACAAAACGCTTCCACTTGCGCTTGTGCTGGCATTTTACAGCCGCGCACTATATTGTGAAGTCGAGCATTTGATAAACGGATTTTGAAAAATACCTTTTCAATGGGAAACGGAAATATCAATGAAAATCAGTCTGGCATAAATCAGTCCGTCAAGTGATAATCAAATTTGTGTTTTTCCAAATACAACAAATCGTTAATTTTCCTGAATTCCTGAAGGTTTGATGGAAGGCATAATTTCTTGCTGATAGCTTGAATTGAATTTTTGACTTGGAAATTGACTGTGATGCTTCAGAAACTCGTCGTCCGGCAAGGGTTATTCACACTGGCAAACATTGGAGAGACCTTAGGAAAGAATTCTCGGTGGATCGTGGTAGTAAAAATTAAAGAATGTGCCTTAAACAACTGAACAATTCGTTTGCGACACGTTTTCAACGAAATCGAATTTTTGTTTAATTCTTTGGTTCTGTTTCAGTGTTACTAAGGATTAAGGACTAGGTCGAATGGCTTCAAACTCGACATGATAATTAATCATTAAAGAGAGAAAATTTGTGGAAAAATTCAGCCCTCTAGCTTTACGTGAAAACTGACGGTACATCAATGTTTTAGAGCCTTAGCTATTTAATTCGGAGTAATTGTATGCAATTAACTCACGTGGCGCGTCTGCAGGATCCAGGACGAAGACCGTCGTGGCGGCCAGCATGACGCCGTCGTCAGTCTGTCCCAGGGCGCGGCCGCTCTTCGTGTACGCGGCGGCGTCTCCCGTGCAGGACGCCTCGGCCGGGCAGGTGGAGCCGGCGCGACAGGCCACGACGTCGCACTGCAGGTGCACCTCTGAGCCCTCCGGGAACTTAAACATGGACTTGAGCACGGCCGTTGCCGAGGAGCCGTCGCCGTTGGTGCGGAAGCGCGTGATGATGTTGTTGTCCAGCGGACAGCCGCGCTCGTCGATCAGCGGAATGCTCGTGTTGCGCTTGCTGAAGGCGAAGCAGTTCCGCACGCGAAGATCTCGCGTGCTGTTGGGCTGCGTGAGCTCAGCCTTGATGGTGTACTCGCGTCCGTACACGGTTTCCCTCACGCGGCGCTCACTGCTGTCCATAAACTTAAGGGCCACGTGGGTGTTGTCGTCCCTAGAGCGCCAAAGAGAGAGAAGTTCACATGCTTAATTGTGTGACTTCACGTTTCGCAATGCAGAAATTATTTTTGGCGAAGATTCAATCGATTGTCGGCAAATTGTACACATTTTCCACGGACAAATTGCTTGCAACACGAACAAATCAGTGTTATTCAATCGAGTTTTTGTGTGTGCACAGATGAATTTCACATCAATACGTGGGTTACGTGAAGGTGAAGAATAATTTGGAGACCTCAAGACGATGGAAAATGTGTGGATAAATGTTCTGATAAATCCCTGGCAAAGATGGGATTTTTCTGCATGGCAACAGTGGATTCTGTCAAGAGTGATATATTATTGTACTGTATGCATTTCTGTCTAGATAAATCACATATTTATCTAGGCGAGTTATTGCCGTGCAGAAAATTTAGTGATAAAGCCGTGAGTGACTGTAGAAGACAAAAAGACGCTTAGTTTGCACATTTGCTGGGAATTTCAATTATCTCCACTTTATCCGGGGAGATAAATGAAAATTGATTTTATGGAGAATCCACACGACAGATAAATAAATCGTGTGAATATCGCCTAATAAGGCAGATCGAACGTGTGCAGATCAATGACCGTTAGCGTCTCGCGCGCGGGATTCAAATTGGGCCTCAGGCCTTTCCTGGACTGACGCAGAGATCTGCCGAACACTTGGACATGGAAGTCATCTCGTGAAATTCTCAAAATGTCACCGTCAAATGGAGAGATTTCTTAGCCGTGGTGTCTTACCTTGCAAATCCAGTTTTGCCACATGTTATAATAAAGAAGCGATCCTCGGCCAATTCCAGCGTTCGATGAAGTCTCACCGCCACTTGGACTGATCTCTCTTCCGTTTTCTGTGAAATCCAGATAGAATGTCTGTTAGTTTTGCTGTTGCTCAATTGATCACCAGCAAGTGATTGTGTTAGATTTTTCCTCAGCTGCACTTTCGCAATCAATTTCAAGATTATTACTAATCTAAACCATACATCGCGTGAGTAGAGTGAGAATTTGGACACAGAGAGCACATTTAGTGTGTTAAATTGTCTTTCTTCTCCTAAGCAGATACACAAAGTCTAAAGTAAATGTTATGGTGCAATTTTGTCAGCGTCTAAAGCAAATATAAATGCTTCTCTCTCTCTCTCGAAGGGGTCGAAACAGTTGCAGCTGACGCAACTCTGCAAATTACTTAGCTGATGGTCGTTTTGACCAGTTTCAGACGGTCACTCAATCGGCGAGGAAATCACTCAACGGAACGATTAGGCCGATCGATTGCGTGCCATTCGAGACGTCCGTCATCCGCGGATGACGCGACTCCGCACACTAGCACAGCTCCTGGGCCGCGGCGTCAATTTATCCACGCCATCAGTCGCTCTTATTCAAATGAGAGTGAAAATCACTTTCCATTTCCTCCCCATCTCCGATGGCTCAATACAGTATCGATTAGGTAATTGCAAGGCGCACGCCGCCAGGCCGTTCAACTTGGGAAGGAAGCTGAAATTTTCACCAGATTGCAGCACAATTAATAAGAATCTTGTGCACATTTCACTCTCTCAATTGCCGCTTCTTATGCGGAAGACGCAACATCAGCTTGATCCAATATCGAGCACACGCAGTGCGAAGAGCGAACATAGAGATTCCTCCTAGTAAAATTCATGGTAATTATGCGATATGTGATAATAACACTGATAGATTCATTAAAAAACACATCAAAGGGGGAGATAATATGCTATAAATCTTTCAAAATGACTATTGTGATTGTTTTCAGCGCGAAAATGAAAAAGAATCCAAAGAATCAGGATGATTAGTCAGTAAAAGAAGCTCCCAGGAAAGGAATATTGCAAGTTTTTAAACTAATTGAATTATCTCTCCCTTGGAAAAGGCAATAAAATTGGTGTCAGAAGTGGGATATTTCACTTTTATTGTTAATATGCGTTCAGAATACCTCATGAAACTCTTAAGTCACTAAAACAGTATAAAAAAACACATAATTTCTGCATTCTTCACAACACTAGTCAACAATTCGCAGACCTTTTGACTGAATGACAAATACATTAAGTCTCTGAAAACACTCTCAATTTCACTTTTTGTCTGCGCACATCCATCTCAGCACTGCCTTGGTGGACATAAGAAGAAAACAGAAACATTGTGTGCAGAACCCACGCGAAATCCATGCGAGTTCTGCAGTCCTCAGGCCGCCCACGATTAATCTCTGGCCACAATCTCTTCCCAGGCACTATTAGTAACTATTTGCCTTTTGGTTCCACATGGCAAATTTATCGACTCGCCATCGAGGGCATCCAATAATAAATTTTGCAGATTAATTCGCGACGCTATAAATTCTCAATCGGCACATAATGAAAGTATATCGAATTGGGGAACAATATTACCGCACTAATGTGCGATCATAAGTTGCCCAGAGGAGCAAAAAGTCTTGCATCATTGAAGTCTTCATTAGGGAAAATTGTTAAATATAATCTATACAAAAAAAAATGTGGTTCAACAAAAAATAATTATTATAATGTTTATTAACTTCACTTTCTCAATCTTCCAGGCATTGCGAATGGTTTCCGTTCGCGATAATATGCGAAAGAGGATAATTTCAGTAAAATTGATTGACTTTCTCATCCTCGCAATTTCAATCGCGATTTCCTCACATCTCTCAAATGTTGCTTGTGGGGCAGGTTTTGCCATTAATCATGGCATTAATTGATATTATTAAGTGACACGGCAATTGCACAGCTGCAAAATTATATTTCGTTCTTGTAATAAATATTCTCACACACACCGGAAAACAGCCAATGTTGCTAGAATAATTGCAAGATCATGCAAAGATACAATTCTGCTGTCCAGCAGGCAAAAAAAAAGAGTTCTTAAATTTTGTAATACTGAATTATTGGCCAGAAGGTCAATGTTCTGTTTGACGGCGGACAAACAATCTTCGGTCTTCACATGGCGAAGAAAGGAATTGAAAGCATCTTTGTTGGAATTTTTTGCCGCAAAATCTTGTAGATCACTTGAGTGCTGAGCATAAGGTTATCATTTATTAGAATACGCGCCTTTTTTCTCCCCCTGACGCGGCCCGAGAATATTTGACTCGTCATTAAGAATTCTTTCTCAGGTGAGCCACAGAACAATGTGATTCACAAATGGTTAGTGAGAAAACAGAGATGAGATTTCCGACGAATTAGCGTTGACGAGGATTCCATCACGTTTCGTGCTTGAGTGGAAGAAATATGTGTCATTCATCAAAATTCTTGGGCTCTTCTTCTTCAAGTTTATGGTGAATTTTGACTTTTACAGCAATAGTGAGCGCTTTCCTCCAGAACTCTGACATGAGTAACATCAATAAGGTGTGGTTGTTTGTCGATTGTCCATGAAAGTCAAACACACATTCGTTGTGGAGCAAACGTATTTTCAATCAACAGACACTCTAGAATGATTAATATTCTGACAGTGAAAAATCACACAATTTGCTCATCTATGATGCTTAATTTCATTACTGACACGCATGCAAATGCTTAACGCTTTGTAAAATATTCAGATCATGAAGGTAAAAGTTTGAGCTTCGTCTGGGATTCATTCTTACCGTTTGCAACTAACGTTCAAGTGAATAACTTTTGTTGCCGCATAGCGTATGATTTTCACCATAATTTTCATGATGAATCTAAAGCAGAGTCAGCGAATGGAAAAGTGCAGCTTGCAAGTTGATAAAATAACTTGCGAACAAACGAGGTGGATTTTTATTAAAATGACGGCTCTATCAATTTAACTGTTCCTAACAACAACATTGCGCCGAAAGGCAGAACGAATCGAATGCAGCGAAATAGAATTATATTTATCAGAATTGTAATTTTCCAATTGAACAGCACGCAGAGAATAAAAAGTTGTCTGTTTATTATGGTGTTGACATGTTCATTGTTGGGTAAATTTTTTTTTAATTAATACTCTCAGTGTTCTGGAATTGTGCCAAAAACGCGAGTAAAAAAGCTGAAGAAAAGCATTCCAAAGGATTATAATGTTATTCTCTCTCTCTCAGTCTGTGAAACAAACTCCCATTGATTCAGTTTCTATGCAAATTTCAATACATATTTCGCTCCATTGCTGTACGAGAAATGGCAATTGTGATCTCGTTGGTGGTGTGCTAAAATGCATACGTGCTTTGTGAAATTGAAGAAGAAACAATGCTAATTTAGCATAGAGAACTCGTGATACCGTGAGGGCATTCTATGCCCGGCAAACACGAGGCAAGAGCCCAGCAAAAGCCATATATTTACTTATTATTATTTCGTAAATCATGTAAATGGAATGGTAATCTGTAGTAATAAGCCGAGAGCGAGTAGTGATTAATGGAAACGACTTGTGAAAAATCATGTTCCCTCTCGGTCGTGGTCAATGCTAAGTTTTTCTTCAAAATTGATATGCAATTCACCCCATCTGTGCGCGCGATCACGATGCCCGAGCGAGAAGACTTCAATTGTCAATGCCAGATCGTCGCGCACACTCAGTGTCGGAGCAAATATTGGCTGATGTACTCATTGTGAGCATATGACTTATAATGTGGGATGTTAATATATGCGAAAGCGGCAATTGACGACCGTCATCCTCCTGAAATATTTCCACCTCTATATTATTCCACTCCACATCCATGGAAAACCTTGGAATACAATAATCATCATTCACACGATCAAATACAGCCGAGACAATGATGATCATGCCCGTGGTTTTCTATCATTTATTAATCTATAGCAATCTCGCGGATCACGTAAAGCCATTGGTAAATTAATCTCCACATGTGAGCCATGCAAGCATTTCCCGGTTCCCATTCGCCAGATATCCTGATCTACCTTTTTCCACTCTCTCTCTCTCTCCTTCTCTCCCTTTTCTCTGGCGACCACTAATTGGCGGAACGTAATAGGCAAGCCGGAGATCATAGTGCGATCATATAAGAAAATTGCCTTTGATCTGCAACGCGAAGACAATGGAGGTGTTCTTGCGAGCCACCACAAGAAGGTGCAAGAGTTCAACACGCACCAAACATGCCAATAATCTCCCTGTTTCTGACCAATGTCTTCCCCAGTAATATCATTATTATTTCGGTGGAAGTGCAGAAGCGGTACATCTTTATTTCCTGCGGTATGCGTGATTAGAGATTGGGTGGACGCGCAGCCGAGACCTATTGAATTGTGTTCCAACTGTGGCGCGCGATTGTTGGAGAATTTCCCGCCAAATGTGATTAATTTTCATTCCCACAATTTTTATTTCACAAATTAGGCGCGCGATGCTATCAACGTCTCTTTAGTGGATACCTTTTCTTCATTCACTCCAGGCCCATTATGTATTTATGCAATCTCCACGGCGCAACTCGGCAATTAACCAAATTTACAGTGTTTACTTTTGATCTCCATCACCAGCCAAATGCCAATGAACATTTCCGCGTGATGAATATGGCAAAGGCGGTGAAAACAAACAACACATTGGCAAGATCTCTAATCTCCGTTCTTTTCTGGAAGCCACTAAGCTTGAAAGAACTTTATGTCACCGAAGACAGCAGTAGAAAAAGCGTAGGTTTGGAGTACCTAGAAATTCTCTAAAATACCTCACTTCTGCGAATACTCCGCCCACTTGTACGCCCCGCCCACTTCTTCACCTGCTCCTGAGGACTTGCTTATTGAAATGTGACGAATATTCAGTCCAGAGGGAATGAAAAATGCTTCATACGCGATTCTAAGTGAAGAATATAAACAAGAAACTGTTGCATTACACATTAGAGTCTAACACTAACCCAGAATGTCTCTGTAGAGCGCGATTTCTATAATAGTGTCAAATGCAGAAACATTTTGCGGTGTGGATTTTCGTAGAATAACCGTTTCATCCGTTATATAATTTCAATTGAAAATTTATGTGACCGACACTTTTTTTTTATTGTTGATGCACCGAGAGAGCGCCAAATATGCTAATTGCGGCATTGTTCTCTACCTACCCTATGAATACCACACAATTGTGAGTTGTGTGCCAATTAATTCACCATGTGGGAGTTACCAGAGATTATAAGTTACAATCTGGCAAAGTGTGTGTGCTGAAAGGTAGTAATTTTAGTAGGTAAGCCTAAGGATCTTACATCCCCACTCACGTTGCTGACCAGGATGCCACAGTAGTCGTTCTGTCCCTGCCGCGCCAGCAGATTCAGGCTCATCGTCGCGACGTTGCTGCCATTGCCGAAGACCATGCAGTGGGAGTTCCGGTAGTCGCGTGCGTGCACGGCGCCCGTGTAGGGACCGCTGAGCTGCACGCGGATGTTCATGGTGCCGGCCTTGCATGTGGCCGTGACGTGAGGCGCGAACTCTGTGCCAGCCTCCTGACAATTCACCGCCAGCAGGAACACCTGTAATGCCAACGAGAAGCTTCGTTATTCACCCCTGTCGGTCATAATTAGCGGGCATGGCAAAATAGGTCAAACTGCATTTGCCATCGAGTGTGACTCTTCATCATACAATGCAATTGTTAATGAATGTATAAAAGCACACATCGTGCTGCGAGTGTCATCCCGCAGTTTCCATCTGCTTATGCAATCTCTCGTATATAATTCAAAATTCATGCATATTTAAACGTATCTGGTCATTCACTCTTACATCCAGTCTTCGCCACCTGAGAATCTACATATTAACACTCTCCGATTATGGAGTTTATTCATCTTCATTTGCGCATAATGCATCTCTGCAATAGGTAAATGTGTCAATATGGTAATGAAATGGTTTTTCCCCAAGAGATAATTAGCTTTGCTCACTTCCAATTCAAAAACGTTTCCAACCACCAAGAGGAAGTGACAAGGGGGAGATAATGTAGCTAGAAGTGGTGTACAGAAATCATTTTTTAACCAGATCTTCATTTTTCATAAATTGAATTTATTTTATACTTTTTAATAGAATTGTACATTTAAACTCCATGAAAATCACAATTATGGAAGTTAATTGGTAAAAAAAGCAAAAAAGTTAAACATAACCTCAATTTTTTAACCTAGTATGTGTGATTCTAAGTTAGAAGGATTCTAAACAAGATTTCTTAAGAACAACTCAATGCAATTGAAAGGTTATCGTCTTAAAGATACCAACAGTGCAATTATTGTCTGAAAAGCTTAATAATAAATGATGTCAGTTAGATTTCAGTTAGTTTCCAGTTAATCTTCAGTGAATAAAATCAACATTGACAGCATGATTTGCAGAATATCATTGATTCGTCGTTTTCACTTAAAAAGTTGTCCATTCAAAGACTTCTGCGAAGTGTTAAGGATTTTTCATGTGAATTGTGGAAGTGTCAGGAAATATTTATAGATTTTAGCCACATTATCTCCCCCTTGCGAAGTGGTATAAATTGCGTGGCATGAAAACTTTCTTCCTCTTTTGCTCAATTTTCACAATTGAGAATCACTTTTTTGTACTTCATAATTGAATTTACATGCTGCATTGTTCCATAAGCACACAATTAATTTCCACGTGTCATCACGACACCTCTGCATGTGTCTGAAGTGATAAAACCCCCATGAATTGGACTATCAATCATTTGCGAAGATCATTGTGATCGTCACGATATCACACATTCAATTTCAGTTTCACATTTCTCTGCTGTCTTTTCTCCTTTCATTTCCACCCAGAGCCCTCTTATGAATCCGCTGAGCTGCAGATATAACAAAGAGGTATGCTTCACCTAGCAGAAATTATATTCATATGTATGTCTTTTCCTTTCTATTGCGCCAAAGTGTACGTATAATTTTCATTTTTTTAGTTGCGAAAAGCACTGCTTAAGGTTGATAGTTACAAACTTTTCATCTTCACTCTACTGGAATAAAGCAAATAATAATAATATAAATTGATATTGTACAATACAATACACTCACAACACACTTAATTTCGTAGACGAAAGTGCAGATGAAAACAAAACTGTTCCTCATTCATTGAAAATACAAGCGTGCGAGTGAAAATATTTTTTTTTAACAGGGAAGAAGAGTAATTACAAATGACTGTGTTTTCCATAAATGTAGGTCCAAAAGTGAATAATTACCACACAGAGTTTCGACTCTTTGGCACCGTTAATAAATAAAATCTCTATTAATTAAAAATGTAAGTGAAATTTCTGTTTGAATGTCGTCTCGGTGAGTGACTTTTTGGCGATTCTAAATACGAATGGCAGATCAAAAGGGTTCCCGAGAGAGATGAAGACTTAATTCTGGGATGAAAATATGTTTGTTTTTTTCCAAAGCCGCATGCTCTGAGTCTCTCAAAGTAGAGGATTACGCTGTGACACATTCATGGATTTCCAGTGAAAAGTGGTGAATGAAAATGTGAAGGGGATAAAGCACAATTATACATCGTGTCCGGCAAATCGGTTTTCGGAATCAGAGCATGAGGCGCACAAGAAGAGATTCACTTGACGCAATAGAACAATGAACCTGCGCGACACTTGAGCACATCACTCTTCTGTGATGCCAGCATTCCTTCCTGAATGACTTCTTGGTTGCGCATCACTTGATACTGAGGCGTCATATACTGAAAATTCCGCTTATTCCATTTCGATTGCTAGCAAAACGTACTTAAGGTGCGATTTTCGAGTGAAGATAAATACTGGAGGACCGGTTTTCGTCAGTGAAAACATCTTGTTCAACTGCCTGGGCACTTTACATTATTTATCATTTAGCCGAGAATAACGAATTTACTGTCGTGAGCCGAGAAGTATTTTATGAATTTGCATTTTTCACAGTCCGCGCCAGTGCGTGATCGAGAGGACGTGTAGCCCAAACAATGACGTTTTAAGTCTTGCTACTCAGCAGCAATAATGGTGAATGCCCAGCCATTTATGGGCGAACGAGAGTGAAATCGACTTCATGTCGCGATCCATGTCAAGAAGTATATGCACAGGCATATGTACAAATATACCTTCGTATAGGATTAACCGTATGGAACAAAATATGCAACTAAGTAATCAGGCATTTACATGAATTTCCATAAAAGAAATGCGCACATGATAAACTCTTTCCATTCCGAAACCCAAAGCGTTTTATGTGCAAATTCTCAGTATGATTTCTCTTGATCACATTCAGTATTTCGTGGGTCGAAGTCAACATAATGTGAACTGTCCTTAAGTCATCTAAGGAGGAAGCTGTGCTTTTCCACTATCATGTCATCTCTTCCGCGGTCATGTGAACTTTTTGAATTTTCTGATACAATTCACCTCAGCGTCTCGAGTGCATAAAATATGATCTCAACAGAGTGCTGAAATGTTTTTCTTTTTTAACACAATAAGCCTTTCAGCAAAGTCAAGGTTGGACAAAAATTTGTGTGGGAGATTCCAAAAATGCTGAGGATCTCTTAATTGTACCGAAAATACCCCAATTTGGAGATTGTCAGTTTATGTATTGTGGGTTAAAATTGAAGGATAAATCATGATATCTACAAAACGGAATGGGAATTTAGAGCAGAATGAGAGCATTTTGATTGTATTTTTTATAATACGTTATTGAAAGCATAGGCACTCAATCGAGACATTCTCAAGACATAAAATCTGTTGATTTTGAAATAATTGAATTTAAAAACATCACAAAATGTATGTACCTTTTTCACTGTTGGGGAAGTGTTCAAAAACTTGCAATATTTCTTTCCTAAGTGTTTCTTTTACAAATAAATTATCAGGATTCGTTGAAATTCTATTGATTTTTGCGTAAGTAACAATCGTAATAAATCTTTTCTAGGTTATGTAACGAATCAAGAACAAATTAAATAAGTAATTAGCATTCTGAAACATCAATTCTCGTGCTAAAGTCAGACAGATCGCTAGACATTGGCAGAATTTAGCGTTTTCATGGAATAAACATTGCTTTTCTGACCTTTTAATGCCAAGAAACACTGCGAATTGTGCTGAGATCGAACATAACCTCAAAATTATTGATTTGGACTTGGGAAATGTTTATTCAGAAAACTTTTTGGGAAATCTTGACTCTGAATCAACAATTTTGATTTGATTGGCGAATGATAAGAGATGATTTTGTCATCTAGAAAGCGTCCAAGCTGAGTTTTTAAAGATTTCTTTGTAACATTTTTAGGTTATGGTCCGAAAAGACGTCTGAAAAGAGTGTCTTTAAGTGGATTCTTACAGAAAAACCGAATGGAAACTTGAAAGATTCATTGTAATTTCAGTATAAGTGTGTAGAAAGCTTAAAAATTTAAAGTATTGTACTAATTAAGGGCACATTATCTTCCCCTTGTAATGTACTCCTGACCTGCGCTTCCTCTACAAATTCTTCTCTCCCAATAGGCCAATAAAATGTACAACATTTCCACGGTTTTATGAAATATGTAAAGAGCTGGCATAGACAATGTGATAAAATATGTGTAAAAGTGTGTCTCACAAAAAGTGTGCTTCTTTCGCGAGGAAAGTAGTTATCAGTGATTGTGCAACAGCGTGCATTCATTGTTACAGATGAAAATAATAATAATATTGTGCTCGAACGGGGCCACTGGGTCGATAGCATACTCTCAATATTCTTCAAACTATCGCGACGCAGGGCGAGATTTGGCAATTGAATGGACAGCAGAAATTCACACACGAAATCATCGCGCGCGCTTCTCACATGTGAACTTCACAATGCAACAACACATAATCTCTGTGGGAGCAATTTGGGCTGGAAAAGTCAAACGCGAAATTGACCTTGAGTTTATTGTCACCCACAATGTTTGGGACGGCTTAATGGGTGGCAAAATGATTGAAAATGAAAACGCAACTGACCGTGAATCGCCTTTTTTGCCACCAAATGACGCCGCACAGCGCGTTCCTCAAGATTGATCCGGAAATTGCTTTCCCAACCGCAAGATCATGCAGAGATTGATGAATGGTAACTGTGCATCTCGAGCAGTTCCTGCGCGAGATGCAGAGTTTCGCGACAATCGCGAGACAGAGTGTCATTCACCGTTAGTCATAGACTAGAATCGACGGTTTCCATGCTGGGGCGCATAAAATTCTCATCTTATGCAATTGTTATGCAACAATGGATCATCGATGAATTTCGGGCCTCTCGATTGGAATCTCTCTCTCTGCCCAGCGCTTGTGATGTAAATTGAAAGTTATGCACAATGGAAGAGTGATTGATTGTGCCGCATTTTACCGACTCCAGAAATATGAACAATTTCACACATGAAGATTCCAATCTTCAATTCATTCGATTCATTTCCCTGGCGCGGCGTGTACGGCGAATCCACACACACGAAAAAAGTGCAATCACTCTCTTCGTCTGCAGAGAGCATAATTAAAAGCAAGAAAATGGTATTAAGAACAAATGCAATAATAGGCATTTCATGTTGATTTCTCTACGGCTATGCTTTTTTTCTCTCTCCCTTCTTTCGCGCTTCAATGCTGGTGTTTCATTGAATTTGAGATGCTGTGAATAAATGCTGCCTATTTTCTATATTAATTACGCAACTCGAAAATTTTTATTCCTTTCCATACGCGCGCCTAGGCGAAGCTTTATTATTTATTGCCAATACAGAGAGCGAGAGAGGAAAATGCTCGCGCCGCACAATCGAACTGTTGATGCGTGGTTGTAGGCAATATTGCACAGATATATTAATCCTATCACAGCAACACGATGCGAATGCTTGCAGCACTGTTATTAATCTATTTTGGCGGAAAAACTGTAGCAATGGCAAATACTTACGGCGGCTGTGAGGAGAAGATAGTGTGTGAATGAGGCACTTGGCGTTGGAACTGCCATGTTTATCGGCTATTCGAGTCTTTCGTTTCGCAGATCTGCAAATCACAGGCAAATTTAAGCTGTAAATCACGCAAAAATGCCATTTGTAGCCTTCTCTTCTCGGAATCCCTTTATTCAATGTGACGGAGATTTCGGAGACTATGGCAGGAAAAAAAGCGCACTTTATCCAACAAGCGTGACAATAAGTAATCTTAATCACTGGATCAGCATGCAGACCTTGTGGAACCCACACACTTCTTGCCGCCACTGTCTTATGATGGTGTTTGACTTGGCGCTTTTTTCCATTGCCCAACTTGGCCAGTGGCTTTGGGACATGAGGTAAGACAACGCAGACTCTGTACATCTGCAGTTGGAGTGAATTTTGACGAGTGTGAATCCAGAAGGTGGGCGACGCGCTTCATTAAGGCACTTGGGCACGTGCATTGACCCTTTGCGCGACCAAGGAATGCTCTTGCATTCTGTGCGACATCGTCGGCTCGCACTGCTTTTCATATATGCAAAATCTCCAACGCACCGTCACAATGAATAAAGTTCACCTCTGTGGCGAAACTTACTCTCAGCAAGAAACTGTGTCCTTAACTTTTCTGCCTTAGCTGGCGGAATTCCAATGATTTGCACACGCGGGAAAACTTGTATCTAAAATCTAAATGTGTTTATGCATAATTCACACCAACGATAGTTGACCAAAATGTGATTGTTGCATAATGTGTTTAACTTGTGTCAAAAATAAATGTTTTCTTTTCAATTCTCTCAGATGGCGGAATTTATATGAATAACTCGAAGAAGAAAAAAAATCGTCTGTAAAGCAGTCGATTATCTCATCGCGGCCTCAAGTCACCAACATATGTGTATATATTTTTCGGAACGAAAATTCACTTTCGCGATGCTGCTCGTCGTGTGACTTTGTTGGTCGTTTTTGCACAAAACCCGATGAAAAATCACAATTGTGGGGTGGAAAAGCTGTCGTGTGGCCAGGAAAAGACCCAAATTGACTCCTTTAATCACTATTTTTGCCACATAAACCCTAATTTTCTCCTGACATTCCCACTCTTGTTCGTTCGATCGCGCACCAAGCGACGTTCCACTCCAAAATCCTCACTCAAACTAAACTCACTGATTCAACAAGAAGTTGAAGTTGATTTTACCTGGAATTTCTCGTGGATCACCTCGCGAGTGCTCGCATTGAGGCTGTGTTGGTGCTTTTTTATTTACACTCAGCCAATTGAATAAATTTCACGCGGAAAGAGTGTGTGTCGATCGTGGTCCAGAGGTTGTGTGTGAGAAAACCGCGCTTTTTCACACACAACGAGCTGTTCTCAGCTCAGACTCGAATCACTCTTTCGTTGAGTCTCTTAAAGAGTGTCATTTTTTTGGTGTTTCTTTGCCAAGCAAACATTGACGATATGTGATTGAATTTTCAATTATTCATCCCCTGTTTCTGTCACTACTGCAAGCTTAACTACTAATTCACGAACTGTTTACATTCTCAATAATACATTGGCATCATTATAGCTAATATAGATCGATAAGGAACTTAATGCCATGCGCTGAGAGTGTGTCTGTGTTATAGGATATTTCAGCAGGAAAGGTGGAAAGTTCTCAAGCAAATTTGTTCACATTGAGGGGAAATGTTATACCAGAATTTTCACACAAGCACTGAATCTGCTCTATTCAACCCCTCAAGTTCGACTTTCACCCGAGCGAGCGGAACATCTTTTCAGTGTTCTTGTGCCCTTTGCAACAGTGAAAAGTAACTCCGCACTTTTCGCTCCCTCTCAGTACAGTGAGACTCTTTTCCCTTTTTTCAGTGGTAAGCAAAAATGGTTGATTTTCCCACCGGAAAAACGCCCCAAATTCCTCCCTGGATTGGCTCTTAATCCGCTGTCGGTGCTCGCGAAAGGACAGATGAGTTGGCAGATGGAGGAAAAATCAATTAATTATGTGGGGATGTGTGAAAATTCCTGACATGGAGGATATCCAATTATATATCCATATAGCGATGTTATGCAACGTGCGTTCCGATTATTTAATTTATTTTCTGTGCGAGTTTCACTCCTAATTCACTTAAAAGTTTGTGCTCAATTGCGGCGACGAGAAGAATTGCTTGAGAAACTGCTAATTTACTCTCCATCGATTTTCTGTTAATCATTAATCAATCCCTAAATATCAGAAACTCTAATCAAACACGCCGTGAATCACACAAAATCACTTAATACAAAGAAAGTCTCGACCAGCGACACCCACATCGCAAGCGTGGAGGGAAAAAACCCAGTGAAAAAATCACTTAACTTAAGTATATCTTCATACATATATGCGTTAAAAGTTGACGAAAAACTTTGTATTAAATGTCGTGGAAAAGGGGGCTCGTGTTAACGAAGAAGAGAGGGCTTTGACCTACCAAAAGAGAGCATCCCGCAGAGAGGGAGAGTAAAATAAAGTATCAAAAGCTCGCCGTGTAGGTAGCAAAAGCTCAGTAATGAAAAGAGAGATGAATCGTGATTGGACTCGCTATGTGACTGCCATTCGTGACTCCTTGGGAATGAAGGCAACCTGGAAAAGTGTGGAAAAGACTTGTGACATAAATATGAGCAGTCATTTAAATAAATTGCTGTGCATTGTAAATTATATTTTGCAATTTTAATTAAAACTCATAAAATAGTCATGTGCAGTCAGCATAGTTCGCATAGGAATAGTCGACGCCAAAGTGTGTCAAAATGTTAAACTTTTCCCACTTCTGGACACTCAATTCTGAAGAGGGAGAAAAAATAAATTAAACTAGACACCGTAGATTCTCATAATTGCTATAATTGAATAAGTTTATAGCGCAGTTTTAGTCAAAATATTAGTGAATTTCATCAATTTAAACTGCTTTTATTGCGATAATGTATTTTTGACTATATATTTTCTATCGCTTTTCCCATAGATTTCCATTTCCGCACATATTCACAACTATATCAAAATCCAATAAATATTCGCATAAACTTGACAGAACAATAAAATTTGGTCATGAATATATGAATTTTTACGTATATAAGTGTGAAAATTGTGGAGCAAAACTTATATTATAGAAATGTGTTGGTTAAATTTTCATGACTTTTAGCATATTTCATATGCGATTATCAGCATTTTTCCTCAGCTCTCGACATCAATAAAGTTTATTTGCTCAGAAGAGACATCTCGAATGTGTTCTTTGCCCATCCAGCACATTTTCCTGCCTCATTATCAAGCCCTGTCATTTCCATACATTTTCTTCTTTTCCTGCAAACATAGTGTTAACATTTTGTCCACCCTTTCTCTTATAATGGGCTCACAGTTGGTCTGAGAAACTCCAACTCGCATTAATCTAATTACAATTAATACACCCCTCTGGGAAAAGCTTCGTTGGCGGCGCACTCGTCATGAAATGCTTGTTGTTTAATGGAAAATCCAAGTGATTTTGAGAATGTGATCCTATTTGGATAAAGCGATTAAAATGTTCCTCTGTGGAGACATAAAGCTCGTTTTCTTTCGCACATATATTTCACACCCACTTTAATAAATCATCATCATCTTTGTATGATATGCAAAAAATTGCTAAAGAAATGGCTTTCATAAATTCTGTATTAAATATTGAAGAACACTCAGCACTCTCTCTCTCTCTTTTGGTATTTTCCTCACCATTTTATGATACACAGTATGTGTTGATTTGCGTGGGATTTTCACCCTTATCTCGGTGAAACTTTTATGAAAATTATGTAAAGTGTGAGCATTGAAGGGATTTCACAGTGCCTGAATGTCTTTTTGGATCCTCGTGTGTGCGGAAAACAATCCTTATTGAATTTGAAGACGGTCAATTGAGCCTTCAGCGTGATTTGTGGAGTGTTTTCTGCCCTATTTCTTCCCAACCCCCTTCCGCTCCGCGCACATCATTTCCCTTCACTGCTGATCTCATTTCAATTTATTTCCAGCATCAACAGCGTTTGGCAACAAGTTGTTAATTTTGCCCACCAAGTTGCAACCCTTCAAAATTCTCCGGTGTGAAACTTGTTGAGAGTCCTTCAATTGAATTCCCCCGAGCGGTAAGCTAAATTTAATGTCACCTCACGCGCGCCCTTCATGTATATAACATGAGAGTAATGGTAATATTTTAATATTGCAGAGAGATCAGATTTTCACACATTTCCCCAGTCTTGTCAAGATCCTTGAACTCTGCGTTCATTAGCTCGAGACATTTGCTGACAGACGTTAATCGGCAAACAACACTGTCATCCCTTAAGTTCCCCTTAATTCAATATTAGTGCTATTGCTGCGGTTGGGTGTGGGCGAATTTGCGCCCCGCCACAGGTAAATTCACATCGCCACACATTTAGCATTCCCGAAGTGTCCTAAAAGCGAGTGTTTTTGCAGGAACAGAAAACCGGCACCCTGAATTTTTCAAGCTTCCGCAATAGCTTCACTTCAAATGTCAACTACCTGAAAAGAAGGTAAATTTCTTAGCAAATTCCAACACATTTTTGATGGTGTTTCCGTTGGAGACGAAAAAGAAAAACCAATCACTGTGAAAATGTCGAGTGTTTTGCATAATATTGTGTCGGTGTCTCACAGATAAACCAACTTTTTGTATAAAATGACTTAAATTTTGATCTCTAATCTCCAGAATTTAGGACAAAAGTTAACACAATGAGAATGAACTTTTCTATTCTCACTGAACGTTTTAAAAAATTATAGGCACAAATTTACATATATTTTTAACAATCCCTGAAATAATTTATTTTATACAAATCTCTTTTATTGAAATAAGAAAAATATAAAGGAATGAAATGCTTCAAAACCTCCTGTGAAAGTTTTCCATATGCTTTATGAGGCTGTAGAATGTTTAAAGAAAATCACAGAATATAATACTTGAATATTTATTTTCATGACTTCCCGGATCACAGTGAAGCTATTAAAACATTGACGAAGTAAATAAATTATTTATCCTATTTATTTTCGATTATCATGCACATTTGAGTTGTTTACTAGAAAAAACCCTCCCAATTCGTGCATGACCTTTTTTATTATTCCTTTTTTCTCTTCATTTTCCTCATTGGTGATAAACTGACAAATTTGTAGGCCGAATTTTCCCGTTCTTTTCAGTAATTTGCATGAGCTTTTAACCAGATGTGAAGTGGCTTTTCAACGCTTTTCCTCATTTGTGTTTGTCAAAATTTGCTCTTAATCGTCTTTTATTACATCATTAGAATTGTGAATTTTCTCCTAGCGAAGTCAAGCTTACAAGATTAGAGATTATTTTCGGGGTTAATCATGCTCAAAATCAAACAATCTTCCCACTGTCAGTGATTTGCTACACAGAACTGTAAGTGCGTTGAGCATTTTGTGTGCCGGGCGAAACTGAAATCTCGGTACTGTTGTCGCCATAGTAACAACGGATCGGCCGGAGCCGATGACGGCACGACTGTGCAGTACGAATGCTAATGCTGTGCAGATGAAATCGACCGAGCGACTTGTAGAAAAAAACCAGTTTAGCAGTATTTGTGCGGCATAAGATAGAAATCAGAGCCGAAAGGGGAGATTTAGGGAAGCATGAACCCTCTTCTCAGTCACGTCGCTCCGATCCAGCGACAAGAAAATGGGCAAGAACGCGGCAAAAAGAGTCAAACTGCCTTCATTGTGGTTTTCTCATTCTCCCCATTTCGGCCCTGCGCGTCTGTTTTATTAGTATACTGTCCAACGGCTGTGTTCTCAGTTTTGCGGATACTGTGAAAGGTGAAACACCTGGAAAACATCTACTGTGAATGAGTGGAATGGTCTGTCGGATAAATAACTTATAAATGGTGTATTAGTGAATTTGCCGAGCCAGAAACTCACGGCAATCAATTCAATATTGATGAAGATACAGTTTTCAGTATATTTGTGCCTAAATACCAGTGCCATTCAGTGTTTATTTGTCACGCCGTGCAACCGACTGAATACATACTTTTCGATATAGAAGCAGTATACAAAGGAATTACTGTACAGCAGTGGCGTAGTGAGATGAAAATCACTTTGTGCAAACAGTGAAAAGTCTATTCTTAGCTCATAATAATGCTGAATTTGTACTTTGTGAATTTTCAACGTTCAAATATTCTCACTAATTTATAATTAAATCAGATTATCGCAACGAGACGATGCAAAAAATGGGCGGAGCTTTCTAGTGGGCGTGTCTACTGAGAAATATTCATATTCCAACGCACTCAATAAGTTTTGTTCATTAGAATGTCTTAAATTCTGCTCAGATTGTAAGGAAATTAATAAAAAATCTCAACCTCAAACTCTAAGCTAAAGTTCTTATCGGGGATGCATAAAGGGCCCGTCAGATGGCCTGGATGCCGTGGAGCAAGACTTCTTGCACCACCCCCATCTTTAATCTTAATCTTAAGCTAAAGTTCTTCGCCAATTGAGCAGACTACGCCACTGCAGAGTGTATTTCATCCAATAACTCCTCAGCAAACGCTGTGTGTTCGTGCAGTTCATGCCGGTAGATGTTGATTGGTGAGAGGGTCAGTAATGTATCGCCCGAGAGTTTCCACGAAGAATAAGCGCACCTTCAAAACCTGGAACAGGGAAAGGATATTCCCAAATGCCCTGGAGGCGGAGAAGGCCGTTCTGGATGAAGGATGCTGGACGTATCGCTTCAAGAATCACACTTACGAGGGCATCAAGAAGTATTATGAGTGCAAATTCAAGAAGTACAAGAGATGTTTGCAGCAAATACACTTGATGTTCCTCACCAACTCGCAGGAAGTGCATCTGTTCAGGACGAATCACAGGCACAATCATCACATGGTTGGTGAGCAGTTGAGGCCGGTTTCCATGATAGTGCCGCCGTTGTTGCGACAAATTGCGCAACACGAGCCACAGGATGCACAGGATATTACTTTTCGGCCAAATCTGGCGATTGTCAAGGCGGAAACGCTCGAGGAGCCCTTCGAGGAATCTAATCAAGATGATTTCCTCATGGATGTGTCGCCGAGTGAGAGCTTCGCCGAGAATGAGTTGGGCTCAAAGAGGCAGAAGCGCAATTGGATAAGGGAAGAGACCTTCGCGTGCCAGCGAGAAGCGTGCGAATTTGTGCGCCAAGAGGGCTGCTGGGGATACAGATTCAGCAACACGACGCTCGATGGCGTGAAGAATTACTTCCGCTGCAATTTGACCAGGACGAAAGGCAAGCAGTGCGCACAGGAAATCTACTTGGCCTTTGAGAAGAATTCACCGCTCGTGCACTTGTACAGGACCAACTGTGACCACACTCACGACAGCATTAACGAGGAATTCAGGAGCTCGAGTGCTCCAGGAACGTCACATGCTCACCACAATGCGGAATTCACGCCCATCAAAGTGGAGATATCGGATTCCTCCTCCGAGGATGCTTCATTTCAAGAGGGGTAATCAAATCACGAGATGCTAATTGGGCTGAATTTGATTTCATCTGTCTTTTGCAATCCCACAGACTCAACATTTTCGACATTGATGCTGTGACTCAGGCTCTCTTTGTGCCTCAAATGGACACTGTGGCCCCGCAAATGCACTCCATGAGATCCAAGAGCATTTGCCAGAAGAGTTGGGCGAAGGAGAGGACTTTCTCGTGTGCTGAGAGCGCAGAGAGAGTGCTGAAAGAGGAGGCGTGCTGGAGTTATCGCTTCAAGAACAACACGTCCGAGGGTGCGAAGAAGTACTTTCGGTGCAATTTGGCCAGAAGGCGCGGCACGCAGTGCGCCCAAGAAGTACATCTTCTCTACGAGGCGAATTCCCCCAGAGTTCATCTGTTCAGGACAACAAGTGAGCACACGCACGACGTGAATGAGGCGCAGGGTATTAATATGGATCCCCTTGTGAGGGATGAGATTTCAATGCTTTACCGGCATAATGTGCGCAAGCCCAAGGATATTTGGCAAATGCTGCAGAAGAAGCCGCGGCAGAAACTTCCATCATTGCGGCAAATATCAAGTTTCGTGATTCGCCTGAAGAAGAAGCACGATATCAGTCACACTTCTGCAAACAGCTTCGAGGACGTTGTCATCAAATCGGAACCTGAGGAGTACATTCAATTGTATGTTCATGCGCGTAAATATAATAGTATATCACGAAGAGTGTGGAATTAATCTCAATTTACTGCCAAAGGAGTTTGATAAATGAATAACAATCATAGTACTTACAGTTCTGTTTAATAAGCCACTGATTGCGCCCATAAAAGGGAGATTCATTCATATTTTATAGTCGCACTAAACAAATATTATACTATCCGCCTAATTTGTCATAAACTTTTTCCATGCTGTTTGTGCTTCTGATAGGCATAAAAAAAACGAAATATTATGTAATATAATACACAATCTTTCCATTTCCCAACACTAAATCACTTTGAAGCAAACATCCAACACGTAAATTCCACAATTAATTTTGGTAAAATAGATCTCAATGTATACTTTCCTTAGATTGGCGTTTCTGAATAGCTATGACACATTTTCTCTCTCTTCACATGTAATTCCAACACAATTTTCACAAAGCACACTCACAAAACCACAGCAAAACTATGCATTCTAGCCGACGAGCGAGCGTTTGAAGCACTCAGTGAAGGCGTTCTCGAAATTTCTCATTGCAGGTTCTCCTCGGGAGACTTATCTTCCGAGTGCGAGGATGGTGGAGAGGTCAAAGAGGCCCCCCCGGGCGCCCGGCCGCCGCCGCTGCAGCAGCAGCCGCTCCCGACCGGTGGGCCACCCAACATCCCGCCACCCCCAGGTGAGAACTCTTGGCACTGAGTAACCGCTCGCGAGGGAAATCGCTCTTGCCATTGTGTGGCAGATGCACACAATTGTTTAATCCTTGGAAGATAAATTGTTTATGTGGAGACATTGAAATTTCGCCTTCGGGAAAGTGATTAAAGTTCTGATGCTTACGAAAAGTTATTGTGTTTTACGGGAGCTTTTTAGTGTAGAATGGATCATCAAAACCATGTTATTAGAAATAAAGTTAAGGCAAGGGAATTCATTACTCGGAAATAATTCATTCAATTTTATATCAAGAAGGCTTGAGACGATTTAGCTTATCGTCAATGCCCCGCCCATTCGCAAGCTCCGCCCACTTATTCCTTCTTTCCGTGTTTTCTCTTGCCATTGCAGCTCCTGGGACGGTCGGCGGCCCGCCGATGTCTGCAGGAGTGACTGCGCCTGAGCTGTCGTTGAGCTTCGGAAAGGGTCCTGCCAGGGGCACCAGCGCCCCGGCGAGTCCTGCCAAGTCTCGCGAGAGCCTGCTGCAGAGAGTGCAGAGTCTCACGGGAGCGGCTCGCGACCAAGGGGCGTCCATCATCAGCTCTGCGGTTTCCAGCGCCACTCGGCCGGCGTTCAACAAGGATCGCTGTCTGACACTGCTGGTGCTGGACGACCAGAACACCGACTGGTCCAAGTACTTCCGCGGCAAGCGCCTGCACGGCGACTATGACATTCGCGTGGAGCAGGCGGAGTTCAGCGAGATCTCGCTCACTGCGAGCGCAGAGAGCGGAACTGTGGTCAGCATGGCGGTGGTGCGCGGCGGAACGAAGGTGGCGCGCTCCTTCAAGCCGGACTTCGTCCTGGTGCGCCAGCCACCGAGGGACGGATCTCGCGACAGCCGATCGACTCTCCTGGGGCTGAAGTATGGCAGCGTGCCGAGCATCAATTCGCTCTCGTCGCTCTACCAATTTCAGGTAAATTGCCGCGCATTCGCCACGCATAATGCCAAGTGTTTTTTCCCTCCTCGCACAGATGCGATTGTCTTTTCACAGCTTCTTCTTAAGTCGATGGTAAATTCTAAAGCAACCGAACAACTTGCCAAGGGCTTTTGAGATTGGCATTTGCTTGGTAGCCTCAGAATTTGCACAATCGCAAGCTTCACACTCTTTATTTTGCTGTATTTTATTCCATGTTATCAATACAAAATGATTTTTACATCAAAACATTCTGTCACTTCTGTATTAATGTTTGCCCGTTGCAAAATGATTTCGCAGGACAAACCGTGGGTGTTTGCGCATCTTCTGCAACTCCAGAAGAGACTCGGCCGAGACATCTTCCCACTGATTGAGCAAACTTTCTTCCCAAATCCACGCGAATTGGTAAGTGTGATTCATAGGATTTCATATATGAAATGTGTTAAAGAATGAGAAATTCATTAACTTGACACTTTGTACTATTACTTGCTATGTTTTTATCTCGATACATTTAGTTGAGAATAAATATTTTACGACATATTGTGTTAAATATCATACATATCAGCGTATAGGTTTCTTTTCCATAAAATATAGAGACAAATAAGTAATTTCGGCAACTAATCATTGATAAATACTCTTTAAATATGTGGTGGTGTATTTTGGTGAAGGGTTGTTGAAATCCTAGTCTAGGGCGCGAGTATACAACTCATGTACGGAGAACTCCTCTTCCAATGGCACTTTGTGGGTTCGCCATCGGGAGTTAGGCTTCCTCTTGTGGGGATGCACACGCCGTAATCTGACTCGCAAGCGGACAAGTAAGACCAGCTGCAGGTCTTTTCCGCTGGTGGGCAATCATTGCTGAAGCACGGCTGGATCTGCAGTGGGAAAGCTCGTTAGAAAGCTCTGAAAGCTAACCTATTCATAGTTGTGTCTCTTACGCGGCAAGAGCAGCCTTTGTGGTAGGAACTCGCGAATCCTCTGCGCTCCACAACAGTCATTTTCTTGTACTCCTTCACGTAACTGCACAGATTGATCTGAGTGCCTCTGCCAGCAATTGCATACGTCAGTCCAGGCTTCAGATCGACGCCGCACATGCTGCTCATGGGCGGCGTCGTGAGAATCCTTCGCATTTTCAGTTTGTTTGGCTCCTTGCCATTCATCTGAAAGCCACAAGAGAGCTCTATAGTGATTTGGCGCGGATTTGGACTCCCGCAACTCACCTTGTAGGTTTTGTAAATGTGCAATTTGTACACGACTGGGCCGTTTGCATGTGGAATGGAGCGCTTCAAGACACGTGCAATAATTGCTGAAATTGCAAACAAATTGATTCATGATACACAGTGTGTCTCGAGCAGAGCTGAAAATCTGTTCATACCGAATTCTGAATTGCAGATTTTCGTCTGTGTGTGCTCAAGTGCACAAGAGCAAGCGTCTGCGGGAGTTGAAATCATTGCCAGGCCGATGAAGGCAATAATGCAAAATATGACCGTCCTCTTGGTGTCCATTATTAGCTTGTGTGTGCTCTTATCTGCGGAGTAACAATTGTGGAATTTTCGTATATCATCTTCTCTCAGAGATGAAGCTTGCGGTGTTTGCGGTTGCACGAAGTATTTCGGGTTGAATTGAAAATGTATAAGGTTGTGGTTTTTTTGGGAAACAATATATGTAAATTATATCAGAAACATGCCGGGAAAACCGTTTCAATGAATCAATAAATTACGAATCACCTCAGAGAAACTTTCATTACCACAAGCGCGACTGCTCCGCTGGAGTTGCAATAGGAAGTGAGAATTGGGAAGATTCTACAGACAGATATTGGAATTTATGACTTGAATAGTCAATATGATCGCACGACCTTTACCAGAAAGGGTCCGGCTGTTGGTCTTTCATTGGATTAAGCATGAATCTTCAGAGCGCAAGTTGAAAATTGACATTGAATTTGGTGTTTTTGAGGCTTCTCAGTATCCAATTGAAATCAATCGAAGCTGATTTCTTTGATGTATTTGATTACATTTTAATCAATTCGACAGAAATTCATGATTCGTCTCAATATCGCAATTCGTTTCTCAGCAAATTTCGCGTTTATCAAAAGGAGATCCAGTTGATTGAGTTATTTTTGTCACTCAACATTTGGTTGATTTTAAACAATTACTATTAACTCATTGAGATTGTGTATTTTCCTCGGTATTTTGAGGATCTTCGCAAAGGCTCAACTCCTAAGAGGTTCTTAAGTATGTAAATTAAGTGAGAATCATTCACAATTTTCCACCACTTTGCCGAAGGAAATTTTTTCAGAGGAAAAATCAGTGCTTATGGACGAAAATAGAACGTTTTTGTGTGTCTTAAATCACGCTTTAGCTTTCCACATATTCTCATGAAGTGAAAAACCATTTGCACGTACAAATAGAACACCCACAAACCCACGATTTTCCACTAAACCACCATTAAAATTGTCGTTTTTTTTGTTCATTGACGGGAAAAATGCAAAGACGAAACTTCTATTAATGGCATTTACCATGCGTAGAATGTTGTTTTAGTGTGTATCCTATCCCAAAAGTGCCATATATTTACCCATGTCATTGATGGCATCTTTAAGAAGGTGCTTGTTTGTTTTTCCTCACAATTTTGTCCAACCCACTTTCACTTTTCTTGATGTGGGCGCGCGCGCGCAACTACTCGATGGTTGAGGCGATTTATGTGGTTTATTTAATTAAATAATTATAATGTCTTTATCAGTGAGATTAGAACTCTCTTGCAATTACAGTAATTGCAGTATATGTGGAGTTCCTTGAGAATTAAATTATACTATACAAGCCAGACACAGTTCATTCATATTTCTTCGTCATGTTGCAAGATGAATGGTTTTCCTTCTTCTACAGGAAAAATTGAAAACACACTCTTCCATAAAACATTGTGTCAATGCAAATGCGAAGCAAGTTCTGCTCATTGTCGACTATTGCGATTAAGAAATAATTGAAGAAATTGCACAAGTTGTGTGTTATAAAATGCTAAAGAAAGTGAATTTCTGGAGAGACTGAAGCCTCATAATGTATATTATTAAGATGAATTACATCTCTTATCTGATAAAAAGGTCATACAAATTTTATTACTTGATGCGCTCTTCTATTGCATATTCCGCACGGTATGAAAAGTGTTATTTTTCACATAAAACTTAATGGCGATATTGAGTGGGTTTAACCGTGTTTTCACAATAAAGTCACTCTTGCAGTGTTATGATATCGGATTTTTTCACATGGATTCAGCGCACCTAATAAGGTGTGAAATATTCTCACCTCAGCAGATTATCCCTGAAGCTGGCTTGGCTCACAGAACAGATAGTTTGAGTCACTGATAATACTGCGTTGGCATTTTTTTCCAGTCACACCGTAAAAGGATTAAGTTCTGCACTCTGTGTTTCTCTTTACGATGCTGCACCAGACACTTTTATGCTGAACCTTCACATAAATGCTCAGTTGAGTTATTGGCAATAATGCACTTGTGCATAAGACACTAGACAATGTGATTGGGTGATGTTAAGCGCTTAACTGGCTGCCGCAAACTAAAACTGATGCTTCCTCACCACACTCTCTTATAAGTATGACGCCGAGAAGGTGGCTTGGGAGGGAAATACGAGGGCTATTCGTGAATATGGTGAGCAAATGTTAATTTATATAGTCGCTCTTCGCTCCTACACTGAACACAGAGATTCATGTGTGGACGCGCACACGCGCCTGTATCAAAGCATTCTCTTTTTCGCACTTTGCGAGATAAAAGTGATCGCAGAGATCCGCGTGAAAATGATCCTCCGGCAATGTGGTGATGAAGTGGTTGCGCGGAATCAATTGAATAGAGAGCGAAAAGTCAATCGATGAGTGATTTTTCGCAACGTTCTTTCGCGCACTGTTTGGAATTCCGACACTTTGTGTGTGAAAGTAAACATGATAAGGTGTGATGGCTTCATTCGGCGCGCAAATGTGCGATATCTGCAATTTGGGTGCAAGCAGGGAGATAAGATTAGTCCGAATAAGCAAAGAATTCATTCACTGAATCTTAATTTATAATATTAAACCTTGATTGTTGTCTGAGCATACAAATGCTCATAAATCAAATATTACTTAGTCAATTCTGATAGTGTTTGGTGTGAATAAAAGAGTATTTTATCATGTGAAAATGTTTAGAAAACATGTAAAGTTAGCTTACAAAACACAGTGTGATATTAAATATTTTATAAATCCATATTATATCATCAAAAATGTGCGTGATTTTGTCCATCTGAAGAATTAGAATTTCTGCGAATTATGATAATAATTCCGTCTGCTTCCGACTAATAAATGTTTCATTCTTTTTTTTTTGGCAAAGCGCTTTTACAATCACATTGGGAAGTGTTGCTTATTATTTATACGCTTACGTATTTAGAGCTCTTCTGAGAATGAAAATTACTCATGATCTAATTTATACAAAAAAGTCATGCAAGTATATTAAGACTGACTGTTTATTGCATGAAGAGGAACACTTCAGAAAACAAACACTGTGTGAGTTTATACATTTCTCACAATAAAACCGCAAGGAACTTTGACCACTTTCGCTTGCTTCTTGACGATTGAATTTAAGTGCAAAAAGTCGAAAAATCTCACCACTTATCCGGGAAAGCGACGAAAACAGATGTGCAATTTCTGTAAGACTCCAGCTTGTCTATGTTTTAGATCAAAATGTAGATCAGTTAGCGGCAAAAACATCTGTCTCTTGCACAGAAGTTATGCGGGCAATTACAAGAGTTATTTCAGCACCTTTTGAAACCATTGACGCGTCGTTTTACGATCTTCTCATTCTGGATTCAGTGCCACGGAGGTCTTCGTCATGACCTTCTGTAGATCACGTATTTTTAACATGAAAGAATCCAAGCATTTATGCTACTTGAAGTGGAGACTTTGCCATTTTGGCACTTCTCCAACTGACTCAGCTCATTTCTCTAGTAATCTCACTTAATTCATCGCGCATTCTTTTTTCCCGCCAACAGTTCAGCTGGCAGAAGTTCCCGTGCGTCCTGAAGGCGGGCCACTGCCACGGAGGCACGGCCACGGCGCGCCTGGAGAACCAGACGGCACTCCAGGACTCGGCGGGTCTGCTGTGCGGCTCAGGGAACTCCTCAGACAACCAGTGCTACTGCACCCTCGAGCCCTACATCGATGCGAAGTTCGACATTCACATCCAGAAGATCGGTGGAAACTACAAGGCGTTCATGTGAGTGTTTTCTGTGGTTTCTCTCGATGAATTTCCTCTGAAATCTCTTGTCCACACATTGAAGGCGCAAGTCGATTTCCGGTCACTGGAAAACTAATCAGGGATCAGCAATGCTTGAGCAAATCGCCATGACGGACAGATACAAAAACTGGATCGATGAGGTAAGCGCAAATGGCAGAAATAGTGTTGCTAAAATGCAATTTGCTTGGCGCCTCTGAGTGTCTTCCAGAAACATCACTTCATCCCACACCCATTTTATATACTCAGGAATGACGCAAGATTTTTTCCATTTATGTACTGGCATTTTAAAAACTCCAACAATTCTCAGTATTAGTAGTGTATTTAGATATTGTTTATGGCGCGACAATCGCAGAAAATTGCGTATTGGTCACAATCTCGCCGCGTTCTATTATTGGATCTCTCAACTGACCATAGCAATGTAGGTGAATGACGCAGCGAACGCACGCTTTGAATTTGTGATGCGACGGCATCTCTTGAGATGACTGATGGGATCCGTCACTGCTTTATTATTCCCTTTCTTCTCCATACCCAGAAAAGAACGTCATAGTTTGAATCAGATTTTTATTGAAGAAATATCTCGCGTCTCTCAAATCAAGCATCCAGCCAGACAGAAACATCCATATTCATGCTTGCGAATAACATGTGTAACATGTTGGAGAGAAATTACAATAATTTCTTAATAACATCCGCAAAATGCAGAAGAATTTCTCAAGGAGTTTCTACAACTGGTCGCGAAAGATTTGCACATTTTTACATCGGATTTAGTTGCATGAAATAATCACACGTGCGAATCCTTGTAGGAAAAGAGCAAGGATAAATTGCAATTTGATGAAAAATAGGGCCATTGAAACTTTTGCTATGGTTTTTGTAATTGAATGAAAATTGTGCAGCCAGTAAATCACAAAACGCCCACGAAATATTCCAAACGTACGAGTTTTCTTCGCAGAATTCAGTGAAAACTCATTTGGGCATATCTTTGAATTAAAAATAATAATATTCATAATATCCGGGAATGCACCATTACTCACGAATGCAAAGTGCGCGCTAATTTCCTCATCATCAAAGTGGTTGAAAGTCATTTGATGTTACAAGTACAGCTCGAGTGTTTTGGCATAATTACACTCTGTTTAATTTATTTTTAGATATCTGAACTTTTTGGAGGCATGGAAGTGTGCGGATTGTCCGTGGGAGTGGCTAAAGACGGGAAGGAGTTCATTTTAAGCGCACAAGACAGCACTTTTCCGCTCATGGGCGACAGTCAGGAGGAGGATCGCAGGCATATTGCAGACTTGGTGGTCGGAAGGATGCAGGTAAAGCCGGTCAAGAGTTGCTGGGCAGTTCAGTTTATTCATTGTGCTCTCTTTGCAGAATGTCTGTCGTCCTCCTGGGCTGTCCAAGACTCAATCCCGGACTTCGATCTCCTCGCGTAGCGGAAGTGCCGGAGGAAGTCCAACGGATGAAACGGGAGGCATTTTGGGAGGACGCTCGGCTCCAACTGGCGCTCCTCCGCCCATTCCAGAGCGCACAACTCCGGGCGTGGGCTCGATTGGACGCCACGGGAGTCTGAGCAGCACCTCGGACATCCCGGATCAGCCGACCGAGAAGGCGCCAACACTCAGTTCGGCCGGTCGGCGAGACTCGCAGACTTCGCAGACTTCCAATGTGTCGGCGACATCGGGAACGGCGCGTTCCCAGCGTCCGCAGTCGCAGTCCTCAGTGGTGGAGGACGCCGAGGATACGATGAAAAACTTGAGAAAGACATTCGCCGGCATCTTCGGTGACATGTAGGATTTGGCGTTTAAGAAGAAACAGCAAAGAGGAAGGGCATCGAGTGACTTTGGCACAGCCGGCGACAGCGCAGTGGTCATCACCACAGCGCCCACGAAGTCCACAGACAATGGCATTGTCTCGGCGCCGGAAACTGCCGCGGCCAGTGCACTGGAGCCGGCAACGAGCAGTGCGGAGCTGTCGCGAACGTCGTCGAATGTTTCTTCTTACAGTACAAATCCTTCTGCCAGCCCTTCCAGGAACATAACAGCAGAACAGCAGGAGGAAGCCAGACGCCCCTCGTTCGAGAGGGTGAATCCATTTGATAAACTCAACACCACAGCTAAGAGCGGCACTTATCAGTATTCAGGACCGGCAGCCAAGGCGGAGCCTCAGAAGGACGACGAGAAGACGCTGGACGACATCATAAAAGATCGCTTCCACAAGCAGCAAGGCGTCCGCGATGAGACTACAGGAAGATATATACCGCCGGCGGCTGAACAGACGGTATCTTCCACGACAGAGACTAGCGCCAGTGATCCTTTCAAGTACAAGACGCCAACGAATCGCAGCGAGTCGTTCAAGAAGAGGGACTCCAATCCATCTTACAGTCGCTCTGAGAGCATGAAGTCCGACGCTGAGCTCATATTTGGGTCACCGAAGCCGGACATTGGCGGAAAGTACTCCAGATCTGGCAGCACAGATGCTGAGATCATATTCGGCGGCGCGCCGCGCAACATGAGCAAGTACAGCTACAGCAGTCGCGAGAGTCAGAGCAGCACAGAATCTGATAACATCTTCACGCGTCGCGATGAGCCGAAGGACTTCACCGCGACCAAGGCGTACGAGGGCATCCAGAATGCCGCATTCCAGGACTTTGACTCGCCCGGAGCGACAACGGTGACCACAACGTCAACAGTGAAGACCAAATGGAGTGGCGCTGTTGATGATGACTACGATCTCAAGTAACTAGAGAAGATAATATATATATATATATATTGCATTTCTTTTGACTGGTTCCCAATATTATAAAACACTATATTTAATGGAGAAAATGATTACAATTTGATGAAAAAGACCCGCATTACTATTGTTAGTTCTTAGCATTGAACCTATCAGCCTCGAGAGTTATCGGGTTTCATAGCATGAAGCAGCGAGCAGCAATGTAGTAGTCATCCTAATTATTGGACCTTAAGCGGCTATGCGGCATTTTGGCGCTCTGCTCCCACTTCTGACACCAGTGTCGAAGTCTAAAATGAGCTGCAAAATCCCACATAGCATCTTAATTATGAAACAAGCAAGAGATATTTTAAAATGTTGGCTAAAATCTACAAAACTGCGCAATCTTGCCTTCAGAACTGTCCACCTTAGAGTTGAATGTGGACGCTTCTCGATGTGAGATAACTAAATCGCTTATTATCCTTCCTGTGGTTAAAGTGTAAAGTGACATACAAGTAAACTGTCTGTATTCGATAAAAAGTATCATTAAACTTCCTTGTAGCGAGTCTCCTTTGATAATTTTGGCTTTCGTGAAAAATGTGAGAAAAACATGTAATAATGAAAAGATTGTGGACTGCTGGAAACAGGTCTCTGAATGATACCACCGAAAGATGTGAATTTGACTCACCTATTTTACAATAGTGTATATTTTCCCCTTTTATTTTGAGAGACTCATCATTTATCTGTGCCCACAATATTTATTTTCCTCCTCTTTCTGTTTATGTTGGAAAAAAATGTGAAGATTGTGGTGAAAAATAGGATTGGGAGTTTTCTGGAAAAATCCATACAGCAATAAAAATCTATCGGAATTTTTTTTTCAGAAAAATCTCAAGCCATTTCGTAGCAATTATTATATCATATGAGACAATATAAAATAAGCCATATATAGAAAAAAATATTAACTGTTTGAACACAAACAAGATATTTGATAAAATTGATAAAGTATTTAAAAACTGTTACAAAGAAAATACTAGAAATATATAATATTGTGAGAAGATATAGAATATTCACAAGTTTGCAAGATAAGTTATAAGTTAATGAAATATCAAAAATTTAATTCCCTTTTTGCCATTGTAACACAAAAGATGAAGAAAATAAGACAACAACGAAGATATAATCATTATTATTTCTCATTTACTTGATGATGTTATGAATAATTTTGCGCACACACTCAAGAATCATAGTTGGAAAGAATTAGTTTTCACTAAATTCACATATAAATATTAGGAAGTATTATTGCACATCATAAAGATAAATAAAAATATACTCAATGTTACCATTCTAAGCTTATTGCAAGTAAATATGTATCACATTATACCAAAAACTAATAATCATACATCTTCAAGGCGTTTCTTAACACACAAAACGACATTGCAACGTGAAAAATAGTTTTGTGACATTCTGCAGAATTAAATGAGAAATGATTTTCGCAGAATTGCATCATAATTACGCATATACTAAATAAAACCTATCGAATTACCTTAACCAATGCATAAAATATACATTTACAAAACTCTAAATTCTGTTTATAAAAATTAACATACCCTAAAAATATGTGTTGTGAAAATTGTTAAAACCTCAAATGGGTTCCAAAGAGATGAGAAATAAAGATTTAAGAAGTCTTCATTGGATGTAACTGCCGTCAAGTTGCGTATTCAATGAGTAGTTCCTGTACATTCCGCTCTTGGACAGTTGCGAAGTGAAGGTCTGCTTCAGAGGGAAGTATCTGCAAGGGAAGTGAATGAGTGGGCGGGGCATATGAGAGGGCGGAGCTTCTGATGTCAACAATTTCCGCGTCTGATTCTGAAGATCTTTAGCAATGTTATGAGCTCTTTTAATCCACTAAAAGCTCTTCAGAAAAAAGAAAATTGTGGAATCATGACAAGTGGCGCCACGGTGACATTTCTCAGAGGCTTACAAATTCTGTTATTCCGCTTACCTTTGAGGATCGTGCGGAGGAGGAACGTGCCATCCGTAATCCGAGTTTGATGTTCGATATTGTGGATGCAATTCTTCTCGCTCAATTCCATATCTCGAGTTCATGTCTGAAGGGAGGAAAACGCATCAACAACGCATTCTTCAAGAAGTCCTGAACACTTACATGGAACTTCAAAGCGCTTCGGAATGTTGAATTGCTGATTCCACGAAGTATCGTGAGATTGATGGTTCATCACACCTGATTTACAAATTAGAGAAATTCACAGAAATCGCGGATGAATAAAACACTTAAGCAGTGTTGTGAGTAGAACAAATTATATTGACCAAACAATTCCTAAAGCAAACAATTTCTTTCACTCTTCATGGAAACTGTAACAAAGTCGCGCGATAACCGTGTTTTTGGCGATGGTGATGATATAATTACCATTGTAAAAATGGGCAAATATTTTCTGTACAAAAATTTCAAGTTAACTGCCTTAATGCACACAGTCTGAATGGGGAGTTTCCCAGAATTATGAACTGCCTTAAGCTCTGGGCCAAATTCAAGCTCTTCTCTGCAATCGATGAAAGAATGCAATGCATGAAAATTCGGAAACTAAGTGAAGGAGTGCGGAAACTATGTTGCGCAAAAAAACTTCCACCAATTTCTCCCCTTAAGTACTCAGTTTACCGACAATTCATTTGTCTCTTAAAAAAAATTTTATTTGCTAATTCGGAGCATTTCGAATTTACATACTGTTATCTTAAATTTGAAACCTGTCTTCGTTATATTTTATTTTTTATTTTGTAACGCATTTTTTTTTTCATTTTCCAAAGTTTAATTCGCTTTTTATAATTAGCTCATTGCTTTCTCTTTTATTGAGTTTCCTTTGTCGTCCGCTGCAATCGCTGACCGATTCTATTCCAATACTTTGGCTTAGCACTTTTTGTTCGAGGGCTGCTAAAATCTGAGCTCAGACATCTTAGCATTTTAAAGCTAAAATACCTGCTTCCTTTTAGCTTCTTTGGGTCCACTAGATCAGTGACATCGTCTCATATGTATGTTTATGTCAAATTTCACACCAAACTTCTTGCCGCATACTGGACAGGGAAACATCTTTTGTTCGTGAGTTCACCGGACATGCACTTTCAAAGCAAGGCTAGTAGCAAATTTCTTATTGCAATGCATACAGAGAAAAGTGTGGGGCTTATGAATGTGAGCAATGTGGATCTTTATATGATTATTTCCTCTAAATTGCCTCTAAATGAAATGCCTTCAAAGACCAGAATAAATCATTTCTTTGAAAAATGTGACATAAAAGACGCTTGAACAGATGTCGCTGTTCGAGATTCCTGAACGCAAATTTACTTTACTCGATTTTCCGATGGAACAAGGCCTCTTCAGTAGTTTTAAGTCAATTTTAAGCATTTCTATCAAAGAATGATCTACGCGGCACTAAAGTGTTCGGCTGGGTATTTTGATCAGTTCAGTGTAGATTTTGGTGTATCAATTTTATTCAAGACTCATAAGGATAACATTTCGTTTTCATTTTTCTTACTACCTAATGACAATCTTTCATATGTCGGTTTAGGTCTGATTTAAGTCCAAACTTCTTATCGCACACTGAACAGGGAATCGTCCGTTCGTGAGTTCGCCGGACGTGCACTTTCAAAGCAAGGCTAGTAGCAAATTTCTTACTGCAATGCGTACAGAGAAAAGTGTGAGGCTTATGATTTTGAGCAATGTGGCTCTTCATATTCCGATTTCTTCTAAATTTGGCGTCGCAGAACTCACATTTGAACGGTTTTTCATCTATGTGAATCCGACGATGACTTCGCATCTTCGAAATATTAAATGTCCCGTATTGACAAGATTTCCAGTCACACTTAAACTTCATTTCAGGATTGTGTGTCTTGAGATGTATTTTCATAGATCCTTTCGTAGAGAAGACTTTTCCGCACTCAGGACAAGGATTATTGTTCTTTTCCTTGTTGTGAGATTGCATATGATAGTAAATACCTGACCTATATCGGTATGTGTTTCCACAAATAGCGCAGTCAAAACGTGTGTTTTTGTGCGTCATCAAGTGCTTCTTCAACAGACTAATGCGCTTAGAGGTGTAAGGACACTCCGCACATCTGTGAATTTTTTCTTTTTCCTCTTCCACTTGCTCAACTGCAACAGAACAAGAACTTTCGAGAATTTGCGCAATGCTGGAATCGTCGATCCCCACATACCGTAAATGTTCTTTCAGTAATATTCGCGTAGAAAATTTCTTACTGCAATGTGTGCAGGGAATAGTGCGGGGCTTGTGAAAGCGTTCAATGTGGCTCTTCATATTACGATTTCCTCTAAATCTGTTGTCGCAGAACTCACATTTGAACGGTTTCTCTCCTGTGTGAGTCCGACGATGCATTTCGAAGCTCGACTTATAAAATGTCCCGTATTTACAAGATTTCCAGTCACACACAAATTTCCACTCAGAATTGTGTGCCTTGAGATGCCTTTTCATATCATACGACGTGGAAAAGACTTTTCCACACTTAGGACAAGGATTCTTGTTCTTTTCTGTGTTGTGTATCTGCATATGATAGCAAATACTTTGCTTAGATGGATACGTTTTTCCACAAATGGCGCATTCAAAACGCGTATTCGTGTGCATGTTCTTGTGTTGCAACAAACTAAATCTGCGTTTACAGGTGTAAGGACACTGCGCGCATCTGTACATCTTTTTCTCTTTCACTTCCACTCGCGCAAGAGCAACAGAACAAGAGCGTTCGAGAATTTTCGCAACGCTTAAATCTTCTATCTCTGTTGCTTTTACTGGCTCGACGATCTCCAGAGGCTCTTTTTCGGCATTCTGGTCCTTAAATCCACTTCTTCTCTCGATATATTCTCCTTGAGGTTCCGTCTTCATCTCTTCCTCGAACTCGATCTGCGTCTCGAGGCATTCTTCCTCGCCCTCCGATGATTCCTTCTTACCCGCGTGAGTGGGCAGATGATTGTTGAGCTCGTGGAGGAAAGAGAACATTTCCTGGCATGTGAAGCACTTGAATAGCTTAAATCCTCCGTGAGTCTGAAGATGAAACTCGAACTCCGCCAAGGAAGTCTCTTCTTTGCCGCAGGTTTTGCATCTGTAGAAATTGTGCACATTTTCCTGGTGGTTTTGCAGTTCCGCCGCCTCTTGGAACTCTTCTCCGCATTCGCGACAACAAACGTCAGCAATTAACTCTTGTTTCACTGTCAATCCATTCATTTTCTGTCACAAGCATTTATAAGAACTCTGTGTACACAAACAAAACTTGTCCCGATGTCACGATGCTCTGACAAGCAACTTGCAAGTAACCGATCGAACTGGCATGACATTGCAACTGGTCGAGAAACGGCGCGCTTTCAAAAAAATTCCTTGCAAATCTTGGGCTGCATTTTCTGTCCCATTTTCATGAAAAATTTCCATATATAATTTACGAAATGGTCAATTTATTTGCTTATTGTTTTATTGAGACAATTTTTACAGATTTTGGTATATCAATTTAATTCAGGACTCATCATGATAACATTTTTTGAACATTGAGCCTCTTTGCGTCGGGCTAAGTTAAATGCTGGATTTATCATTGATGTAGCATTTAACATTATTCGGCTTTATTTTAGGCCATGGCGTTGATACCGGACACAAGCACTTCGGCTCACTTCGGCCGGATTAAACTGAAAGCGAATCGTGTCGCAACCAGACGCGCAGTTGCGAATGACGTTCAGTGAGGATGTGTGTGAGAATTCGACATCGCACACGCTTGCGCAACCGCGCCGTTTGAGCCGACTTTTTAGTCCATGTCGGACTAGACTTGCGATAAATGCTGCATTTATTTTAAATCCGACACGGCATAAAGAGGCTCAATGACAATATTTCATATGTCGTTTTAGGTCGTACTTTAATCCAAACTTCTTGCCGCACACTGAACAGGGAAACATCCTATGTTCGTAAGATGATACAAGGATTACGGTTTTTTTCCTTGGTGTGTGTCTGCATATGAATGCGAATATTTGATTTATATCGGTATGTGTTTCCGCAAATGGCGCACTCAAAACACGTATTGCTGTTTCCGCAAGTGCCGCTTTAACATACTAATACAATCACAGGTATAAGGACACTACGCGTACCTGTGAATTTTTCCCTTTTTCACTTTCACTCGCTCAAGAGCAATATAACAAGAGCGTTCGGGAACTTGCGCAATGCTCAAATCTTCTTTCTCAGCCGCTTTTTTCTGAATCGTCGATTTCCGAGGCATTAAATGTATCTTCAGTAACCTTTGCGTTGAAAATTTCTTATTGCAATGTGTGCAGGGAATAGTGCAGGGCTCGTGAAAGCGTCCAATATGATCCTTCAGAATACGTTTTAAATTGAATTTGGCGTCACAGATCTCACATTTGAACGGTTTCTCTCCTGTGTGAGTTCGACGATGGCATTGCAAGCGCCACTTGATATTTGTTTCGTATTGACAATATTTCCAGTCGCACACAAACTTCCGCTCCGGATTGTGTGTCTTGAGATGCCTCTGCAGACATATTGGGGTTAGAAAGACTTTTCCGCACTCGGGACAAGGATTATGCTTCTTTTCCGTGCTGTGAGATTGCATATGAACCTTAAGACTTGACTTATATCCATATGTTTTCCCACAATTGGCGCATTCAAAAGGACACGTATTGCTGTGCTTCTGCAAGTGCTGCTTCAACTTACTAATACGGTCACAGGTGTAAGAACACTGCGCGCATCTGTGCATTTTTCGCTTTTTCGCTTTTCTGGGCTTATAAGTATCAGAACAAGAGCGTTTGAGAACATGCGCGTTGCTGAAATCTCGTTTCTTAGCCGCTTTTCCTGGCTCGACGATCTCCAGAGGCTCTTTTTCGGCATTCTGGTCCTTAAGTCCACTTCTTCTCTCGATATATTCTCCTTGAGGTTCCGTCTTCATCTCTTCCTCGAACTCGATCTGCGTCTCGAGGCATTCTTCCTCGCCCTCCGATGATTCCTTCTTACCCGCGTGAGTGGGCAGATGATTGTTGAGCTCGTGGAGGAAAGAGAACATTTCCTGGCATGTGAAGCACTTGAATAGCTTAAATCCTCCGTGAGTCTGAAGATGAAACTCGAACTCCGCCAAGGAAGTCTCTTCTTTGCCGCAGGTTTTGCATCTGTAGAAATTGTGCACATTTTCCTGGTGGTTTTGCAGTTCCGCCGCCTCTTGGAACTCTTCTCCGCATTCGCGACAACAAACGTCAGCAATTAACTCTTGTTTCACTGTCAATCCATTCATTTTCTGTCACAAGCATTTATAAGAACTCTGTGTACACAAACAAAACTTGTCCCGATGTCACGATGCTCTGACAAGCAACTTGCAAGTAACCGATCGAACTGGCATGACATTGCAACTGGTCGAGAAACGGCGCGCTTTCAAAAAAATTCCTTGCAAATCTTGGGCTGCATTTTCTGTCCCATTTTCATGAAAAATTTCCATATATAATTTACGAAATGGTCAATTTATTTGGCTATTGTTTTATTGAGACGTTACTTAAACAGTATTTATAGATTTTTATGTCTAAAAAACCATCCTTGTGATATTTTCCAAATCTGTACATCACTTCTTTTGTGCACCGTCTGGAAATATTTTCTCACTGCCCACCGTATTGATTTCCGCCGATGATGTACGCTATTTACCGAATCTTGCCTGTTATTTTTAATGAATTATGAATGATACAACTCGTCTGCCAACTCTCAACACCAAAGAGCGCAGCCTTCGAAACGATACGAGATTGTAAGGAGCAAAATCTGTTCATTCCAGTCCCGGATAACCGTCATCTGAGTCTTCTTCATCATCTAAGTCGCCAAAGGATGGCTTATCCTTGCCGTCGGATTTAAACATTAAATTCGAAAGGTCCCCGTCGAAGTTGCCGCCGCCGAAATCGGGCTCTTCGTCTGCAAAAGGAGCGGTTTTTAGCGGAGATTGCAAGGAATACGTTCTCAAGTTTTCAGTCTTTTCTCACCCATTTCCGAATCCGATCCTTCGTCTTTCCATTTGTTAAAGTCTACTTTCAGCCAGTGCGGCTTCTTCTTCTCGTTTGTCAGCGTCGCCCAGTAAGGTCCGCTCTCGGCTTTGGGAATTGTAAACTCGACACACCTCGTGGCGTCCTTGCGCGTCACCTTGTCGGGAAGGATGTTCTTCAGAAATGTAAAGGTAATTTCGTATAGTTTGTTGTCTGCCGCGCCGGTGCCTTTGAAACTCATTGTATTCTCCGTGAATCTGCAAAGGCAACAAACAATCACAATCTCACTTCTGGGGGTGTTTTTGAGGTGGTTTCTTACTTGTATTCTGTATCCTTGCACTCCACGTTGATGGTGAGATAGACCAGATCATTGCGCTGTGCCCAGATTACGGGTGGAACTGTCGTTCTGCGGGGTGAGAGAAAAAAAACATGCTTTAGTCTTTCTCCCAGACTTTTAACCTCTTGTGGATTACATTGAAGATTCGCGGAACTTAACCCTACTTTTCAACTCCCCCTATTTTTCTCATTTCCCACCTGTAAACCCCGCGAACCGGATATTTCCCACCAAACAAAGCCCGCCGCCGAAGCCCCCTGCTTACTTTTATCGCCCCCGGCCGGCAAATTGAGGGCGCAAAGGAAAAGTTTTGTGTATCGATTGGACCAAAATGGACGCCGGCCACACAAGCCCTTTAATCACATTGCATGCCCAGCGGAAAACACGCGGTGCAGCGCATGTGACGCCCACGAGTGGTGAAAATCGTACTTACGCTGCTCCAGGCGACATTGCGAACAAATCTTTTTACAATTTACACCGTAATTGCTCCTAAAACGTGCCGTTCTCTGGGAATTTACAAGGAACTTCCCTCTGTGTATTTCCAAAATGTGTCAGCAAGAAAATCAACGATTCGTCGAAGAGCGCCTCCTGGCGGAATTGTGGCGTGCAACATTGTCCCAAAATCGTTTTTCCGCGTCAAGTTCAACGAAAGCGACTTTTGACATTTCGTTTTGCGCGACGTTTTTTTGTTGGCGTCTTTTTCCGTTTTTCTTCACAGAATCTTGCTCAAAAATGTTGTATAGTTTGTAGAATAGCGTGAGAAGTTGTTGAAAAAGTGCCTAAGCAGTGCCTTAATGTCTCTGCGTGAGAGAATTTGGGGGAAAATGAGTGAGAGTGAGAAAAATCGAAGATTGAGGTTGGAACAGGTGAGAGCGAAGTAGCTTTATTTTGGTGCTTATTTTGTTACTGAAAGTCTCGGAAATTCTCCGTTCGCAGGTGAGGCAGCAGTCCAAGAAGATGGCTCACAGCATCCGGCAGAGAGTGTCGTCTGAGAAGCAGAAGCAGGAAGAGAAGATTAGAATCGCGAAGGCTGAGGAAATGAACAAGTGGAAGAGGAGGCAATTTGAGCAGAAGGGAAAGCAATTTGCGGGGACTTTGGCGCTCGTTGGCGAGGCTCATGCGGCTGCGGAGAAGGAGAAGCTCCTTCCAGCTGTGCCCAGGGCGAGGAAGAAGCCTCCGGAGAAGGTGAAGAAGGCCAAAATTGCAGCCAAATCGACAGAAACTCAAACTTCACCAAGAGAAGAGCCAGAAGTCATCAGTCTGACGACTTCCACATCTGAGAGTGATTCCAGCACACTTGTCGATGATCTTCAGCTGATCAGCTCTTCAGACAGTCTTGAGAAACTGCTATGTGAGATTTCCAACTCGAAAAATCCACAGTCGAAGCGAGATACTGTTGTTGACTTGAAGAAATCTTCGGATAAAGTGGTCTTTTCTGAAGTTTCCAACTTGATCAAGAGGAAAAACGGAGTGCAACGAGGTTTGGAAGGAAGTTTGCAAGGCAATAGGGAGAGTTTCTTCTCTGGCGTGAATCTGGAGCGTGTGGAAGACAAGATGAAGTTGGGAAAAAGCCCGCCATCGAGAGATTTGAGCAATGTTCTGGGCGAGAATCGTGTGGCGAAGAAAATCGCTGAAAGTCCTCAAACAATTCATCATTACGACCACAGAAATCGCTTTCACAAGAACTATATTCCTCAGGGGAACATCGTGACCAAGGCTGGATCTTCGAGGAACCAAAATGCAATGGAAAATGCGCGGGAAGAAGTGCAGAGAATGAAATACTCAGCAAAGCTGAAAGACGTGGAAAATGAGGAGCGAAGGTGAGAATGCTGATCAATAGATTGAGTTGAGAATTGACTGGATTTGTTGTTTTTTTTTTTCAGGCGCGTGCAGAAGATGCGATCGAATCAAGCGCTGGAGAAGGAACGTCTTCGGCGGAATTACGAGGATTTGCTGGCGAAAGTTGATGAACTTCTGGACAGGGAGGAAAATGCCGAGGGAGAAGATCTTGTTCTGCGTTCTGAAGACACTTCAGAGCCCATAGATGTTGACACAACGAAGAAAACTATTGGAAAGAAGACTGAAAGCAATGATATTGATGTGGATTTGAATCTCATGGATATTCTGGGGAAGATTTTGCACAAACTTGATGAGAATAAGATGCAAATTGTGGAGGAAATTATGAGCAAGACTCGCGAGAATAGAGAATTAACTGTTGTGGGAAGTGTTGAGAGTCACAAGGAAGTTGCTGTGCAATCGGAAATCATGCAGCCGGAAAAGGACACAGAAGAAGTGGAGATTCAAACTGTCGGACAATCTGACAAGGTGGAAATTGTGCCCACAATCACTGAAAATGCGAACAAGAAGCCACAAATTCAGATTGTTATCAATGTCAAGGAGACTCCGAAGGTGGACAATTTGAGCAGAATCCCTGACGATGTCCAGAAAGTGATGAACAACGAGAAGAGGAAGCATTCAGTGACGCAGATGAATTTGTCAGATGCAATTGGGAAGAAGTATCCGAAGACACCGGAGAAGAGAAGTGCAAAAATCCTCATTGACACAATATCTTCAATCACTTCTGATGGCTCGAGTCGATCGACAGTCTATCACAGTCCGCCGAATGCGATTTGCAGTGACTTGTCGCACTTCGTGAGGGGATTTGGCGAGGAGAAAGTCACGGCAAAGGCGCCGCGGCGGAGAAAAGAGGCTGAAAAGGGCAAGAAATCGGCAATGCTGAGGAAGTACATAAAGCAATTGGTTGACATGCCGCGAGCTGATGTGGATCTCTTGAGTGTGAGCTCGGGAACTGAAGTGCCAACGCCTAATTGCTCCGTTGTGAATGTTCCTGCGAATGCTGGGACGCAATCGAAGTGGATTCCGCTCCGGGAAGAGGGCGAGAAGAAGAGCAAGAGCAAGAAAACCACGATTTCCACGGAGATTCATCCGAAGAAGTGCGCTAGAAGAGCCAGAGAACCGGTCGAAGAGGCTGCTAAAGAGGCGGTGAAGCAACCAGAGGCTCTGAGAGAGGAATATGCGGAGCAGACGAAGCGGTACGTGAGGAAAATCAGCGAGCTATCCAAGCTGATAAACAAGGTGCGCAGCGAGAAGAGTCGATTGGTGGCTGAGAAGGTGGGAATCTCGTCCGGGAGTGACAATGGCGTCGACACGTCGACGAAGTACAAGGATTTCCCGAGTGCGCGCGTGAATGTGGAGAGCAGCACGGACATGAGCAGCGTTTCTGAGATGAAGGATGACGAAGGACGCGTGTCTGTGAACAACTTGACTGCTTCCAAAGTCATTGGCGTGAGCAAAGACAGCGGAATCTCGATCTCGCGTCCCGTGACGTCGACTGAGATGCGCGACAGCCCGGAAATCCGATGGACGCCGCTGAGGCGGACCAGAGCGCAGGACGAGCTGTCGACCATTGCTGAGATGGACACTCTGGGCACATCCAGGATCCACGCATCGCCTCAGGTGAATGGGCAGTCGAAGGTGGACGAGGCGTTCGATGAGCTGAAGCACGCGATTGAGAGGATCTCGGCAGATATTGAGGACTACCAGAAGTTCCCGTCGTTTGAGGAGTACGTGAAGCATCTGGGCGGGAGTCTGCAGGATCAGTCGATGGAGCAGAAGCGGAAGCTGCTGGAGTACTTCAAGGAGCTGTCGCAGGACATGGTGCTGAAGAACTTCCCGGGATTCGGGGAGTTTGTGCAGGAGGAAGCGACTGGCGATGCCGAGAGTGCAGATCTCGAGGGTGCGTCGGAGTTCACGCTGCCCGACGTGGTGGCGGAGCTGATCCAGCGCAAGGTGATGGATCAGCCGTTCCGGAATCCGTCGGAGGAGAGGACAAACACTCAAGTGCTGCCCAGCAGCTCGGGCAGCAGCATAAATCTCGAGGCGGATTTCAGGAAGTTGGGACTCGGATGGGCGGCAAATATGCTGGAGAGGACGCACGAGCGTCAGCAATTGTCCAGCAGCGACAGTTCCACGCAACTCAACATCATTCCGAATCTCACGAACGCCACGCACTCAATTGACGAGTCACGCGTGATGGGAAAGCCTCTCAATCTGCGGGATTTCTTCAATCGTGAGCTGGAGAAGAAGGCGAAACAGGACAATTCATACTCTGCCGATGGATCGAGCTTGACAAACACGCTGCTCAAGTCGCTGCTCGATGCGGAAGTTGAGAATCACATTCACAGGACATCAACGCCAGTTGCGCTTGGAGGGAAGAAATCCACTGAGAAGCACTCGAAAAACTCATCAAGCTCAATGATTTCCTCCGAGAGCAAACTCTCGTCCATTGGGAGCTTGAAGGAGTAGAAATTGTACAACGAAGATTAGACTTAATAGATTTAAAAGCTTCATTTCTTATACATTTTGAGGAATATAAGTGATTTTGGTACAAAAAGTCTTGTGACTTATTTAAATCCACATTTATTTCTCTCCTAGCGCTTGTTTTCCTTTTTTCTTTTTTTAAATACAATACATTTATATGAAAAATCTTATTGAACTCGCTGGCAAAGTTTCACACAAATCCTTCGGTGAATGTTTTTCTTTTCTAATACGGGGATTTTTCATAGAAAACTGCGTTGAAACTTAAGTTTCACAATTGTGTAATCGCGGCATTATCGCTTTGTTTTTTTTTCTTTCAAGGAAAATGAAATGCTCTCTGATAAACCTACAAAATAATCAATCAGTCGCTTCTCAACACTTCCGCGAGTGTCGTGGAATTCCCACTAAATCTAGAGCTCGTCATGATCGGCGTCAATTTCTTCTGGCTCTTCACTGGAATCATCGCCATCCTGGCTGTCTTTTGACTCTTCCTCCTCCGCGAACTCCTCCTCCTCGGGCTGCTCGTCGGGATCGATGCCCAGCGTCTGGCGCATCATCCGCTCAATGGTGTCGGCGAAGCCTGAGGTCTCGCGCAGCATGAAGCCGGAGCGCAGCGTGGCCGTGCGGAACATCATCACGGCCATCTCCTTGGCCAGCGGATCCTCGGCGTCGCCCTCGACGCGGCGCAGCAGCTCGCGGATGAGCGGATGGCGCGGATTGACCTCCAGGATCTTCTTCTGGCTGAGGTAGTACGACCGCTGCGGGTCGTCGGCCTTCTGGTGAGCATTGGACATGGCCAGGCGCTCCATGTTGCCCGTCCAGCCGTACATGTTGGCCACGAGCGCGCACGGCGAGTTGCTCAGTCGCTCGGAGATCTGCGCCCTGGCGATGTCGTCCTTCAGCGCCACGTCGTTCAGCCACTTCACGAGCGGCTCGAAGGACTTCTTCAGCTCCTCGAACTTCGTCTTGGACTCCTCAGAGTCCGCGAGCGTGAAGCCCTCGCGAGCGGCATTCTGGAACTTCTTGCCATCGAATTCGGGCAGTGCGGAGATCGAGTACTCGTCCACGGCCTCAGTGAGGTACAGGACTTCGTAGCCGCGCGCCAGCAGACGCTCCACGAAGGGCGACTTCTCCACCTCGGTGCGTCCAGGGCCGGCGATGAAGAAGATGTGCTCCTGCTTCGGCTTCATGCGCGACACGTAGTCGGCCAGGCCGGTGTGCTCCTTGCCCTTGGTGTGCGACGACTGGAACCTGAGCAGCTTGGCCAGGCGCGAGCGATTGCTGGGATCCTCCATGACGCCCAGCTTGATGTTGGTGGAGAACTCCGCCCAGAACTTCTCGTATTCCGCCTTGTCGATCTTCTTGATCATGTCCAGCGCCTTGCGCACCAGCTTCTTCTTGATCACCTTGATCAGCTTGTGCTGCTGCAGCGTCTCGCGAGACACATTGAGCGGCAGATCATCGGAATCCACCACGCCGCGGATGAAGTTCAGATAGCTCGGCATCATGTCGTTGAACTCGTCCGTGATGAACACGCGGCGCACGTAGAGCTTGATGTTGTCCGACTTGGTGCCGTAGCGATTGAAGCTCTCCGACGGCTGCGCCTTGGGGATGAACAGGAGGGACTTGAACGTCACCTCGCCCTCGGCCACGAAGTGGGTGCTCGTGAGTGGATCGCTGGTGTCCTTCGTCAGGCTCTTGTAGAACTCCGTGTACTCATCCTGCGTCACCTCGGCCGGCTTCCTGGTCCAGATGGGCTTGCTGTCGTTCATGATCTCCCAATCCCACACCGTCTTGGACACCTTCTTCGTCTTGGGCTTGTCCTCCTCCGCCTCCTCCTCCACCTGCGCGTCCTCATCCACCTCGTCCTCCTTCTTCTCCGCCTCCTCCTTGGCCTCCTCCTCCAGCGGCACCTCCTCCTCCACCGTCTTGCTGGTCCACATGTAGATGGGGAAGTTGATGAACTGCGAGTACTTCTTGATCAGCTGCTTCACCGTGTCCTCCTCCAGGAAGTCGCGCGCCTCCTCCTTCAGATACAGCGAAATCTGCGAGCCCCGCTTCAGCGTGTCCCCGCGCGGGTCCTCGGCGATCGTGAACTCCGCGGCGTTGCTCTCCCACACGTACTGCTTGTCCGTGTTGTGCTTCGTCGTCACCACCACGCGATCGGCGACGAGGAAGGCGGAGTAGAAGCCCACGCCGAACTGCCCGATCATGTCATTCACGTCCTGGCCCTCCGTCTTCGTCTCCTGCATCTTCGAGAGGAAGTCCGCCGTGCCGGACTTGGCAATTGTGCCCAGATTGTTCACCAAATCATTCCTGGTCATGCCAATTCCCGTGTCGATGATGTGAAGCACTCCGGCCTCCTTATCGGCCTTGATCTTCACCTGCAGATCCGGATTGGTGTCCAGCTCTCCGCGCTCCGTCAGCGACAGCAGCCTGATCTTGTCTAGGGCGTCAGAGGCGTTCGAGATGAGCTCACGCAGGAAGATCTCCTTGTTGCGATACAGAGAGTTGATGATCAGCTTCATCATCCGATTCACCTCAGCCTGGAAGGCGAACTTCTCCGACTTGTCTCGCAACTCTTTCATCTGCGCCACGTTGAGCCCGTCCAGCTTTATCGCCTCCTCCTCGCGCTTCAGTGCCTCAGAATCTGCCGAGATAAGAGAATTGGTGGTCAAGTCGGGGGAATTTTGACACGTTGTCGCTCACGGAGAATGAACTCTCTTCTCACCTGTTCTCGAGCCCTGCTTGCTCGCCCCCAGATTCTCCTCCACCGTGTCCACGTCCGGCGCGTCCTCGGCCTCATCAGCTCGGATCAGGGAAAGTCCTGCAAAACGAGGAAAGTCCAGGATTCAGCCACCAAGCCTCGTGGGCGCACTTCATTTCCCACCGCATTTCGCCACTCTTCCGCACTTCTCACCTGTGATCAGGAGCATTCCCAGCCCAAGTAGCAGAAGGTACTTCATCCTGTTGCCCAACTCCTCACTTTGCGCCCAGGATTTTCACAGAACAGCAGGGAAAACACCAACGAACCGGTCTTTCTTCGCCAAAGCACCCAAATGGAATGACATCAAGTCTACACTCCGAATAAATAGTTTCCATAAAACGTGTGGCTCGATTTGATTGGTCCACAGCAGCACTCGCGCCAGGGCCGAACTCGGCACGAAGCGCGGATTTACGCTCAGCACGCGATTAAGCTCGGCAGCCTGGAGAGAATTGTGAATTGCGTGTTAACCATTCCAGTTGGGACTCTTGGTCGCCTCGAATTCATGCATTTTTCCGACTTTTCCCTATTCTTGCGATATCTTTAGCAACATAAATGGCTTCTCAACACTCAGAAACCGCTTTCTGGCCAGTGTAGCCAAATTTTAATCTCAAGTTTTTCTTCACAGACCAAAAGAAATGAATTAATTTATTTTTAATTCGCGATTAACCCCGAAAGAACTTGTCATCTGGCCTGCGCAGCCTATCAAAATAGGCAAAATACACAGGCGCAAGCAGAGACATCTATCAACCAAAGAAGAATCATTGGAATATGAACAAAATCGCTTGCAAGAAAACTTAATTTGGCGGTTTTTCTACGGCAATTCGTGCCCAGAGCGAGGAAATTGTTATTACAATTACTTTAACATGAAGAGCATGAAAAGTAGTGGCAAAACTCCGTCGATGACAATACCTGTGAACACCGCGAATGAGATTCGAATTGGCGCAAATCAAGGGCGGAAAGTGAATTTGAATCTTATAGCAAAAACCAACTGGAAAAGTCAAAAAGTAAATAAGTGTTTATTTTATTAATTCATCGTCACAAAGTAATTTTCACATTCTCTGTAAAGTAACTACTAAAATAGATGTTCTCATATAATTGTAATTTGTGTGTGTAAACTGTTGCAATTCTTGTTCATCTTCCATTCGCTTGGCAAGTCTCAAAGAAAACAACTAGAGAAGATTGTTATGGAAGCCCAGAAGATGCAAATAAATAGCGCAATTTGCGGACTAAGAGGGAAAACAACCGTCTAATGAATTGTTGTAAAAATACCACAAGAAATTTGATAATTGCCAAAGTCTATTCAGTCGTTTGTGGCCGCGTGACGCGCTTCGCGCCGCGGTTCTTCGGCCCCGGCGGCTTGTCGAAGATCGGCCGGTGGAGGATCTTCTTGGGGTGCAGCTCGTCACGCAGGAACTCCTCTGTCACGTCGTCCGTCGCGTCAACCTCCAGCTTCTTGGCCACTTCCACGCCCTGGCCGGCGATGGTGGCAACGAAGGGCGCCTTGCAGCTGGAGTACATCATGCGGTCCTTCACGGAGCACGCGTAGCCGGGCATGGAGTAGATGAAGACGAAGCTCTCCAGGTAGTCGCCCTCGTGCGTGTGCTTGTAGAGGAAGAGATGGTAGCGCGCCTCGTCCTTGGGGATCATCTGCGCCAGTGCCGCCGCGTCCACGCTGGCCGCCTTCACCAGGTGGATCTCCTCCTGCGCCGTGTCCAGGCGGAACTGCAAGTACGTGTAGGCGCCGCGCTTGGCGTCCCGGATGGCGTCCAACGCCGCCTGCGACACCGGGAAGTTGATGCCGTTGAGCGTCTGCTGGCGCGTCTCGTTGCCGATGTCCGTCTTCACCTCCGTGCGGCGCAGCTCCTGCAGCTCCTCCTCGCGCGTGGTGAGCGGCGCCGGGGCGCTGAACTCGCGCTTGTGCCGCTCGTAGCCGGCGAACGTGGCCTCTTCGGGCGCCGTGGCGTGGAACTCCTCCTTGATGTGCGCCGAGCCGAACTCGCTCTTCAGCGTGGCCTTCGTGGAGGCGTAGACCATCTTGTGGCGGATCGTGGCCGTGTCCGGGCTCCAGCTGAGCAGCAGCCACTCGAAGCCGCCCAGCGACGACTTTGTGTCCAATCTGGCGGAGAAATGCGCGCAGTGAATTGTGAAGTGTGCCGATTGCCTCGATTGTTCCGGAAGCGCATCTCGCTCACCTGTACAGCACGTAGCACGGCGTGTCCGCCTCGATCATCGCCGGGACGCAGCTGTCGTAGTCCCTGATCCAGTCCTTCTTCGCCTCCTTCTGGTCGCTCAGCGTGAGCTCCTCTGCAAAACACACACACAATTAGCATGACGCCGCAACTTATCAGCCGCGATGACTAACCATTCTCTATCGTGATTTTTACAGCCCGCGTCTTGCCATCTCTGCACTTCCCGAAGAACTTCAGCAGCTTCTCATTGGCTGCAGACGATATGAAAACAGAGGATCGTCAGGATAATTCTGCCCATTCTCCCCCTTCGCGCATTTCCCGCGCTTCTCACCCTTTATTCCTGTTTGGTGGGACATTTTCCAGAGCTTCCACTACTCAAAATGCACTACTTTTCACGCTTTTCACAGATTTTCACAACGATTTTGCACTGTGAAGATTTCGCAAGGATTTATTTTTCACACGAAACGTCACTGAACTGAGCAAAATACCCAGATGAATATTTAGTACCGCGTAGCGAATTCTCGACCAGCTGCTAATAAATGTCATGCCAGTCCGATCAGTTGTCGTCCAGTTGTTATCAAAGCGAAAGGACGCGTTGTTGTAAACAAAGTTCTGCGGATAAAGAAGCCACGATAATAAACTATTCATTATTCTGCGGATAAAGGTTAGCAGTTAATGCAGTTAAGTAAGCGTTCTTATTTCACAGGAAATGGCAAGATTGCAAGTGAAGGAAGTGAGTGAGAGTAACGTTTACTGCCACAAATGCAGAGATCAGTTCCAAGAGGCGGCGGAACTGCAAAACTACCAGGAAAATGCGCACAATTTCTACAGATGGAAATCTTGCGGCAAAGAAGAGACTTCCTTGGCGGAGTTCGAGTTTCCTGATTCCTTGTTCAGAGTGCGGCAAGTTGTTTGTTGTTAAGCGAGACGTAAATAAACATATGAAAAATTGTTATTAAGTAAACTCATCGAACGTCTTGAATAAATTTAATCAAATTTGATCAAAGGAGTTTAAACTCCTCAGAAGAGGTTTCGTATTGTTTTTGTTACGGCGTAATTTATTTGCATTGACGCGCTCTTTCCTTGTCACTTCACACGCGGCTCTTTTCCAAAGTATCCGGAGACAAGTTCCTCTGTTTCTGCTGCAAACCCACTTCCAGGATCTTGCCAGGATCGCGAGGAATCCGTGCTGATCATCTGAAATCAAGTGAGCGTCGCCTGAACTTGGGATTTGGCCTGGGCGGGTGTTTGGGCAGGTTATGAGTTGGCTTCCGATCTGTGTGTGTGTCTATTTTTGCAATCCACAGGGCGACATGGCACCGAAGAAGGTTGAAGAGCCGGAGCGAAAGCCTCTGATCGGGCGCGTCGGGACGAATCTGCGAGTGGGAATTGTTGGGGTACCGAACGTGGGCAAGTCCACCTTCTTCAACGTCCTGACCAAGAGTGCGGCTCCGGCCGAGAACTTCCCCTTCTGCACCATCGATCCCAACGAGAGTGAGTGGAATGTTTCCGGGCGTGAGTCCAGTGAATTGACGCGATTCCTCGCTTTGCAGACAGAGTCCCGGTGCCGGACGCGCGCTTCGACTTCCTGTGCGAGTATCACAAGCCGGCCAGCAAGGTGCCGGCGTACTTGAACGTCGTGGACATCGCGGGCCTGGTGAAGGGCGCCGCCGAGGGCCAGGGCCTGGGCAACGCCTTCCTGTCGCACATCAGCGCGTGCGACGCCATCTTCCACCTGGCCAGAGCCTTCGACGATGACGACGTGACGCACGTGGAGGGCGAGGTGAATCCCGTGCGCGATCTGGACATTATTTCCGAGGAGCTGCGCCTGAAGGACGTGGACAAGCTCAACAAGGACTTGGAGAAGCTGGAGAGAGCCGTCGTCCGGGGCAATGACAAGAAGCTGAAGCCGGAATATGTGAGCCCTTCCACTCTCACTGCCAAAGATCTGTTGTGTGACGCAAATCTCTCTTCCGCAGGATTCTCTGCTGAAAGTCAAGGGCATCTTGTGCGACGAGAAGAAACACCTTCGATTCGCCGACTGGACAGCTCACGATGTGAGTAGTTTTCCAGAGATTTCGGGGAAAATCTGGCTAGAATCGAGTCAATTTCAGCCGATTAGCGAAGGTTTTAAGTCTTGATTTGAAGCGGAGAAGACTAAAATCAAGATTTAAAGGGAGAGGAAAAAAAGGACTTGAAAATAGGCAGATTCGGGCTAGTTTTGAGAATACTCATTTCTAGGTTTATTTTTCTCAGTGTAAGTCTCTTGTTTCCGTTGCAGATCGAGGTGCTGAACAAGTATCTCTTCCTCACGTCGAAGCCCGTGGTGTATTTGGTGAATCTGTCGGAGAAGGACTTCATCCGGAAGAAGAACAAGTGGCTGATAAAGATCAAGGAGTGGGTGGACAAGAACGACCCCGGCGCCTCCATCATCCCCTTCTCCGGGCTGTTCGAGACGAAGTGGGCGGAGTTCGAGCTGGACGCCGAGCGCGAGGCGTACGCTGAGGAGCACAAGGTGCGCTCCGTGCTGGACAAGATCATCCTCATGGGCTACAAGGCGCTGCAGCTGGAGTACTTCTTCACGGCCGGCGCGGACGAGGTGAAGGCGTGGACGGTGCAGAAGGGCACGAAGGCGCCGCAGGCGGCCGGCCGGATCCACACGGACTTCGAGAAGGGCTTCATCATGGCCGAGGTGATGCACTACGTGGACTTCAAGGAGGAGGGCAGCGAGGCGGCCACCAAGGCGGCCGGCAAGTATCGGCAGCAGGGCCGCAACTACACCGTGGAGGACGGCGACATCATCTTCTTCAAGTTCAACGCCGGCGCCGGCCTGAAGGACGCCAAGAAGAAGTGACTGCTCGTCATCTGCATCGTCATACTCACCTTCCTCTACGCCAACATGATCCTGTACGCGCAGAGCTTCTCGCACCAGCAGTGAGAATGTGCGGAAAGTGCGGCAATAAATCGTCTTGCATTTTCACATTGTATTTCTCTCTCTTCAACAGCATCTCTTTATTATCAAAATTGTATAGTTTATAAATTATCTCGTTCTTTTCCTTCTTTTTCTTCTTTCTTTTCTATGACAAGAAAATCTGCTCACAAATGACACAGAATTTTCCCCTCTATTCTTGTTATTTAGAAGCAACATGGCACAGAAATCTAATGGAAAAAGAATTGTTAGTTTACTGTAAAAAAAAAACATGTGCCACATTAGAAATGATTTCCTCTCGTTTGTTTTTCTGTCCACTAGGATTATATATATAAATTGTTATCAAATTCAAGCATGTTTCGCCACACTTGCGCTGATCCTGGGATAGGCTGTTAGTGGAAAAGTGTGTGTGTGTGTGAAAATTACACCTAGCAACATTAAAAATATCTGTCTTCTCATACTCAAATATTACTCTTGATTATGAAAGTTTTTTTTTCTTCTTCTCACTATATTCTTGACCTACACAATTTTCTTTCCACGCATTCATGGCTCTTCACATTATGAAATTTACAAAATGACGAGGAATCATGGATTATTTATATTGGGCAAATAAGTATAGGAAAAAACATTGCGCGCCCTTCGCCACAAAGGGAATAAAAACAAACAATACATTTTGTGTAGCTCTAAAATTGAGTTTTGAAATTTGCAACAAGTTAAATAAAAACTCTTATAATATTTCAATGTTTCATAAATGAGAAAATATTCATATATAGTTCTCTATTTCAATGATTTTCCCTCCTTTCTCTCTCTCTCTAAATGGGATTTTCTTTTTCTTTATATTTATACACAGAGAAATTAATGTATTTTGAAAAGAAGGTTGTTTTTTTTTAATACCACATTTTGTGAACTTGAGAAATACGCCCAGAACGCGCAACACTACTATGCACAGCAGCCTTTGCTGGTCGGCGACTTGTCCTGGTCCTTGCGATAGACTATCACGCGCGCCTCGGGATTGTCGGCGGCGTCTTTGCCGGACGTCTTGTCGAGAATCGCCTCGGCCAGCTCGCAGAACGCCCTCTCGATGTTGATGTTTGCTTTGGCGGAGGTCTCCATGAATCTGATCCCGTGCTCCACTGCGATCTGCAGAGAGAGAGAGAGAGAGAAAACCATCAGCAGTTGCAGCCACTCGAGCACGAAGCGAAGAAAGGCATTTGCAATGGAGTGCGAAGCAGAAAGCCGCCGAGAGAGATTTTCTCTCGGGCAGACGTGAAGAAAATCTGACATTTTCACCTGATTTACTCTCAATATTTAACCCTTCACATTTGCTTGTTCCTTATTAAGATGGAAAATTCATTTGGAACTTGATTTTACGCTCAAAGACTGAGATTTCGCTCAATTTAGGCTAATCTCATCGCTCTAGTTTGCAGTCTCAAGTCTGTTTTAAATAAAAGAATTAACCCTATGTTGAGGCAATAAAAAAGAACAATATTAAGAAGACCAATATAAACCATCAATAGCGAAAGGAATATTTAAAACCCAAATACGCGCCATTATTCGACCAGTTGAAAGGTCATGCCAGTTAGTCCTTATGTCAATATGCTCATTTCTCGTCCTGCCATCAAAGCGAAGGGACGCGCTGCTGTCAGTGTTGTTAGTAAAAGGGGTAAAAGGTTTTCTTTGTCTTCCTACAAACACGAAGTAAATGCAAAAAACGTTCTTATATCACAAATAATGGAAGGATTGCAAGTAAAAGAAATGAGTGAGAAGAGTAACGTTTGCTGCCACAAATGCAGAGATCAATTCCAAGAGGCGGCGGAACTACGAAACTACCAGGAAAATGCGCACAATTTCTACAGATGCAAATCTTGCGGTCTAGAAGAGACTTCCGTGACGGAGTTCGAGTTTCATCTTCAGACTCACGGAGGATTTAAGCTGTTCAAGTGCTTCACATGTCAGGAAATGTTCTCTTTCCTTCACGAGCTCAACAATCATCTGGCCAGTCACTTGGCGGAGCAGGAATCGCCGGCGAGGGAGGAAGAATGCCTCGAGACGCAGATCGAGTTAGAGGAAGAGATGAAGACGGAACCCGAGGAAGAATATTTCGAGCATTCTTCGAGAGAAAGTGAAATTGAGGACCAGAATGCCGAAGAAGAGCCTCTGGAGATCGAAGAGCCAGAAAAAGCAGCTAAAAAACAAGATTTGAGCATTGGGAAAAGTGTTTTTTCTGTGAAAAAGCGAAAAATGCACAAATGCACACAGTGTCCTTACTCCTGTGACTGCATTAGTCAGTTGAAGCGTCACTTGCAGACGCACAGCAATGCTCATCCTTTTAAATGCACCCTTTGTGAAAAAACATACGGATATAAATCAAGTTTGCACCATCATATGCAGACACACTGCAAGGAAAAGAACCACAATCCCTGTCCCGAATGCGGGAAAGTCTTCTCAACGCCAAAATATATGAAATTGCACCTTAAGACACACAATCCGGAGAGGATGTTTGCGTGTGACTGGAACTTTTGCAAATACAGGACACACAATAGTTCGCACTTGAAAAGGCATCGTCGGACTCACACAGGAGAGAATCCGTTCAAATGCGAGTTCTGCAATTCCAAATTCAATACTAAAGATGAAATGAAGCGTCATATCAGTTACATTCATGAGCCCCGCACTATTCCTTGCACGCGTTGCAAAAAGAACTTCGCTACTAGCCTTGATCTGAAACAGCACGTCCAGCGGAAGCACAAAAAGAAGACGATTCCCTGCCCAATGTGCGACAAGAAGTTTGGAGTTCAGGGAGATTTAACCAAACATATAAAACACTGTCAAATTACAGTATAAAGCGACAAGAAGAACCATTTCAACAATGTAGAATTAAGTTGTGAAAAGAGAAAATGATGTTTTCCAATAATATCCAAAATAATTTAAATTCGTATTGTAAAAGAGACTAATTTAAGACTGATTACAGGGATAAGCCATACGAATAACGGATTAGACTAAGCATCACATTGTATGTTTTGAAATAAATAAATGTACTTGATTTCATGTGAATTCGCAGATGATTTTTATAGGCTAGTTAAGCTTTAGTTAATTAGTTTGGTTTATTTCACTTCTTCGCTCCACTTTGTCGCGAAAAAAATGCAGATAAGATTTGCTTTTCTTTGTGATTTTGCAATCTTCAACCAAAATTCTAACACAACTTCAAGCGAAAAAGTGAAAAGCTTAATTGTATTGCGTGAAGTGAAGGGTTAAAGAGTTTGAAAATGTATTCAAGTGGCTTTCTCTGGGCATTTCGCATGAGTTTCTGTGCCTATTTGGCGCGATTTCCCCGGGAAAAGCATCTGCGGGGGATTTTGCTCGGCTTCCGGAAAGCCAAAATCATGTACTCACGGCGTGTCCTCGATCCCTGCTCACGACTCTCTTGTCCTCCATGTCGCACTTGTTCCCCAGAATCATCTTCTCCACGTCCTCATTTGCGTGCTGGTCAAGAAGATAGCATTAGAGTCATGAGTCATTCCCTTTTCGCGGCGCATACGAACCTCGTCTATATTCCGCAGCCACTTGACGATGTTCTCGAAGCTCTTCTCATTTGTTATGTCGTACACCAGCATGATGCCCATGGCCCCTCGGTAGTAGGACGTCGTGATTGTGTGGAAGCGCTCCTGGCCGGCTGAAAGAGAGCGGAGAGCGTGCGATTAGCGACTCCCGGACAGCCCGAGTGTGTGTCTTTGTCCCTAACCTGTGTCCCAGATCTGCAGCTTGATCTTCTTGCCGCGCAGCTCCACTGTTTTGATCTTGAAATCGATGCCTGCGGAAGAAGAGAGATCGTGAGTGGCTTGCGGCACGTTTCTTGGCCACTTTCGGTGGTCAAACACAAGAGCCGGAAAAGTGGAGTCGTGAAGCGTCCATTACTGATTGGAACGCCTTTCTCAATGACATCCTTTGTACACAAGCAACGACAATCGCGGTTTTCGCTGCGATTCGCATTACATAATTGCGTCTCCGTCGCAATCTTCCAGCGCACCGGAGCATCACGGACGCTGTGTTCGCGGCGAAGAAAGCCTTCTTCGGGCGGCACAAGAGCCGAAATTTGTTGAAACGCCCTTTCTTTATCACTTTATCACGCAACGTCGCGCGATGCACTCGGATTGCAGCAATTATGCTCACCTATTGTTGATATAAAGGTCGATGTGAAGGCGTCGTCGGAGAAGCGGAAGAGTATGCATGTTTTGCCAACGCCAGAATCGCCGATTAGCAGCAATTTGAACAGCAAATCGTAAGTTTTCTTCGCCATTCTTCTATAATACACCGTCTAAATATGGAATCCAAATCACTACTTTTGACAACCACGAAGACGCCCGACAAATTTTTTGCCTGACACGATGGACTTGTGTCAGAAGTGTCTGAAGTTGAGCGAAAAATGGCAGCGGACAGTCGCCAGACGGTCCCAGTTGCGGTTCCACACATGCTACTTAATGGTTTCAAGAAACGGATACGCATCGGTAGTGGATGTGAAACCCTTGCGGATTTGTATCCTGTTCTGTCTCTGAGGGCAATCGGAGAGCAATAATACCTTATTGCCTTTCACGAATTCCGGGATAAGATGACGCCGGAGAGTGTTAAAGGTGGTCAGATTCAGCATGACCAACATTGCCGTTTGGACAAAAATATATTTTTTAATTGTATTGGATTCCAAACACGAGATAAATACGAAAATGTTTCCAGAAATAACTACGAAACTCTTTCTTGCAATAAAAACTAAAATATTTCTTGATCTAAATACGAAATTCTTTCTTGCACTATAATAGCGAAAGGCTTTCCTGAAATGTCTCGGAGGGCATAATTATCCTTTTTTGTTCGAGGTTTATTGCCCTTTGCGCCCGAGCGTAGGGGCAATAAAAAAAAGGGATGATTACCCTCCGAGATATTTCAGGAAAGCCTATCGTCGGGGAAAAAGTGAAACGCATCTAATGTAAATTCGCCATAAGCGCTCTAGGTCGGAATCGCTTTCTTGAAACCCTTACGTAGCGTGTGGAACCGCAACTGGGACGCCCGACAAATTTTCTGCCTGACACGATGGACAAGTGTGAGAAGTGTCTGAAGTTGAGCGGGAAATAGCAGCGGACAGTCACCAGACGGTGAATGAAAACAATGTTTTTGGTGTATTTTCGCGATTTTCCCAGAAGATTTTCACAGACAGACCACATATTTGCGCCTAAAGGGTAGTTTTCAATCGACACCGATCATTTGGGGAGCAATTTCTCTAGTCTTGTATTTTCGGTAGAAAATACAAGACGTCATCCCCACCTGGTTGACTGCCCAAACAAACTCCGGTGAAGGTTGATGGAGAGCTCCAATTGCCAGTGATCCCCAGTTTTCATCTGCCGTGGCGTGAGGAGCACACGTGAGTGTGGTGCCTGTGATTGCAGAGAATGCGTGTCACGAGTGCCCAGTGATTCCCTATCGCCTGTCGCGTGTGCTTTGCGCCCCCCGAACGGCCACCTTGGGACTTTGACAAGTGAGCGATGGCCGTCTTCTCGTGGCTGGAGGGCCGCAGTCGCGGCTTCCGGTCCCGGATCGGCGACACAGATCGCATCTGCCGGAGTCTCTATTCCACCATCGAGCCAACGGACGTGTGGACAAACCAGAACGTCAACAATCATCTCTGGGGCGGCGTCTACAACTTGGAGTTCTCTCCGGACGGGTGAGTGCGCCTCTCCTGCGGGATGTCCAACACGAGGATGAGGTGTTCGCAGAGAGAGATTGCGTAGGAAGTGCTTCACACTCGACTGGCAGGTTCTAATTAGCCTGGAATAACAGTTTCTTATTAGAAGACGTATCAAAGTACCAATTGGAATTTATCTCAACTGAGATAACTTGCATTTACTCTTGTTTTACTCTTAAGGAATGTTGTCTGGAATCTTAGCTTTGCTCAGCTGGGATTTTAGGGGCCAAATCGAAATTATACTCAATGGAATGCGAACATTACTGACTATATTGACTTTGTAACTGATATTTGAGTGATCTTTTTGGCATGTTCGTGTATATCTTGTGCATAGAAGAATGTAATTGGAAAAGCGAAAAATTCTAGTTGATCGTATGTTCACACGATCGCTTTACTTAATGTTAATCTGCAATTTGTGGGATTTCCACAATACTTGATCCAACCGACCAAAAGCTCGTTTGATCTCTCTCTTTTGGGTAAGAATAAAAAATATGCGAATCATTAATACGCAAAATCAATTGACTCGTGCAAAAATTAATCAGTTGAACGTCATAATCCTTCAATCCTTCAATACTGTTAGGAATGGTCACGATTTCAAGCGGTGTTTGCCATCAATTTTCACCTTCAATTGTATTTATTGAACACTGGCTGACATGATATTGGCAATTGATGTCGTGCTGCACAGTTGGAGTGTCGAATGGGGAAAAGTCCGCGTCTCCCAGCGACTTGAGAGGCTTCTCTTTATGGAAATCAGTCGCGTGTGTGATCTCATTGGGGGCTGAATTGCAGGAAATGATATTGATGTTTATCTCACGAGCAAATGGCTAATGCTATTGTAACTGTGAGAGGCGCTATATTTGCTCTTCTGTGGACTGTCCATTTATTCCCACTTTACGCAATTTCAGCGCAGAGAACCTGCTGATGTCACGTGCTTCTTGTTTTGATTGATATAATGTTGTGTGTGCGCACGTTCGAGGCTGATTCTGTGCGGTGTCTCTAATGTTATTCAACAGCAATTCATATTTGTGGCCGTTCTTGTTTTCAGGCCTCCAGACATTGATCTATAAACTTGATATTAAAAAGTGAAAGCCCAATATTTCGTGGAACTGTCGAATTGTCACATTGAAACCGTCTAAATCATCAGATTGACGAATGTTTTCTATGAATTTTTGAGGAAAATGTCCTTCTGTGAGACTACTAATAGTATTAATATTCATTTCCTCTCTGCAAGTTGTATTAATTCTTATATTAGCACATTTGCATTTCCTGAAACAATTCGCATTTTATTGCAATTTCCTACAAACAGACGAATGCGAAGTAATTAAATTGTCATAAGAGATTGCATTGCAGCTAAATTGCAGATGTTTGTAGAAATTCATGGTGACCAAATGATATGTATCATGGGAATTTTTGTCCATTTATCGGTCAATTGCAGTGATGTTGGAAATGCCGGTGAAACTTGATTTTGCGGTTCAGCAGACACACCTGTAATTGCATTGTTTGGGCGAATAGTCATGATTTGATGGAACAAATTTCTTCGGCAACTTTTCACCGTCTGGCGTTGGAGGTCAAAAATATGTCTGCAGACGGTCGATCTCTTCCTGGTTTCTCCTCAATTATATCCATCTAAAGATCGACCTTGTTTCATCTTCTTTGTGAATATTTATTCTTGCACGTGGTGAAGTCTCAAGTGTGCAAAACGGATTCTATAACCGGTCCATATTGTCCTCATGCTCGTGTTGCCATGCTGAGATCTTGCGGCGAAAACACTTTTACTCTTATTTCATGTGATGTGTTATTGCGATTGAAAATGCAAGTCTTGGTTCTGTTCTCAGCTTGTTTCTGTCTCGTGAGGCCCATTTAATCGCATGCCGCGTCTGTTCTGTGCATCGAGATCAAGGCCAGAATTATGCACACAGATTTTCATCAATGTGCATTTTTCCCATGCATGTGTGTTGTCAACATACTAAACGCACACGAAACGTGAGATTTTTCCAAGTGTTCTTTATGTTAAACGGTCTTTAGAATGTTTGGAATGCTGATGGACTAGATAAATATAATATTGAAATATATTTAGTTTAGAAAAAAAAGTGAATGGAGCGTGTGTCTTAAACTTTGGGTTTTAAATTGAAGAAATCTTTCACTAAGTCTACAAAAAACGCAGAAAACAAACTCTAGAATTGCTTAAATTTTTGCGCTTCACCTCAAAATCTACGCATAATTTGCCTCTTATGTGTAATAAATGTTATTTTCTGTTTATATGGTGTGCTAAAATGTGTTGCCATAAGTATGTAAATAAAACCAGAAATCGCGAAAACGTCAGGTTTTCCACAGAAATCCCAGCAAATTCGGGATAATAATGTGACCGCTTGATAGAATCTCAGTCTTGTTCTCAATGAGTTCTTGTTCTTAAGGCTGCAGGCAATTAGAATAAGAGTACAAATGCCCGAAGCTGCATTGGCGCGAGCCTTCTTAATGGGTGTGTGAAGATTTAAAGCGATTGTCTCTTTGTGGGTCGATCGGACCGGTTTTTTGCCTCTCTATTGCGTAACGTTAGCAATGAAATTGCACGCTCTAAGATCATGCTGCTGGCGCTTTAAATTGATCTGAAGGAACCACCCGAGAGTTTGTATCCGGGAGTTTTCACTGATCTCCTCAGCGTGATCATGGACAGCATCCAGGTGATTTGACTGACGGATCTGGCGGCTTGATTGAGTGAGACTAGCAATGGTGCGCGGTGGACTTTTTGCCACGAGCCTTCATCTTCGGCTATAGTAGCTTTTATGCGCTAAATTGGAGTCAATGCCAAAGTTTTATGACCACACAGCAAACTATGTGATTAACATTCTTCAATATATAATTTTTATATCGTGTCTTGTGACCAACTCGATGGTCTTTCACATGAACTTCACCTTCTCTTGCAGATCCATTCTTGCGGCGGCGTGCGAAAAGAGATCAATTGTTCTCTTTGCAACGAACACCTTTAAGGAGACCAAAATCATTCGACAAGCACACACGGACTGTGTCAATTGTGTAAAGTGAGTGGGAGAATATGTTTTTATCAATAGAGGAAGAATCTCAAGGGAAGATTATCTGATCATCTGTTTTTCACCTGATAAAATTTCATTACATGCTTTGATCTATTCAGTGTTATGGGAATACCGACTTAAGAGATCAATTTACAATGTGTTAATCGTGTTAATGGTCAAAATTTCCATCCTCTGCAGATTTCTGGATGATCGAATGTTTGCATCCTGCTCAGATGACTGCAGTGTTGTTTTGTGGGACGTTCGGAATCTGAAGACACGCGTCCGGACACTGCTAGGACACTCGAACTGGGTGAAGAACATCGAATACTCCAAGAAGGACAATCTTATCGTTACTTCCGGCTTCGATGGAAGTATCTTCACATGGGATATTAATTCCACCACAGAAAGTGGACTGCTCTACAGGAATGTTTTTCATACTACAGGCAAGAATTAAAAAAAAAATTCACGTCAAATAAAAACTTTTCTCGCTTCCGTTTGCAAATCGATTGGGCAGAAATGCAAATTGCACGTGAAAAGCACGAGAGCACAGCGTTTAAAAACTTGCTCATGGTCAAGATAATTCTTGCGAAAGCCTATCACATGATTAATCAGTGATTAATATTGATTAATTGTGATCTTTTGCAGTGTCTTGCGATTAATGAATGCGAATTGAAAGACCCCATGAACTTGAGAGCAAATAGAGGCACGTCACTTTATGGCTGTTCTGCGTTTGCTTTTCTTCGTTGAGATCAGAATTTTGATATTGAAAAGATCACATTTTACTTCCTATATTGATGAGTAGACGATGTTGGCAATATATGTTGAAGAATTTACATAAAACTGTCGTTTGCGTATGGCAATTTAAGTTAAAATAAACCCCGTAATATTTCCACTGACTAGAATCAAGTGAATAAATAATCTTGAAAACCGCAAATGGAAATAAATATATTACGTGTTTTGATAAGTTCACTGAATCCTGTATAAAGATAGAAGTGTTTGTTTATGATTTATAATCGCTCTTGTGCGCTAAGTTGTTTGAAAATTCATACAATAAAGTGAGAATGAAAATTAACTCACGTATAATGAGGCAATTTATGCAAATAAACCAGTATTTAATTAGTAATTATCACTATAAAATAGTGGAGCAAATCGACTAATCGCTTTTCTTTCTATACACTCCGCTTAGGTTTGATGAGATGTCGGCTGACGCCGGACGCTAGCAAACTCGTGATCTGCACGACAGGAGGCTACATGATAATAATCCATGATCTCAACCTGGAGACCCTGGCGGAGGACCTGAAGGGCTTCCGCCCCAACTTGCATAGACTGATGCAGCTGGGCCGCCAGCTGATTCCCTTCGCCTCGCAATTCACCCACTTGTTCCTGCGCTCGCAGAAGGAGAACCGCGTGGAGCTGGTCAGTGACTTTCCCGAGGGCAATGACGCTGAGGTGATCAGCTCGCTGCAAATTCATCCGCACGGCTGGACTGCGCTGAGTCGCAACATCAGCTACGATGAGAGCTCTGAGTTCACGTGCGTGCACGACATTCAAGACTTCGAGGAGGAGAGTGATACGGAGGATGACATCGAGAAGGAGGTGGATTGTACGATAATTGAGCGACGGATGAGAATCCTGATGCCCGATTCGCCGCTGTATGAGCGCAATGCCGCCCGATTGGTGGCGCTGCGTCGGGAGGCGATGAACCGCGAGAATCGAGTGACGAGTGAGGATCTGCATCCGGACATCTGGGAGATTCAGTGGCCGCTGATGAACAGGAATACGCACCATATGAACTCATCGCACAGTCGCCTGGAGCGCTTCCGTAGTGGCATTGTGCCTGAGGAGGCTCGGAGTGCGTCCACACCAGCGGCTGGAAGCAGTAGTTCTGGCACATCGACGATTGCCCAGATGCGCGCTGCCACTGTGGCGGCGGCGATGATCACTGGTCCGCGAACGGAGGCAGAACGCAGCGTGCTCGAGGACATGATTGTGGACTCGGGTGAGGAGTTCGTGATGCCACGCGAGGAGCACACGCTGATGTCGGCGAAGAGGCGACGCGTTCAGCAGAATGCAAAGCGGATGCTTTACTACATCGAAGAGCCAAACATTGGGAAGCGCTTCATCAAGGAGCTCTGCTTCTCCTCCGATGGCAGGATCATCTGCTCACCGTATGGCTATGGCATTCGGTTGCTCTCCTTCAACCGCGAGTGCAGTGAACTGAGCGCATGTGTGGATGGCGTGGACGCCAAGGCGCAAAAGCTGACGGAGTTGAAAGTGATGAAGTGCCACTCTGACATCGTGGTCAGCACGAAGTTCAACCCACGCTTGCCGCTCCTCGTCACGGGGTGCCTCAATGGGAAGATCGTGTGGCTGCAGCCGGTCCTATAGGCCATCCTTGGCCGTACTTACCCCGTCGTGTGTTAATAAAGTCCTATTTGTTCCCAATTCGTCATGTTTCATTTGCATTTCACTTCTCTCGGTGTGTTTCACGAAATTACTTCTTCATTGCAACTCAATCGCAAGCAATTTTCGACTGGGTTCTGTTCTTGACTTTTTATTCGAATTCTTTCGAAGACTTTGTCGGCAAACTTTCAATAGATGTCGCTAGTGAGTCTATTTAAACAATTAAACAACTCTTTTCAAGTTCAATGCCGCATTTGTACAAGTAATTATTTGCTAATCAACTGATTCAAGTATGTTTATGAAGTGAAATATCAAAATTTAAGCGTTGTGGAATTTAATTTAAATCATAAAGTGATTATATAATAAAAATTGTCACAATATTGATCAATTGCTGTTGTTCTTGTAAACACTAAACAAAATATTGTTACGAGTTCTTGCGCTAATTGTGCTTGTAAAGGAAACACAAGACATAATAAATAAATACCTCAAACATGTTTAAAGATAAGGCAGCGAAAATGAGGAAAATAAGGGAGAAGGGGTGGAAAATTAATAGTCTTGCCGCACAAATTGCTTTCCATGCAACTCGCATCTTGATCCAGGCCAGACGAAAAGAAGTAGTTGTAGTTCATGCTCCACATTCTGGCATTCTTAAGATGATAAATTGCTCAGCAGTGGATGAAAATGTGAATGCATATTTTGTTATTTGTGTTTTTCCGTTCAGAGAAGTTGTATAATAAAAAAGAATTGAGAATAGATTTGGAGTTATAAGAAAATGGCCATTGTTGTGGCAATGTTTTGAGTGAATTGGAGAAAAATTTATTCATGAAAATTGCACAGTTGAATTTCATGTCAATTTTCCGCTCTGGAGACTCATGACAGCTATCATGGAATGGCTTTTAATCAATCAAACGATATCACAAACCGACATCTCATTCGCATTGACGATGTCGGTGGTTTAGATATCGCTGGGGTGGCCCTTCGGCGTCTCTCCTCGCCTCATTATAATACCGAATGAGGGCCAATTTCAATCACAAGCATCCACGGAGTGGCAAAATGGGCAAAATGAGTATCGCTTTGTAGATTAAATATAGAATTTCGAGTAAAAATTCGGTGACGAACATTTGAATTCTCCTCTAATGCCTCATAAATATTAAAACAATTTTCAAAAATATACACGGACAAATTCTCGTTGGCGAAATGAGATCTGAACAATAGGGGTGAAACGAAATGGGAGAGTGAGAGAGGGAGATCCATAACTAACACATCAATTCACATACAAACCATTTTATATTCATATCGTTTTGATAGCGCGGCAATTTGATTATTTGGACATGCACGCGATTGCCAAATTCTTTTTTTCACATTACACATGCCCGTTTTTTGCACGCTACTTTGCACCGACTAACCACATTCCCAAAATTCATGGCAATTATTCCGCCATACGCAAAACTGCATCTCCAAATCTGCGCATGGGGAAGAATATATTTGTCCTGTCGTGCCGCAAACCCTCCAAACACTTGCAATTCACAAGGGGGAGATAATGTGCCCCTAATCTGTACACTTCGTGACACTTCCGAACGCCTTTTCCATCGTTTTTCGGCTTCTACAACTGTTTTTCAGACTAATTAATACACTAATCATAATCTAATCTAGGTTTTTCTGTCTTAGTTTGTCCTAGATTTGTCGTCGGAAAATGCTTAGATAACTTGTGACCAAATTGTGAGGTTATGAATTCGGTTTAAGAATCCTTCTTTGAATAATTTTTATCTTTTGAAACCCAGAAAAAGAGTAAGACTAGCGAATATTACATTGTTTCTAGTAGATAAAGACGTTAAATTTACTAATTTTAAACACGAATAGCGGAAATAACTAAGAAAAGAGATTCTTTTAGGCTTAAATAATATATATTTGAGGTTATGATTGATTTTTAAGCTCTGTTTTACTAATTTTATGTTCTATTTTTCAGTACAAATGCTCAAATTTGCCATGAAAAAGAGAAATATTCCCTGTTTAAACACAAATTAGACGATTTTGAGGGTTATTTTGGCACTAGAAACTGTCTCAAATCAAACACATAACCTAGAAAAACAGCAAATCAGATTTTTCTAGACAGAATTTTTAAAAATTATCTTTTCCACCATAATATCTGCCCCTTGGCAATTCATTTCGATGGTGGCGTTTTTTCGTGACGAGTGAGGAAATCATAAATATGATGGTCTCTCGACAATAAATTTAAGTGGCCCTTTATAACGTGAAATAATACAATTTCTGCGAATGTTGCAAAGGGTCCACCTTCGACTGTTCACATGGCTGTTCGTCTTTTTTGGCGGAAATTTCACTGAATTGCATTACAAGTCTTTTTGGCTGGCAGAAACTCATTTTTGAGTACATTGGTTCCATTAATTAAACACTGAACAACACATAAAATTGCTTGGGAATTGAAATTACTTGTGAAATTATGACTTTCAACCTCTGGAAGGGAGAATTTAGGGAATTTTTTTTGCGACATTTCCTAATTGGTTTCACGGTGATTAAAATATAATCTGCATGAAGGCGAAAATTCTCAGAAATATTATTCACAAGTAATCCGACAATATTTACAATTAATTCAGCACAAGTATTGCTTCGAGACACTGGGATGTTTTCACCCTCAGATCATTGCTATGCACAGCGTATAATTTGCTGATATGAAATAAATTTTGATACATAAACTTCTCAGCATAATGAAAAACACTGAGGCAATTTTCTAATGAAAACAGAAAACATTTAATTTGCTGGACGCATAAATAAATTTTCTTCAACACGCGAGAGGGACGTTAAGAATTTTCCCTTCAAAATTTGTAAGTCAGATTGTGATGGGGATCAGTTTAGCATCCTTAAATCACAAGGTGTCTTTATTCATGCACGAACGAGAGGGTGGAAAAGTAGAAAATTGCCCAGAATTATCATAAACTCCGACGGAGGCTTTCTTCACTTTCTACTGCAAGTCTCTGTGGATTGAAGGAGAGAATTTTCTAATATTACAGCCCAGAAATTCCGATGGGATGTTTACGACATCAAGGGGAATGCATTTTCCCGGAGATGTTGTGTGAAGTGTTCACTTTTAACGAGTCAATTGACTCCCAAATACGCTCCTTGTACACCTTCTGCTTTGCAAGTAAATTCCCTGCGCATTTACGCATTTATTAAGGAACGGAAGATCATAAATAATGTCAAACATGTTCTTATTTTGCCCAATTGCAAGAGCGTAAAAAATACCTGTCTCACTAACTTGACTGTGAGAATAAACTAGGAGAATTTTAGAAGTATCACAAGAGAGAGCAATTTAATTTAAAAATTGCATGCACATCATTTCCAGCTCGGAAATTCAGCAGTTGCGACATGGTGTGTATTTAATTGCACGAAATGTGAATTCTTGATGTTACGAAAAATCCCATAAAGTATTTTTAAATGCAATTTTGGCAACATTTAGCAATGTCTTAGAGTGTTTCTTTTTCTTCCACGTCTTCCTTCAGCATTTTCTGTCACTGTGAATTTTTCATCTGGTCTGCTTGAGACTCTATTTCTGGGTAGCAGAAAATTTCACACACATGTCAAGATATTTCCATCAAAGACATTTCTTTCATCCTCCTTCTCTGCACTGGGGTTTGGTTTGGGTTTTCAGCGGTGAAGGGGCAAAAAAAAAGGAAGGATAAGCAAGAGCATCGAGGGCGGATATATAATGCAGAGCGGCAAACATCTACACCACAAATTGAAAGACGAAAATTGAATCATCGAAACAGGAAAGGAATATTCACGGACAAAAATTGCATTTCCTCCTGCTTTTTTGCCCCGAAATAAACAAGCAAATTCTCGCAACTTTCTTTCATTCTGACTGCTTTTTCACGTGGGATGAATTTGCAATATGTTTCCCGGGGAGAAATTTTCACGAGTGCAATAATTTTCTCTCTCTGTTCTATTCAGTTTTATTTGGGTCTGTGCAGAGAGTTTTTAGTTTCGACTGGGCATTCGATGGCGAAAGCACAGATATTGTATCCAAAAAAACACATTACAATTCAAGACTGTGAAATGAGGCAAAATACTGAGGAAATATTCACAATTTTACCACTTTTGCTGCACAACATTTATTCAAATTTCACTTGAAATAAATATATAAATTAGAAGGTGAATCAGAACATCCGTTGACTGAAAAAGGGTTTATCAGTGCTGCGAATGTCTGTTTTCGGCGAGACTGAACTTCGTCAGCATTTAAAATGTTCTGCTGGCAAATAAAAATTTTCATTTAGTTCATGTCTTACTTTCTCCTGTGATGATGAGAGTACACATCACGTCAAAATGCTGCTGTGTGTCTCCTGGCCAGAGTGAGCTGTCGACCACATGCTTTGCATACGAAAATCTTCCCATATAATTTGCTACAATAGCAACTTGTCCGCAAAATATTTGTTATTCTCCACCGCAAAACTACAAATTCTCTCAATGTCTCTCATGAAAGGACTCAAGTTTACCTCCTTTTTCCCATTTTCCTTGACTCATCGTCTGGCCTTAACAGTGTCTTAAAACAACGACGAATCAACTCTTACTGGAATGGAACGACTTTTCTTTGAAGTGCGGCTCGGAAAAATGATTAAAGGATGAATGAAAGTTCACACACTTACTTGAAAGATACATAACAAGGGGTAGATATTGTGGACGGATGTGGTGTACAGCTTTACACAAAGTGGTAGGAATTGGAAGTGTTAAAATGGTTAAAATATTTCGAATATTTGCATTTCAAAAGCTTCTGTTTCAACGAATTGAGACATTTTTCTAAATTATTTTTCTTAGAAAAATGTAATTTGTTGCTTTTCTAGGTTATGTGATTGATTTAAGACAGTTTGCAGTGCCTAAGAAATCGTTAAAATCATCAAATTTGTGTGGAAACAACACATTTCCGAGTTTGAAAAGATTAAAATAAGTCCAAGGAGGATTCTTAAACCGAATTCAAAACTTCTGAATTTTTTTAGAAGCCTTGCAAGTATTTTCCGAAGACAAAACAAGGGAAATGTAGACAGGAAAACCTATATTAGATTATGATTAGGTAGAAATGAGTGTAAAAAACAGTTTAAGGAGCCGAAAAAGTGATGGAAAATGCTTCAAAAGACGTTCAGAAGTGTCAGAAAGTGTACAGCTTAAGGGTTTATTATCTCCCCCTTGATATATGATATAATTCTTGAGTGTATATTTTTTCAGAGAGGAAAGATGAAAAGTTGATGTGGGAATTGAGAAAAGTGTTAATGGCAAAAGGCTTCGTTGAGACAGTTTTCGGCACGAGATGAGCGCACAAAAGCATCTAATAAGGCTTAAGAGGAGTGAAATATTCTCATTTATCTCCTGAGAGTATATAAATTAATTTATTTTCCTCTTGTGCAGCTTTCGTCTGTCCATGAAACTGGATGGAATGTTGTGAAATTCAATGCTCTAATGTTCAATCAGATTTGGAATTTGATTTTATCAAACATAGAGTCAATATAAGACAAATTGGTATGTTTTCTGTCTAGAAGACGTTCAATGTGGAGCGCATGAAGTTGTCTTCGGAGATTAAGGAGAGAGATTTAAAATTCCCCTTTGATAACTGTGACGAAGATCAACATTTGCCATCAAAGTAAGAAAAAGCGCAATAATTCTCTGTGCATTAAGCAATCCAACTTCATAATTCATGCGGCATCTCTGGTGACCGGCAAATTTTGCCCAAGAAAATTTCATAGCTGAAATAAAAGCAAGTATCTCGGAGCTATTTAATATAAAGGGTTTCCCTAGTCTCTATGCCAGACTCCTTCTGCTCCCCAAAGACATCTGTGCCGTCTCAGGTGCACGACGGTCTGAAATTTGTGCAGAATAAGTGGACATCCTCGTGCTTTCGTCCTGAATGCCGCCCAAATTAAATTGAATGGAATAAATATTTTGCAGAGATGAAAAGAAGGTGAAGCTGCGAGACAAATATCAAACTTCAGCCACTTATTAACTGGTGGATTTTTTCCCCTTTTGTCAGCTATACAATTTCATGCTGCTTTTCCAATTTACTGCTACTTCGCCCAAGCTAAAGAGATGAATTGGTGAAAAAGCTTTCCATCAATGGAATGTATTCTTTCCTTCAGCCTCCGTTTTTTTTTCTCCATTGGCCATATATAATTGAAAAGTTCTCATGGGTTGGAGTAGAAATAGTTTGTTGAGCGAGAATTGATTGAATCACTTGTTGTGAATTGAAGGCAATCAAACATCCAATAATGACACGGACAACAATAAATTGTATCGAATGCAAGTTATCGAATCATGAGTCCGTGATTGTCGTCTCAGCGGTCGTCTCGGGACTCCAGCGCGCCCCTAATGCTGATGGATGGACGATGACGAGCATCCTGGCTGTGTCCCAGGAGGCATTAGAATATATAGGAAACACCGTGAGCACTTTTCCCTCCTTTCGACGCTATCGTGTTTCATTTGAGATTGATGAGTGCGCGCGGGCGGGGAGAATTCCCAGCGGATCTCAGGCAGGTTTACCTTCCTTGATTCCGAATTGCGAACGTGAATGAAATTTCATGGCAAGCACAGAAGGAGGATAATTGCAAATTATGACCATTTGATGATGTATCAAATTTGCAGACGCAAAAATGCTCCTCTCTCCTTCATTATGCTTGTGTTAACGAGCATCGTTCTGTTTGGCTTTTATTGTGGCGCACAGAGGAAATTTTACATCTTATATACATTTCCATATTTACGTGCAATGGAGACAGCTGAAACTTTTAATTTGGACAAAAGAGAAGCGATATTAGGGGTTATCTCGTGGAGGAGCTCGCAAAATTTACAGCACTGACACTGTGTGGCTTCAAATGGACGAGAGAAAGAGAGTGAGTTTTGTATGAAGAATACAACAATATTTCGGTGCAGAGGAATAACCCACCAATTTAGCGTTTAGGTACTTGAGCAATTTTATGCCGCCTCTCTCTCTCTTTCGTGTATTTATTCGCTCCATTCTCCCCGACAAAGCACCACTAATGCTGAAAGATTGGCATTTTCAGGGATTGAAGACATCCAGGCTGTAATAAAAATCTTGTGACTTTCAAAAGAAAATCCACTATTTTACGACAGATTCAGTGAAACTCGTCACTCTTGTTGAATTTTGTGTACTTACATCATTGTGTTTTAAGGGATTTTTAGAGAAAATACCAAAATATTCCCAATAAGCAGCAATAAATGGTTGGTGAAAAAGACGTAGGAAAATGAAAATGTCTCTAATGCAGTAATTTCGAACACCAAAAGGCGTTTGTGTGGTCAATAGGAGGGGAAACTGGAGGTGTATATGATCCTTTGACCAATTTACAAAAGAGATTAATCTTCCCTCAGGCCTTCAAGGCAATGCCGAGGAAACTTACAAAAACAAGAGCATCGGAATGAATTAGAAATGAGGAGGCGAGTCTTAGCAAAACACACATTCAACCCTCCTTGAGACGCTTTCCAAGATACTTCCGCCCTTGCGACATGTCTCGAGGCTAAATGCCTGGCTAGTCCAGTGCACATTCGGGCTCCTCAAGTAAATTTATTTAGGATAATTTCAAACAATTGTCTCCAGCGATGAGGAGAAGGAATAACTAATTCAGGACGCGAGTAATGGACAAAAGACACAAGATAAGCAGGAGGTTTAGCGTGTAAATAGAAGCTGATCCGGGATAACTGTCATCCAGCCAGGTGCGAACGTCTCCAGACAGTTTATCATTCCACGCTATGTTCTCATCAATTGCATCTATTGCACTTCCCATGGACTTCTTCAGGTCTGCAGAAATGTTGTCTTTCTGATTATCTGCCATCTGAACAACCTGCAATAATATTCCAGTGAAGTTGGAGGACTTTAGAGTGTGAATATGATTAAATTTACCAAGGATCTGTGCTCATTTGTGATTCCAACACTTCCAATTGTGGTAAAAACTGCATTCAGCTCTGAAGAACGACTCTGGATACTCTCAAAGTTATCTCTCAAAAATGCTAGGACGATTTTAGTTGTGTCACTATCAATGTCTAGCATTGCGGAGAGAATTGAATTGTAGTAGGATTTTTCAAATTCAACACCCGGAAAGCCTTGAATAGTCATCTTCAGAATGTCTTCTATCAACTTGCTGTCTTTAACACAGCCAAATGAGGCGATGATGTCACTTATTTCCTGCTGATTTATCCTGCGACTCGCCTCGGACTGTGTCAGTCTAGTTAGCTTGTTCGTCAGAATGGTGAATGCTGGATAATCGGATTTACAGTCCTCGCCATCCTGTTCTTGGCAACTGTACTGAATGGCTCCGCAGTAAATGGATCTGCGGACATTCGCGGAGATGTCATTGTGCTGATTGTCCACGAGATACTTGTAGGAATCCTCAATGCATGGCGACTTGGACAGTTTGCACGCCATCAGAGTGATGTCAGTTCGCAGCATCTTCTGCAAGTGATCATCCACTGATGATTCCTCAATACCAACATCGTTGTACATCTCATTCAGGGTGTCCAGCAATAGTGTTGAAAACTTATCTGTCTCCAGGATTCTCACGCTGGTCTTCAATCGTGCCAAATTACGAAGGCCAGAAGCCACAGTGTAGTAGTATCGCTCGTTTTTGAAGTAGTTCTTGGTCAGATTCAGCGGGATTTTGTAAGCAAGATGTCCATAGCGAGCCAAATTGAAAGCATCGTCTATCAATTGAGCCCTATTTGAGGGATCGATGGCATTGTGATTGGTTGCAAGGGCGTCAGAGATCAGTTCCCAGTTCCTTTCGTCGTAATTCACTCGATAGTACATTGTGGATTTCACATTGAACACAACCCAGTCGTCATTATTGGCTTGGATTGGAAACTGATAAGAATCGTCTGTGTGCTTGAGAAATGCAACTGCTGAAGTGTCCTTAAAATCAGCGTTCTTCAGCGGTGAGGCATAACTCAGGGGGATGAAGTATTTTGTGTTTGGAACAGCATTGCTGTCCAGAGTTGCCATGAATCTCTTTTGAGTCACATCAGCCTGACCACTTGTGTAGTTTCTGGCTATTGTGACGACAGGGAAGCCAGGATTGGTGATCCACGTGTCGAAAATCTCCTTGATTTGAGGCAGAGATCTGCCAGAAGTGTCCTGATCGACAGCCCATTGCCAGCTCTTGGACAAATCGTCAGGCGTCGCGACATTGAAGCTGAAATCATTGATATACTTTCTCATAGCAGACTGGAAAACCGCGCTACTTATAATGTTTTCCATCGTTCTCATGACCGAAGCTGCTTTCTTGTAAGTGACGAAATCATAGATATTTCTAATCTCCTCAACAGTATTGACTTCGATAAACATGGCACGAACTCCCGACTTGCCAGCATCGTCTTGCATCACGGCCAGCATTGTGTCGAGCGTGAACTTGTCTTCTGTCCGCCACTCGGGAAACATCACACCGCTAATGCTGTCCTCGAAGAGTGAAGCCAGACCTTCCTTGAGCCACACTGCTGACCAGTAGAAATGCGTCACTTCGTTGCCGAACCACTGATGAGCCACTTCGTGAGCAATGGTTTTGGCCACTTGATGCTTCGTCTTCGCGTCAGTTTGATCATTGATCAGGATTCTGCTACTCCTGCAAGCAAACAGACCAGCAAACAATGCTTTCCTTCTCTCAAGCAAGTCAAATTTCACTCACAAATACGTAATGATTCCCCAGTTTTCCATGGCACCCATGAGAAAGTCGTCGATTGCGATGATGTCCATCTTTGGATACTGAAACGTCCGATCGAGATACACTTCCAGTTCCTTAAGTACATCTTGAGTGTACTGTAAGGCGAATTCTGTGTCGTTAATAACAGCTGGTTGGGAGTAAACTGCGAAATTGGTCAAAGGATCCTTGTTCACGACGAAATCGCAAACAATAAAGGTCACAATGTATGTTGATGTCTTGAGCGATTTTCCGAACACCGTCGTTTCCCAGCCATCTTCCGTCCTGGCAAAACAACAGCATGAGAAGAGAGGACAGTTTGGTGTCTTGAAAGCATACTTACATTTCCGTTTTCTCCGGTGGCATATTGGAAATGGCAAAGTATTTAGCGTCATGAGTGATACGAATAGAATATGTCGCTTTGTATTCAGGCTCATCGTAGCAAGGAAATGCCATTCTGTGGTGAGAAAAGATGGGAAAAAATACCTAAAAACATCGCAATCGTCGCTAATGTGATGTAGTTTTGTTACCTTGCGTAATTTGGCGCCATAAATGAAGTTGCAATACTCCTGCAACAAAAAAGCTTTCTGTAGTATTTTTTATTTTTCTCTCTTCCAAGACACGTGCTCGAGTTGATTACTAAAAACTTAATTATTGTCTTTTGGTTAATACAGCATTTTATTGACTACCATGAAGTCATTTTCACTGGCTATATAGTTGAATTTAGAGAGAATGTGTAATTTTTCTTATGAACAAAGCATGTAAAACCGCTAAAACCACTGAAATTCATTTCATATTTCAAGGAAACACTTCTAATGCCACCTTTCTAAATTGTTTGTCACAAATATGTGGCAAATATGTATTGATAATCTCAATAACTTATCATATTATTTCCACATTATTGATTATCTCACCTCTTATTGCCTGTATTATCAAAATAGGTGCTGATATAGAGTCCCTTCCGATCATTTCTAATTGTTCCATTGAATTCCAGACCGAGATAATACGTTCCAAGAGATAATGGTGGAAATCGAAGTCTGAGAATCTCCGTAACGTTGTTGTAGTCAAAAGAGAGCAACTCAATGCTATTGCCATTCCTTTCCGTGAGACTCACGCTCTCATCCACTGTCATGTCCTTGTAGTTGATTGCGATTTCGTCCGTCTCCTGCAGCACATCAATCTCGATTGTCTCCCAACCGCGAAATTCCACCGCGTCCACATCGATCGTCATGCGAAGATCATAGTGATTTGGTCGAGTAGTTTGTGGCAATTTGTACTGCAAATCGTCATCACTTGACAAATCCTTCGATATTATTACAGGACCAGCACGACAGCTAATCAAGAGAGTGGAAATTACTCCAAAAAGGATTGGGAAATACTTTTCCACCATTTTCAACGACAATTCACCGCGACTTTCACTCGCTTATCCGCGTGTCTTCAAATCCGCCAACAGACTAAATGGAGAAGTCAATTGAGATACAGCGCACTTGTCTCTCTAATTGCTAGAAAGATATAGGAGAGTGTGTGGGAAAGAGACTTGGCGGAGTGCCCGACACACTTCGGGTGATGATTTGATTCTGGGTTTGAGTAGTTTTTTTGGGGCAATTTAATTGTTTAATAGCATTCTGTGATCAAAAATATTAATTTAGAGACAAACAGTAATTGTGGATTTCTCCTAAAAACACTCTCAATCACATTTATTAAGTCGTATCAGTCCAATCCTCGTCTAAAATGATAACAATATTGCGATATTAGAATTTTAGTTGATGCCGTCGCGTCTGTTGTCTAGGACTTCATGTAAACACGCCACTATAAATGCCAACACCGTCAGGATAAGCGATGGAATCCTGTAGCGAGGAGCTGCATTGTGCTCCTTAATCCAGTCGTTAATCGAAGGTGAGTATTTCTTGATCCACGCGATGTTCTGTTCAGCTTTCATTACTGCCATCTTAGCTGCAATCTTCACATCTGGATCAAAAGCTGCATTGTCATCAATATTCTTCTTTATGATGAGTTTCAGCTGAAATTAATGAGAACTCCTTAGCAAAGAGAAGGAAAGTCAATTTTCAGTCTTGCTACCAGATTCAACTCCTCGTCAGTCCGGATATGATTGCCGAATGTCTGGAAAACTGTAACCATGGATGCGTAATTCGCCTCCATATTGTTATAGTACGAGGCGATAAAGTACAATCCTTGCATAACAGAGGATTCGCTGGACGTAACGATGAAAGTAAAAATTTCGTTCAAGTCACTCGGAAACAAATTAAAACCTCCGCCCTTCTTCAAAGTCATTTCCAATATGGAATTCCTCTGATAATCTCCGCTAGCACAAGAAAAAGACTGCAGGATGTCCTGAAATTCAAACATATTTTTTCTTCTTGCGCCCTGCGTTTTGGTGAGTTGAACCATTTTGTTGTACAAAATTTCCAGTGGCCACATTTTATCCACATTGCTCCTAAAATATGCACACAAAACGGCTGGTCGAGTGTTCGGATTGAGTTGCTGACGCATGTCTTCCTTAGAAGCATCCTCGAGACATTTTTCAATGTTCATTTCGCAAGCGAATCGTGTAACTTCACTTCTAAGCAGTTTCGTCAAATGCGAATCATCCTTGTTCTCGTGCATTCCCACTCTGTTGTACAATTTGGCGATAATAGGTAGCAAGAACTTCAGGAATTTTCTATTCGTTCCACGCAACTTCAATTCCAGAGACCGAAGATGCTTAATAGCCGCCGCCACGGGAACAAATTCAGTCTCCTGGCGAAGGTAGTTCGCCAGGGACAACACAATGTCGTACGACAAATGTCCATAATATGCCAGCGTGAAGGCGTCGTCAATAAGTTGAGCTCTGTTGGCCGTGTCAATTATCGTTAGATTTTCGCGAAGAGCCAGACTAAGTAAGTGCCAATTTTGGTTGTCATAATTCACACGATAATAGTAAGTGGCTCTCTTGTTCACGATCACCCAATCTAACTCGTCCAGCTCCTCCTCTCCTCCATTTAGCGGCACGACTAAGTCGCTGTCCGGAAACATGATGTGCTGCAGCGTTGTGTCGCTAAAGTCAGGATTCCTCTTCGTGGCATAGTTGATTGGCACGTGATATCTCGTGTCGGGAACACTTTCGCGGTCTTCGCTTGCAATGAAGCGCTCCTGATAGACGGTGAGGTAACTCATGTTGTAGTCTCGCATCACAGTCACGAGAGGGAATCCAGGATTCTGGATCCAATTGGCGAACATCCTTCCAACTTCAATGTGACCTGGAATTTGATTGGTCTCAGCGTTCAGATGATCGTACAAGTTCTGTGGCTTAACCGTCTGATAGCTCATGTTTTTGATGTAGTTCTTGACGGCCCTCGAGAAGATATCGTCCGTGATGGCATTCTGAATCATGCGAATAACGCTGGCGGCCTTCTGGTACGGAAGGTAGTTGTAGACGCCCCAAATGTCCTGCAGAGTCTCAATCAATTCGTCCAGACTCTTCGTATCTGGCGATGCATCGCGATCCATTGAGTATTGAAGGTTGAGAACAATAAATTGATCCATGATTTTCCACTCTGGATACAATTGGTCATTGATCAGGTCGGCATAGAGCGTGGCAAAGCCCTCGTTCAGCCATATCTCAGACCACCACTCTGCAGTCACTTCATTCCCGAACCACTGATGCGCCAGCTCGTGCGTGATGGTCTTCGTCACGTGCTGCTTCGCTTTGTTCGAGACTGTCGCCTCGTCGTAGAGCAGACGATAGCTCAGGTACGTTATGAGACCCCAATTTTCCATGGCGCCCATGAGGAAGTCGTCGAATGCCACCATGTCCATCTTGGCCAATTGGTAAGGAGCTTCGAAGTACTCTTCGAACTTCCTCAGCGATCGCTGTCCGTGCTCGAGAGCGTATTTCGTCATGTGGATTTGCTCAGGCTGAGAATATACCGTGAAATTTCCAGCCATGTTTGCGTTTCCCTTGAAATCCGACACCATAAATGCCAGAAGATAAGTTGACATTCTAGGTGTTGATGGAAAAGTTGTCTCAACTATATTAGGTCCGCTGTAGATAAACAGAAAAAATATAGTTAGTTTCACCATCATTTTAAATATGTGGCAAAATCAAGGGGGATAAAAAGTAGTCAAAATTTGTGTTCAAATCAGTGAAAGTGTTGAAAAACTCACAATATTCCTTTCCAAAGTCCTTTTTTATGGTGAAAACACAGCATTTGTAATTTGTAATTTGTCCACGATCATCTCTTTCTTCCCCTCGCGTTTCGTGTATTTTCCTTCCTACTCTGTCAGCGTCTGACTCTGACATGTCGAGACAGCCACTGTGCGAGTAGGAAGGAAAATACACGATACGCGTGGGGAAGAAAGAGATGATCGTGGACAAATTACAAATTACAAATGCTGTGTTTTCACCATTACTAACAAATTGTTCCAATTCTTAAATTTCTCTTGATTTTTACGCTAAAAATAATCGCAATAATGCTTTTATAGGTTTTGCAAAAAATTAAAGACAGATTAAGTGAATAATTCGCATTTTAGCACATAAATTCTCGTGCTTAAGTCGGAGAAATTACCGTGTTTGGCAGAATTAAGCATTTTCATTCAATTAACATTGCTTTTCTAAAGCTTTGATGACAAGAAACACTGCAAACTGTGCTAAGATCGAATATAACCTTCAAAATAATTATTCGTGCTTGGAAAATGTTTATTTAGAAAACTTTCTGGACGATTCTGATTCAACAATTCATTGGCAAATTATAGCCGATGATAAAAAGCATTTTTAGGTGAATTCTTACAGAAATATCGAATGGAAACTTACGAGATTCATGATAATTTAAGAATTAGTGTTCAAACAGTCTAGAAAAAATGTCAAGTACTGAAATTGCTAGGAAGTGGTGTATTAATTTAAAGCTCATTATCTTCCACTTGTAAAAACTTACAGTACTAGCGGTTTCGAGATTGCCGGCATGTTGGAGAGAGCTTTATACTTGGGCGAATGAACCAGAGTGACTGTGAAGAATGCTTTGTAGCGCGGTTCGTCGTAGCACGGAAAAACCCAGCGAGCATAGATCGGGGCGAGGAAAGTCGTGGCTGCTCTGTGCTTCTTGCCATCTTCCGTCCAATAGTGGGTCATGTAGAGTCCTTTCAAATCCTTGCGATTGATGAAGCCGTCAAAGGCCACGAAGAAATCATAGTTTCCAACCGGCAAATCGTCAAATACAAATTCCACAATCTCCGAATCCGGATTCACAATGATGTCCCTCAAGGTGTAATTGAAGTTGTGCGAATCTATGCCCGCTTGGTGCGTGTGCAGAATGAGATCCTTGTAGTTGAGTGTTATCCTGTCAGTTGGCTCGATCACGTCCAAATTGATGGTCACGCTGCCATTGAAAAATCCCTTGCCCGGGTCGACAAGAATGTACAGGTAATAGTGATTGGGCTTTGAGGTGCGCGGCAAGTGATTTCGGCCATATTCACAAGACACAACACAGATAAAAGATAAAAACATCAAGAGTTGCAACTTCATCGCGATTGGGGGAGATTTTCACCATTAAATCGACTGCTTATCCGAACGAATTCTCTGCGCAAAGTGATCCAGTTGATTACCGAGAACTCACTGAGTGGCTATTTGCGACAACTTCTTCTCATCCAAACTGAGTGTTGCTGATAAAAAGATAACCGTAAAATCCTCTGGGAGACAAATAGACAAGCAATAAAGATAAGCACTTGATAATGAGCCGCTAATCTCGGTCTTGTCCTCTGGATGCGCAGCGGGGAATTTGTGTGCACAGGAATTGTACTTTAGGGACAATTTTCTCATCAATTTCCTCGCCTTTCTCCCGCCAAGGGGGAGATATATTAAGAAGGAGTGTACAAATCAGCAGAAGAACTCAATATTTGCAATATTTCTTATATTTAGGATTGCTTTTATTTTTCCTTCAAAATAATATCATCAAAATATTTTTTTAGGCTATGAAACTAATCAAAGCAAGCTTTAGTGAGTAAATACACTCAAGGAACATTAATTTTCACGTTCAAAGTGAAAACATTCTTATTTATTGGCAGAATTAAGCATTTTTATACAATAAAGATCGCGATTTTTGATTTTGTTTAATAAAACGAGGTTTAAACAGTGCGAAAGGTAAACATAACCACAAAAATAAGAGTCAGTTTTGAATAATGTAATTTTTTTAATTCTTTCACCGAGTTTTGAATCAAAATCTTCTATTTTGAGCCTATAAATAAATAATTAGTATATTTTAAATATTTTGAACAGTTCTTTTAAAGGCTCTTAGTTTTTTTTAGTTAAGTTATGGTTTGAAAAATTTCCAATAATGCGATTATAAATAGTTTTTCGTAAAAATAAGCATTGATGACTTTTAAATTCTTAAACCAAAGTTACTAATTTGGTTTTCAAGCTGATAAAAATAAGTTCTGTTTGCACTATAAACCCTGATTGATAATAATCACAATTTTCCTGTGATTTCTTCTTAGATTCTCCTCCTTGTTTCTCGCAATGCAATCTCGATGACACTGTTTGGCCCCACATTTTATGTTGGTCCATAAAAAGAAACTTCATTATCGAAATGGAAATTTCGTCTCACCTCCAACTTTTATTGAGAGAAATCCATCGGCATCATTGGCGGAATCACATGAATATATCACGTTTTCACTAATATGCAAATGAGTCTTTATGGTTTTTACTCCACTTTTCGTAACATGTTTTATTTACGCTACTGCCTTTTGCCTGGTGTAATTCCCAGATCTCGGCGGCATCATGAGAAAAACAGCAGTAAAAGTGGCTTTAAAAATTTTCCCATTTTGCATTAACTGGGGAAATAAAGGGAAATAATCTCTCTGAGACTGGCCTTTTTGCCTCTGATGGATCTCGAATATGGAGAATTGCGGAAACAATGTGACAAAGAGGAGTGATGCCTATTGTGCGGCGATGATATAAGGGAGGATAATAGTAATCATTTTCTTCCATTCTGTCACAATAAATTTACAAGGGGTACACAATTGTTTCGAGTGTGTCATTCGCACACACTAAATGTGCATAAGATGATCAGTGGGATGGGCTCAAGAGGGAATCCCTTTTCCCCTCTTTCCCAATTGTCCTATAAAAAATTGAAAATGCGCTCCTGCGGCAGTAAAAACAAAAGCGGAAATGCTAAAAACTTTCAATTCTCTTTATGCAGATTATTTTTTTATTGTTCATCCGACGACAATAAAACCATGATGTCCTCATCCATTCATCGCCCTGTGAATTTTCTTCTCGCGCGCCCAATGCGTCCTCCGATCCTGTGCATATCCTTGCTCGTAAAATCACTGAAGCAGAATTTAATACACACCGCACTGATGGAGCACTATGAAAAAATCATTTATGCCTCGTGATAAATATTGCACAACAATGTTGGGAATGATAGAAAAATACACATTTTATTGTTTTCCGCCCTGTGAAAATGGGGAAAAAAAAACGATGAGAAATTCTATCTGCGCTTCCTGGATTGCTTCTATGGAGGGGAATTTGCTGATTTTGAGAAATTCATCACTGTAAAGTCCACTTTCATCACGACATACAATGTCGGAGTGGAAAGTTGATTGAAAGGAGGCATCAAGATTTTCTTCGCACGTTTTCCTCCTCAGATAATCTGCAATCCGGCGACGCAATTCACTTTTTGGACGTTTTGCGTCGATTTTATCTCACAAGGGAGGAAAGTGCGTATTTACGCACCTTCTGCATGCGATGAAATCGGTGAGTCATCGCTCCTTAAGCGAGCATGTTGCCCAGTGTCTTCTTCATACTGTAAAATGTGTGATTTTCCCGAAAGCACTTCTCACGGTGCGATGCATTGAGAGACAACTGACAATTCTCACTTCGTGCACATTAATCACGTATCTCTGGGATCTGTGTGGAACTTAATTATGAAATATGATGAGGATTATGCAGCAATACACATTATATGTAAATGGATTTGTTTTAATATTTAGCATTCATCATAATTATATCTCCATTTTCGTGCTTGGCGACAGTTCGCTCGCAATGTCTCAATTTGAATGCGAACAATAGCGCGACTTGTTAGTCGGGCTGATCAAGTGTGAAAATAATTTTATTAATGAATTTTTCCACCCGAAGCATCGCCTTATTTAGGCACACAGAAGATGAATGAATATTCACCGGGAAGACGCATTCGACATTTTCCCCTCTCTTGCTTGCCATTCGCGCATAAAAACATTTGGTGGCGCGTCCGTAAATCATGTGTTTTGACTTTAAATATAGGCATTTGATAATCATAAATCGCGACGAGGCCGTGCGTTCTCAAAATTATTAAATCGACTGAAAGTACAATTTCTCGCAGTTATTTTATGTATTCAAATCACATGATAAAAGTGAGATTGAAACAAGATTTCTCCCATCGCGGTCGAAATGGGTGAAAAGAGTGTAACTCCTTCGAGCCCTCGGCAGAGGAAGGAACCGCCGGAGGTCGGAAAATAAAAGATGTGTGTCCTTTTTAAAATCACTCAACAATGGGCTAATTTTACGATTGTGTCTTTTATGTGTTTGTACATCATTCGTATATCACGGAGGTTATATCGAGGGGCTGTTGCAAGATTTATTGATCATTATGCTATCCGTTTGGCGTGGTGGCAAAAAAGGCATTTATAGATATGGAGAGGAAAATAACGATGGGCAAGAAAGAGGAAACGTAAAAATGCCACTGTTTGTGCCCATCATATTCATGGGCGTGATAATTCTGCTCATTTCAATGCATCACATTACTTTATTACTGCCCAATAAAACTACTTTCCGCTATAGAAATTTTGATAATGAGATGGTCTGAATTAATTCTCGTGGCTCAAATAAAAAACTATGAAAAAACCACTGCGAAATTTGCCGAATTTAATCTAAAACACCTTCCAATCCTTTATTAAAGTGCTAATATTTCTCTGAATTAATTTTTTACTGAATTTTTAGGTGGTTTTATTGGTGTTTATTGAAATTTTTGATCAAAAATCGGTAGGGTTAATGGAAAAACTAAAAATATAGATTTTCAAAGTTGATTTTTATACAAACTAAACACCAAAAAACGTGAATTTTTTTCCATTCGTGTTTAAGACACAAATCTCAAAAAAATTTGGTAGAACAACAGATAAAGAGCTTTACAAAAATAGTCTTTCGATTCACTAGTCGAAATGAAATGTTCATTGATGTCAAAAGACCAACAGAATTCAATCAAATTCAGTTGGAATAAATCATGATATTTTACAGGGGCGCTCGTGGTTATTCATCAACCCTTTCTGTGGCGGCACATAAGACATAACACTTGGATGGAATTGAATTGAAGCATAATTTCCAATTATCATAACGCTGCGCACTGTGCGATTCATTTCGACAAATTCTCATTGTGTTCGCATCAATTGGGAACAACAATTCCGAAACTAAATGAAAATGTACACATTATTGCTCCACCTCAATAGTATAATGTAATTCTATTGTGTCTACCTTCGTGTAAAGGGATTCTGAGCGCTGAAATGGTTAAATTTCGGTCGGAGAGATCCATTCAATGCCGCCCGATTTTATAAAACACCCGCACTAGATAATTGGGATGAGATTTTGGTAATGATTTTGCTGCAAATATTGATGAAAGCCAGATTGAAAAGCATAATAATGACGGGAATATTTAGCCATTGTGCAAATTAATCCAAGATTGAACATGATCCATTACAATAATGAGCGCCAGTACATTACTGATGGTGATTTTCAATATCGAATTTTGTGTGTTTCGATAAAATGTGCAACTCACACAAAATATCCCATAATGAATTGTACATAATTAAAGCCATTCTGTGGATATGCATTAATCTGTCAGTTTGGAAAGGGTTGCACTCTCAGGCTCGTCGTAAATTTCAAGAACAGCGAGAGCGAATGTAATTTTCTGCACGTGCAATCGCCCGTGAATGATGTCACACCCCGAAATTTATGGTTCACATTTTATTTTCTCCCCGAAAACATCACAAATCTCATGTTAGTTTGCGGAAAAGAAGTGCTGCAAACGTAACACATGACATCCATCACACTCCACTCTCAGCCTCGTCTTCCCCGGCGACCAACCCTCCGGGATATTTATCGCTGCGAGCTTCGAGAGCGGAGGATGACAATGAAATGAATAAGTAATGAATAATTGATTATTATTGATATTAATGCTTTGTTGTTGTCAGGCTCATTGTCATCGAAAAATCTGTGCAATTGACGGCGTAAATGTACGTCTCGTGGTGTTATTCTCTCCCCCATTTGCCCGGCACTCTGCCAACCAAAGGGAAGATAATAAGGCTGAAATCTGTACACCACTTCCACAATTTGTAAGAAAAATCCTTAACACTTCCAGGACATAAACAAGATAGAAATTTCTACTTTTCGTAGCACTTTTTCACTATCTGTTCTTGATTTGAATCATTTTGACTCTAAATTCGGTGTTGTGAAGTGAAAATTTGAGGTTATGTTTGATTTGAATGCTCTTACCTTTAAGAATCGCGATTTATAATGAGTAAAAATCAATAATTCTTCTAAAAAATTATTAAAAAAAAATTTTCAGTGCTAGAAATTCTTTTTAAATCTCTTTTTCCGTCTTCAGTA